CAGCCTTTCCGAATTTCCACTTTCCGAACGGGAAATCCGAATTTCTGACTTTCCGAACGCAGATAATTATTTAATTATTCGGAATCATTACCTTGGACTACGGTAGTCTCACCGCTTTTCAGAGCTTGGAACCAAAGAGATGGCTTTCCACACGATTCCTGGGAGGCTCCTGCCTCTCGCAGCGTTGTGCATTCTTCTTGTCAGCTGCATCGCGCTATGCGTAGAGGCTTCGGGAGACAAACTCTTTGTGGTTCCAAATTCAGCAGTTGGGAGCAAGGCGGACTGTTCAGAGGACTTTCCCTGCTCTCTTGAGCACGCCCTTGCAGTTGCAGGAGCAGAAGCAGAGTTGGAAATTAGCGAGGGACATTACGATGGAAACGTGGTTATTCATGCTAACCAGACTGGGTTGAGCTTGAATGGAGCTGGTGCTTCACTAACTCTGATTCATTCTGCTGGCCTGGTGGTCAATGGAAACGAGATTGTGTTGGACGTGCGCGCAGAAGACTTCAGTGCGAACCGGATTGGATTTGCGCAGACCTGGAATGAAAGCAACACTGCAAACGTGACAGCTCAGATTGGGGTGCTAATCAGAGACACTGCAATTGGTGCACGCCTCGATGAGGTCAGAAGCAAATCTCAATTTGCCTGACCCTCTTGAATTTTGTGCATTGTGATAGGTTGCAATCCCTACCACTCTCTGATGGTGGTGATGAGCTTGTGAGGTCTCCACATTCATCTGATGGGGGACAGAGAAGTCCAAGCTCAAAATTGGAATCATTTTGTTTCGCTGTTGTTCTGATTGTTTTTGACACATGTCTGGCATCCTTCTGTTTTTCAGGAATTACTTTTTCCTGCAGTGTATTCTGAAAGCAACACCGTTTCAGCTCAGAATCTCAGAACTGCCATGATGCACAAACCAGTGGTGGCACCTTGTGAAGGAGCCGAATGAAGCTGGGATAGAAACGCCGAAACAATAAAAGTCGACATGCAATTCAGCTTCGCAATGGAAGAGGGCATTCTTTGCTAAGCCCCAGCAGCAAGGTTGTCTATTTGGGGGCACAGCAAGTGTGCCCAGTTTAGATCAGAGGCGCCAACCACATCTTATCCAAATGGCTGAGGACATAAGAAGGTTTTTGATCAAGCGACCATTTTGAGACTTGCGAGTTTGAATGGTTCTGAATCATTCTTCTGGTTGTTGTCATCAAAATCACACATACAAGGCAGAAACTTCTCTGTCATTATCACACAAACAGAACAGAGTCTCACTCCGACTTGTTCAGGTCCTCGTTCTGTACAACTCCTCCGGTGACACCTCAACATCGCGGGGAGTCGTCATTGCCGGTGCACCGGAGGTTGAGCTCAAGAAGACGGCGGTGGTTGGCCCCTGGCAGGTGAGCGCTACCTCGTGCAGAGATTGTAACTTCTAAGGGCAAGAATGTTGTCAGCATATCGAGCACGCCACTTCCGCTTACAGTCTGTTTGAGCAACGTGAGGATCATGCGGAATTCACGTATGCAGTAACGCCTCGGGTGCTGTGGTTGTGAGAGAGGGCTGAAAGCTTTCCCTAATGCGTTTTGACATCAACAACTCGTTTTCATTAGTGCAAGCGGTTCACTTCAAAAGCCTTGCACCTAACATACTAGATCGCTGCTAGAAAGTGCATTCCGATTGCCTGTCATCCGTTCAAACTCGTTATTTTGAAGGGTGCCTCACTCTCATTCTTGTCAAAGCTGCAGACCTTTCTCCCCAAAACTTATGGCCCTTGCTTCTTTACCGATTGCTTCTTTGTTGATTGTCTCTTTGTTGTTGATCCAAGTTCCAAGGACAATATTCCCACCTCTTCCGAGGCCGTGCTTGACCTCTTCTACCTACTGTATACTTCTGCCCCTGTGCACTGCTCTTGGGGAAAGAGTTTATACATGATTTGCAGGTCAGCGTAGTTGTCAGTACATCCTTCTTCTTCTCTTCCTTTCCAAAGGACCCCCAGTCTCCCTGCTTGGTCTTTCACTTGCCTTTGATTCTTCGTCTCGATTTTGAGTACTTCCATCTGTAATTCGATTTCTCGTTTCGACTCCTTTCATGGTGCACTGTGTTGTAACCTCGATCTCTCTGCTTAGTAGGTACAGCTGCGTCGAACTTCCCAACGGATTTCTCATCTTTCAAAATCCAGAGCATGGTTCCTAATTGAGGGACCGTACCATTGACGACGGATGCGCCTTGGAACGGCTCAGGATTTTTGAACACACCTTGATATCCATGTCGCAAAATGCTCCGACTTACCTTGTTCGCCACTAATCCTATCTTAACCTTTTTGTGCAGGACGGCATCCACCTCATCTCGTCCTCCAGCAAGGTCAAGCAGGGCCTCGTGGACGGCGCCACGCGCATCGGCATCGCTCTCATCAACACCAATGTCTCCGCGAGCTCTGAAAACAAGATCAAACAAGTCACGATCCGCAACATCGGCGACGGGTCCACTTTTGGAACCGCGATCGAAGTCCAGGGCAACAACAACCACGTCAAGGAAGGGGAGATCAGCAACTGGGGCAAGTACGGAATCCACGTTTGTGGGGAGGCGGGTCCCGACAAGTGCGACCCTTGTCACTATAGTGCCGCTGTAGAGGAGCTTCCGGATTCGGACCCGTTGAGAACAGCTAGGCACACGTCCATTAAGGGCGTTGACTTTTTTGGAGAGCCGGGACAGATCCGTGTGTGCGATGGGGGGGAGGAGACGAAGGTGAAGAGAGTGCAGGTCATCCGTGAGGCACCAGAAGAGGAGCGGGAGGTTGTGGTAGTAATTTGATTTGTCGCGATTCTCGCCATTGCGGGCAGTCTTTGATTTGTCGATCGCTCATAGTCATTCATTTACTATCTAGACACACAACTGAGTGCAAATACCTGTTGTCGTCGCCTGCGTGATGAGCGAGTGTATCCGGCGGCGGGCCCGAGTACTATGCAGTGCAACTTCGCCCAGTAGTGCCTCAATGCACCTAGGTATATTGACATCATCATGGCATTGATTCTGCGCGCATAGGCACCCCTTAATCAGATGCTCTGCACGCGCTTGCCAGCCTGACCGTTCAAGGCAACTGGTGGCCCGCGGATGCTTGATGAGCGCTGATCAAAGCTTCGGCCTGGCAGGACCCAACCTCAAAAACGCGGATCCTAATTGGAGCTACTAGCATTGAGGATCATGCATGGGCGCCATGCCAACATAGTGAATGCTCAGGTGAACATATAGAGCCGGATACATGCCCTCAGGCGCGGCATACACCGCTGTACAATATCTATTATGCTGCATGCCGCGCTGTACTACACATGTGTTGAAAGCCCTGTAGTATTGGACGAGCCCGGGGCCGCCACATCATATCCGCGCGGCCTAATCACAATGAAGTCGGCAGTGACTGACTGTACAGAGATTCGTTGCGGCATTGCTGGATAGTGCTCCTCTGTTTTGTATGAACCATCTCATCTGCCAATGTAACCAATGCGGTCACCTTTACCCCTATGGTCATCGCGGCATGCGGTGGATCACGAATCTTATTACACCACGATTCAGAGATCGGCAGTGAGGCAGAAATAAGTCGCACTAGCGGATCACAATGGACACCCCCTCTTAGGAATTAGGATTGCCTCAATAACACTCTGTTCAGGGGGGATGACGAAGCTGGACCCACACAATTCCTGCTTGACCTCGTCTTTGCCGACCTTTCGTTCACGACCTGTGAATGTCCTCTGAATTCTCAATAAATGGACCTCAGAGACCTTTCCTACTCGTCCGCAGCGTCGGCCTCAGCCTTGTCATCCTGCACGCAAGCCCAGAATCAAAGCTGTGAAACTGGAAAAGGAACGACCTTGATATCCACAGCTCGGAGTCGGACAGCCCCTGGTTGGATCCCAGACAGCCCACTTGACAGAACTAGTATTCTGAAAGTGTTAAAACTTCCCTGCCTAACCCTTGTACGTACTTCGACCGTTGTGACGCAGAAACCGGATGTGCAACTTGGGTGCGAACACTTCCTTTCTTATGCTCGATGGTACTTCATTTGTAAGCCCAGATATTCAGTCACAATGTAGCCTTGCGTCTAGCCTGTTTCGTAAAACACTGGGGGCATCAGCCCGTGTCCCACGTCCGGATTTGAACGGACCAGACCGCCAGCAGGCATCGACGTCCAGTCGCACAGCCCAGCAAGCAAGCGGTGAGACACTCAACCTCCAACTGTCTTGAGGCACAGAAGTCCGGCGATGTTGCAACACAAGCGCCACACTGATTTCGCAGGATCCATATTGATGAGACAGGAAGAACAGTCATTCTCCCATGCGCGCTCTCAATTCACAAGGCTGTTAGACTCACCTCTTTTGCAGTTTCCTCTTCGGCCTCGTCTTCTTTTTCCTCGGCGCCTTCTTCGTCGGCGTCTTTCCCCTCCTCTTCTTTCTCGTCTCCATCTTCTTTCTCGTCCCCCTCTTCCTGAGCGTCTTTCATTTCCTCGTCCTGTAAAAACGAAGTTCCCAACGTCACTCTCGGATGCAAACAACTTCAAAAGGCTCAGAAGCGCTGAAATTCAGATAAAAGGTAAGGCCGACACATGGCCCCTCATTTGACAACAACAAAAAGGGCCAAAAAGGGCCAGCCATCGAATTAGAGGAGTTGCGCGGATCCGCAACGCAATCTATCGATAGAAAGCAACTAGAGGCGGATACTGGGTGATATTACTTAGCTGGATTTTTGTCTGGGTCTCCGCTTTGACAAAGAAACCTGGATCGAGAACAGGTTCACATTGTTCGGCCTCTGTAGAGCGCAAGAAACCGTCTGACTGCCACCGTTTTGTGAAGTCACCTGTTTGCTATTTCTATTACCTCAATCAATCTCCGCAAGTCTATTGTGCCCAGTATATATATTGTCAAATCGCGTGGGACTTAATGCCGACAGAACACAACACGCTCCCTGGTTCGAACAACAACTTGACCGGGGCTCTTGACACACGCATCCAACACAAACGACGTGTCAACGGCGCTTCGAACCCCCATTCCGCAGAAACCAATCAGCAGGTTCTCAAACTTTGAAACTCTGTACGAATGTTGCAGCAAATGGGACAAACTCCAGCTCGTTGCCACGCTTTCCACCTCACCTCATCATCCTTATCCTCGTCATCGTTTTCTTCATTCTTTCCTTCGTCCTCCTCTTCTTCCTTCTCTTCGTCTTCATCTTCTTCTTCTTCCTCATCTTCTTCCTCCTCTTCCTTCTTCTTGGCCTTCTTCGACTTTCTAGACGTTTTCGACTTCTTCTTGGGCGGCTCCTCGTCCGACTCCTCCTCCTCGGACGCACTCGCCGCCTCTTCCTCTTCCTCGGATTCGGACTCTTCTACCTCCACCTTCTTCTTCTTCTCCTTCGTCTGCAAGGAAATCAAGTAGATTCTTGTTTACATTCTGAGATTGGAATTCGAGCAATGCGTCTCTCATAGTTATGAGTCCGGATGTTTTTGAACGCGCTCGGAGCCTCTTCTTCCTCGGCTTCGCACTCTTCCACCTCCACCTTCTTCTCCTTCGCCTGCACAAGATTTAAGTCGAAGCTCGGTACGCATTCTGAACTTCGATTCTCAAAGCTTTTGCACCTCCACCTTCTTCTTCTTCTCCTTCGCCTGCGCGAAAGAGTTTTTCATTCGAGAGTCGACGTTCAAAAATAAGATGTTTAAGCAGTTATCGTCGTGATCTTGCTACGTCTAAACACCTCAATCGCGCTCGCCGCTTTTTCTGCTTCGCCGCTTCTTCCTCCACCTTTCCTTTTTCTCCCACGCCTGCACAATCCTCATTCAATTTTGGATCTTCCAGCATTTTCCCATCCTAAAGCTTGATTCTGAGTTAGCCGACACAATCGCCGCCTCTCATCGTATTCAGATTCCTCCGACCTGGACTTCACGTTTCTCCGCTTCGCCTTCATAATTCTCTGATGCATGTTTAGTTCGTACCTGTTATCTTCTTCAAGCCATTTGTCAATTGCAAGGTCCTACAAATCATCTGGCGAACATGGGCGTCCGTGAACCCAATATCGCATCGTTTTGCCGCTACCTGGCTTGCATGCCAATACAGTTGGCCGACCTCGGAAGACTCAATTCGGTCACACTTGCGCCTAAGTCGGTTCTATAAAACCACACACTACTTTCTTGGACCAATTAACCGCCCAGGATAGCCCCTCCCGCAGTCCAGACCGTAGAAAAACGCGGATCACGTTCAATTTGAAGTGCTTTGACACAGTTGCGCTTGAGAAACTCGCGTAGAGCGTAGCTGAGCGAATCACCTACGAGACCAGCGAACCTGAGCAGAATTTCACGATAAGGAGCAACAAACAACTCAAGGAAACAGCCTCACCTTCTTCTTCTCCTTCTTCTTCCGCTTCTCCTCCTTTTCCTTCTCCTTCTTTTTCGACTTCTTCTCTTCCTTCTCCTTCTTTTCCGTTTTCTTGGAAACTTTCTTCACTTCCTTCTTTGACTTCTTCTTTGGGGGCTCTTCGACCTCTTCTTCCGATTCGTCATCGTCCTCTTCCTGCGAATGAAATGACAGAAGTTGGCAAATAAGAGTGTGAAAGTCGACGGGGAACTAAACGAAAGCTGATCAGAATGAAGCTTGCTTATAATGGTAAAGCGTGCACTGGAACTTTGGGCGGCTCTTCCCTACTCTTTTCAACAGTTTCGGTCGCTTGGAACAGATCCAAAAGGTAAGTGTTTCCGGGTTGTGGAGGATCTATGTATTTGGGCTCTTCAAGGGAGGCCCCTTTTCTCTTTGACGAAGTAAAGCGATCGCTGCCGGGTTCGTTTCTTCGTCTCCGCTTCGTACCCCTTTGGAAATAGATAGAAAGCCCAACCATTGGAAAGGCGAGAAGCATTTGAGTAGGCTTTGTTTTCTACATTAGTAAGAACGGTTGGCTGTGATACGACGGAAGATGGAAATCGGAGTCGATTTGCCGCGATCTCTTAGAGCTTTTGATATGCACTTGCGCTGCCGAAACTAGTGTCTTTCAACTCTAGTAGTACTTCGCATGTCAATGTGGTCTGTAAGACCGACCGAAAGTCAAGAGTTATTGGGCACCTCAAAAGCGGCTCAAAATGAGGCATTCTATGTGGTCCACTCGGACCTTGTCACCACCTCTTAAAACGCAGAGGACTTGGACCTCAGCATGACTCTGATGGCCCTGCTTTTGGAAAAGGGCGTCCGAATCTGACCGTGCGCCGCATACTCAACGCCGCAAAAACGCGCTCTGACGTCGCAGCAAAACTCTGAAGCGCACAGGTGCGGCAACTCAAGACAACTGTAGCAAGCCATTTTTATACCATGGCTCAAAAAGAGGGAATACAAACAAGAAAAGCTTTTTAGATGTTCAAAAAAGTATAGAAACGCCTTCCTAAAGAGCTGGTCTTGAAGTCTCAGTCGCCGAAGGACAGCGCATTCGTTCTGCTGCTTACCTCGTCGGCCTCGTCATCTGACTCCTCTTCGGCGTCAGACTCCTCCGACTCGTCCTTCGACTTCTTCTTGCCCTTGGACGCCTTCTTCTTTGCCTTCTTCGCCTCCTACAGTAGCAAAAGCGCTTGCTTGTGTATTGACTCGGAAAGATTCGACTAGGAGGCAACTTCGCAGAAAGGATTCCAAGCTGAATTCTGACTTGAATTTCACGCCAAGCATGGCCGCCCGCCTTGTCTGGTTTCTCCTCGCCGTGACAAACGCAAGTGCAACAGAGGCTTCAAGGGAAATACAAGCCTCTTTTGCTATCCTTGACTGGAGTGTAGATGACTTACTTTCTTTGTGCCACCGGTTCACGCAGACGGGAATCTGTTTATGGCAGAAGAGGAGATTATGACGAGAGTAACGCCAGGTTTCTTCACATATTTCGCTGTGCCCATGCTAACAAGAAACCAGGTACGAGAAGCCGAAAGAAACACAAAAAGCTTACCTCTTTCTCACGCTTCAACCTTGCCTTCTCAGCCTTCCGCTTCTTCTCCGCCCTCTTCTTCTCGTCCTGCGTAATACCGGCATTGTGAAGATCAAGCAATGCGGAGCGGCAAGCGATTAGTCAGGTTGCGTGGTTTGCACAAAGACGTTGAGCAGATTCAATCGCAGTCCCTCGACTGTGCATAGCGAGGGCAAAAGTACTTTATCAAAGGTACTCCTCCAAAAGGGCGTGCAGGATTGCAGTCCAGATCGGACCCAACGCAAGCGAGGCCATCAGTTGTCGCTTTTATTGGCCCCCAATATCGCTCGATTCACTTTGACGGAGTGTTCGAATCTGAGCGCTGCAATTGGAGCAGGAAGACCACGTGATTGAACCGGCCCCTTCAAACTCCGGATAGATAAAGTCACAAGAACCGAGATTCAAAAACCGATGATGAGCAGATTGACAACGGGATACAAAAACCGTTCCAGCACACCAAAGAGCGGGGCAGGAAGCTTACGGCCGCTGCCAGGTCCTTGTCCGAGGCCTTGTGCGGCTTTTCTAGGAACTCAAACGCGCGCGTCACTTGCTCCTCCTGCATAGCGTGCTCCCCAGATTTAGCAAGCTTTCACAGAATGCTCCTTGGAACATTCTCGAATTTATTAGCACTATTACTCTATCGTGGAGATAACCTATTCTCGATCCCCTGTTTGGAACATACTGCAGCTCTGATAGCAGTCTCTCCACAACAAGCGCTCCACGATAAGAAGATGCTATACTGAAAGCGGCCCCGGTCTTAAGCCCCCATATCAAACACTCAGATGCATCAATTGACACTCCAACACGCCCTTCCAAAATTTGGGCCTCAAATCCAGAGCCTCCTTTGAACAGGTGTGTATTGGCTGCCTACCTTTGTGCCCTTCGTTGGCAGGTCCAGAAAGTCGAGCAACTGGTTCAGGCCTTCCTTGGTTAGCCGCTGTACCCTCTCCTTGGCGGCCGTCCGCTCTTTGTCCTGGAACAAAACAAAGTCAGCTCTCACAAAGAAGCTAACCACCATCTTGAAACAAGCTAAGCATCATCTTTATATAAGCTAACCATAATCTTACAACAAGCTAACCATGGATAACTGGCTTAAAATGGAAGCTGGAGAGACCATATTGTCTCTTGTCAGCGTTGCATTTGCAGCCAATTGCCTGCCTCGTTTAAGGTGTTCAAGTTGACCTTAATCCATCAGACTAAGGACACAAGGCCCAAGTAGTCCTAGCTCAGTGCTCAAAGTCAGGCAAAACAAACGAGCAAATTTTCTGCAGTGCGAGCAAAGGGGAACCCCCTTCACATCCAGATTGTAGGGCGCAAAGACCAAACGTGTGGGGCTGGTGGCTCTAACATGTTACTGGCAGAGCACAGCTTCTGCCAGTGACACAAAACAGGAAGACTGCCTAACACAAGAAGCTTGAGCAGGCGTCATGAGGAGCAGGCACCATAAAGCAGGATGCCCTTACGTCCTCAAACACGAAGCCTGAAAACTCCTGGATGTGCTTCTTCAGCTCAGTTGCCTGCAACATAGAGATGATTGGTACATGGATACTTGGCCAGAGAATGACTGCAAGGAAAAGCAGAGGGAATCACGAATCCTAATTTCGCAACCATAGGCCGCAAAGATAGGCTGGTTTGTGCTTCTCCAATTCAGCCTTCATTGAAAAGCTCAGGTGCCTATTGGCTCACTCAAAAGCAGATGAAGGAACGGAATTCCAAGTCTGCGTCATGAGGTCAAACGCAAGCATGTTCTTAGACGTCCACTACTCCCTGATAAGTGCCACCCGAGTGTATAACACAGGGTACGTTTTCTGTCTGCAGGCTGCTGGCTTTCTGACAAGCTGACAAGGGACCTGAGTCGACGACAAATCAAATCCTCACCTTTCCTCTCCGCTTGAACATGATCATGTGAGCTTGGCTCAGGATCTCGTCAGACCTTGTCAGCTTGGACAGCTTGAAAGCAACTGTAGGAAGGACATGGAGTAAGACCATGGTAGAGGAAAATCTGATCTAGGTCAGATGCTGTCAATGCAAGGTTCACTTGCATTGTTCCAAGCGTCCCAGATCCCTGTAACATGCAGCGAACAAAGGCTTACAAAAGCAAGGTTTCCTGAAATTGGAAAGTTTGAAAGAATGTTGCAGTTGGGATTCTACGAGTTGTTTTCTCAGGCCTCTTTCTCTAAAGACAATCCGTTTCTCTCTCAGGAACAAGGTGGTTGCAGAAATACAGGAGTCCAGAGCCTCACCATTTGGGATGTCCTTCAGAGGTTTACCCTTGCCCTGGAAGCAAGAAAAGATACACCACGTTGATTCTCCTGTGCAACCTTTATCTTCCAAGCCCTAGCTCACCGCAACAGAATTCAAAAGAATCAAATAGAAGTTGGAGTGCTGGAAGTTGTGAGAGTGTGAAGGGACACCTCAAGGAGAGGGACACTGGAGCATGTCACAGAAACAGAGGGACGGCATTACTTCCAGAGGTTATGTAGACACGTCAACGAGCAACTGCTGAATTAAAAGAGAAAGGTGGCAGCTTGCATCAGAATGTAAGCTAACAAATAGAAGTGGGAAGATTTAAGGGGACATCTAAGATAAACATGCATGCATGCATTGCAAGTTCCTGGCTTACGCTTTCCACTAGTAAAGCTTCAGTGGATCTATGTTAACATGGCTGACACTCTGAACCCAGATTGTGGAGTCTGCGCATATGCTCGACATTACGGCCATTGGCACTGATTGGCTGTATGGTAGTGAAATGAACCTGAGGAGGACAGTTTGCCAGCCGCAACTCAACTCCCCGGCTACACTCTTAGGGGAATTTGGCCTTGTGACCAATGCAAGCCAAGCGGTCCCCTATCAGAAAGCCGGAGCGCCCCTACCAGAGGGGAGTGCCGGAATAAAATCGCTGCACTGATTGGCGGTCTCTGAGGTTTGAGCAACCCACCTTCTTGATGACGATTTCAATCTCCTGCTTGGGCTCCCCAACTGTCAGCCGCTGCACTTCTTTCCGTTCTCTGGTCGGCCTCGACCGCTCCACCGGCGCCGCCGCCTCCCTGGGCCGCTTTGCTCCTTTCTTTTTCTCTGTCTTCTCCTCCTCCTCTTGCTTCTTTTCCTTCTTCTCCTCTGCCTTCTCTTCCGGCTTCTTTTCGGTCTTTTTCTCTGCTTTCTTTTCAGTCTTCTTCTCCGCCTTCTCTACCTGCTTCTTTTCAGTCTTACTCTCTACCTTCTCAATCTTCTTTTCCGGCTTCTTGTCTTCCTTCTTCTCTTTCTTCTCCTCTTTCTTCTCTGCCTTCTCTTCCGGCTTCTTATCCTCTTTCTTCTCTGGCTTCTTCTCAGTCTTCGTTTCTGCCTTCTTGTCCGCTTTCTTTTCCGCCTTCTTCTCTTCCTTCTTCTCTGTTGGTGCTTGTGTCACCTCTACTGCTGGAGCCGTGTCCTTCTCCTGTGTCAGAGCGAGAGCTTCGGTGGTGGTAGCCATGGCGCCCAGGCGGCCAGAATAGACCGCAACTTTTCCGATGAATGCAGTGAATCTGCACCAATCGATATCTTCAAGTTGAACAGAATGAGAGCAGCAAGAAAAATTGGCGGGAATGGTCAGCGATTTGGTTACGCTTTGTCTTAATCTTGGCCCGGTGGTTGAGAAGCTGTACCCGGGGGAACTAGGCTGCAAGGAATCGAGTTTAGGTGCCCGGTACAGAGACCATGCTTACAACAACCGGGGGCATTCCTGAGCATAGCCAAAACCGTTTGCTTGACCAGGCTCAAACCTAAAAGGAGTTTTGAAAAGGGACGCCAATACGGGAGAGCACAACGCAGGCAGGGCTGTACATCTGTGCAGCTCTAGCCTTTCAAGTACCCCATGACTTTGAAGCAGAGGCAGCACCTACCTGGAGGCTCTATTATCCACAGAGGCAGGCGTTTGTTGGAGTGATGAATAGGTAGCTGGGAGTTGTGCCACAGCCACCGGCTTCTGAGTTCAGTAGATGATGCTCTTTGCTTGAAGACAGACAGCCCCGACGGAGACAGAAGAAGAAGGTTCCGCTTGCTTGGGGAAGAATTGATGGACGCTTTCCAGCTCCAGGACGTTGCATCCGTTGGGGTGCGTTGAACATGGCTACCAAGGACGCATGAATGGTGGATCCTGACTTCTCTCGTCGTGAGTGTACATTCAGCTGTCAAAAGACTAGGCTCATCAAGTACCACCTCTCCATTTTCTGTTTTCACAGGGGCGTAGGACTTGGATTGATCAGCTCTGTTTCTAGCCAGAGTCTGTCTTCTCCTGATTATGTGCGGTGAGGGTTTAAATTGGCCTCAAAGCCTGCCTGCTGTTGTTCGATTTCTGACCGGGGTCGCGGTGCATCAAAGGAAGCAGCTCAGGGAAGAGCTGCTCAGAGGTGGCTGCTGCCTGTAGAGAGGCCGATGGCTCACTTACCTTGAGTGACTCTTTCTGCAACTCTCTCCTTTGAGCAAGGAAGCTCACAATCTGATCTTCATTCTATAATCTTCAGCTCCGAGTGGTGAGCCTGCAGGGGCGAATGCTGCTAACATTGAAAGCTTAGCAGGACTGGTCAAAAGCCTTGGCCTGTATCCCAACAAACGATGCTCAGAAGATTCAACACCTTTGAACGAACACAGTTTTTATTTCTACTTGCAGTCAACTTGCCTGCTTGTATACTGACGGGCGCATTAGTTTGCAACGCAGGAACAGCCCGTGAAGGTGCTGCAGTCCAATGGAAGCAACGACGCGAGTTCGCGCGATGCCGTCTGTGGCGGATGCTGCCATCAACACGATTTCGGGACCCTCCGGTGCATTGAAATCAAAGCCTCCGCCACAGGGCGGCACTCTCCAACCCCCTGCGAAGTTCCATTCAGGTGGCGGAATCCCAGGTTTGGCTCATGAACCCCAGGGTTTGAGCTCCGAACCGCGCAGGTTAAGGGCGTCTGGAGAGATGCCTAACGAAGGGTTTCAGCCGGTTGGGAGTCGGTTGCGAGCGATTCGGAAGCGGGATCGTCAGGATGATCTCGAGCCTCCATCTTTCTCACTGGGGATTGGGGAGGTCGCGGAGATGCCTTCGTTCGATCTGGGGATTGACTCAGATGGGGAACCAAACGGTTCCGAGGGTCTTGGGTTGAGGGATTCGAAGGGGTTGCAGAAGTCGAGTGCGGTTGAGGACAAAAGTTTGAGGAACCTGCGAGGGCCGCAAAAGGGTGCAGACGGGATGGCGGGGCGTGGTTTGGGACAAGGACAAAGGGGGGGATCAGAGCGACATGATGAGCTACAAGATGGCAAGGTACGGCCCCGAGAGTCTGAAGAAAGGGCGCAGTTTGACAGGAGAGCTTCGTATGCGGCAGGAAGGCGATTAACCCCTGATAGAACCCCGTCGGAGGCTGCGGCTAAGTCGAGGAACCGACTTCAAAAAGTCTCGTCTGGCGCCTCTGAGAGGGAAGTCCAAGCCGCCGCGCCTAGTCCCCGCGTCGCTCAATCTCCAGACAAACCGGGAGGCGCTTTTGCTGACTCAGACGAGGAAGACCAGGCCCTTCTTAGCATCGACTTTCGAAGCGCAGGCAAGAGACGAGCATCCAACGGGCTAACTCCAATCAGGAAACAGGTTTCTGAGGCAGGTCAGGGACTTGGGTTAGGTGGCTGGAGAGGAAAAGGGGCTGCGCGTGAGAGTGTGGACAGAGTGCCGGTTAGTGATGCGGCGGCAGCACAGACACCACGAGAGGCGGAGCTTAGGAGAGCAGGTAACCTGACAACAGAACTTGAGCCTAGGTCAGGCAAGGTTCCAAGTCGAGTTGACACCGAACCAGCGCAGGGGTCTGAGCAGCAGCATCCAGACGCCGGGCGGTGTCAAAGTTCTGCCAAGCTCCCTTCAGACGGTGTTCGGACCCCCCCTTCGGGGTTGATGCAGAAGCGGAACGGGCTGGAGATGGGCTCGCTAGGGGAGCGGAAGCGTGTTAACTCGAGCGGAGTGTCGGATGGGCTTGAGGTTTTGTTGAAACGAAGCTCGGGCGTTGCTTTGGGGGCCAGTCTTGAAGAAAGATTGGGCGAGAAAGGCGCGAGGAAAGAAGAGAGCAAGTTCGGTGGGAGGGACTTCGTCCCGGATTCAGAGGACGACGAGATCGAGGACGTTTCGTCTCCAGAAGCAAAGAAAGTGCCAGGTCAGACCACGTCTCTAATGGTTCTGACTTGTTTTCTTCTTGAGATTTGGTAAACAAGGTCATTTGTATGCGGTATTGTTTCGTCGTCAACCCCTTTCGGCTCTTCATTTCGCAGCACCGATCTTCTACTAAATTGTCACGCTTGCCATTTCGCTTTCAACAGATGCATGCTCCACCGTGTGTTCCAATTATCACTTCGTTGCACTCTGAATCTTTCCTCAGCATCCAGAAAAGTCAGGATCAGCCTGTTTTTCTCTGCCCAACTCTCTAACGATGCGGTCTTTGTAATGGGAACACGGTCTTTCTTGCCCTCCTCGGCCGACTGCACTCCCAAGAGCGTTTTCACAAGCAGCGCGTTTGAAAAAAAACCTCTAGCCTCGATTTTGACCCTCGAACCTGGATTCTCAATCTCGAACATGAAACCTCAACATTAACCGCAATCCTCGATCTTGAACCTGTCCTGCAGTTGGCCCTGTTTCTGGCAAACGAAGGGTCACCCTCGGCTCCGCACATCTGCGCCAGGACCAGCCTCGGGCGAATCACACAACGCCACGTGGCCAAACAATAACCACTCCAATCGGTCCTGAGGCCCGCGTTCTGAGGACCCCACTAGATGGGGAGAAACAGGAGCCTCTTTCCAGACAAATGCAAAACTCGAAGGGAGACGAACTAGGCATGGACAAATGGCCAGGAGACGCGGAGCTTGGCGTGAAGAGTGCGAAAAAGCTGTCGGGGGAGGGAAGCGGGGGATCAGCTTCAGGGAGAAAGAGCTCCTTGCTGTCCGGGTTGAGAAAGCGGAAGTCAGACGAGAACGGCGGCGGTTGGTCTGAATGGCCCGCGAACGCATTCGGGGGCTTAGGGGTGGACGAATCTGGCAGAAGTGGAAAGGAGAACGGAATTGGAACTGGAGAAGGGAGGAGGAACCAGAACGGAAACGGAACCCAATTCGGCTCGGAAGAAGACGGCATGGGGGCCAGACGGCCAGTTCCGCCGGATCTTGAAAATGGACGGAAGGGAGGGTTAGTGGATAACCCGGCCGCAAAGGTGAAGGGTTCCAGTCCTAGTTGGAATGTGAGGGAGGCAAAGAAAGGGAAACGGTGGTCGGGATTCGGGGCTGCGGAGGAGACCAGTGCTGGCTTTGCCGGTTTTGGAACCACTTCGGAGCGGACTTACCCGGCGTTCGGGGCAGCGGCGGGGGGTTTCGGAACCGGTTCCGAACGGACCTACCCGCCTTTCGGGGCGACAACAGGTAGCGATAACCCGGGTTTTGAGAAGGGTTTCGAGCGGAGTTACCCGCCCTTTGGGGGTTTGCGTAGAGAGGGTCCGTCAGGCCGGGAGCGTGACGGTTTTGCAGAAGACGCGGAAGGTCTTGGCGGATTTGGGGAAGGGTTCAAGGGTTTCGGGGGCGCCTCTCGAGGGGTGTCGAGCGCGGGCGGTGATGAAAGGGCGGAACGGGACAGAGGTTCGAGGCGTCCCTGGAGTCCTCCCCCTCCGGACTTCGGTTCGCTAGAAGACGACGAAGATACCTGGGGAGGGGGAGCCACAGGATCGGGGATTGGGAGCAGAGCGGAACGGAATGCGGAGTGGGGTGGCGGAACGGAAGCTGGGAACGGTACGGAACGGGCGGACGGGACGGAATCGGCGCACGGAATGGCGGCGGCGGAGAACGGAACGGATTGGGAGAGAAGGCCCAATTGGGGCGAGGATCTGGATGCGAACGGACTTGACGCGGACGGATTGGGACAGGGCGGCACGAGAGAGGGCGGACCTGGAGCGGACGGAAGCGGAGCGAGCGGAACCGGGGCAGCGGAACAGGAGGCCGTTGTGCGGTTGCTGCGGGAGAGGCTGCCGCACTATAAGCCGCTGGATATGCTGATGCGAGAGGGCGGGTTTGACAATGAACCAATCTTCATTGATTACAGGTGAGTGATTACCGGATTGACGAATCATCCGGCTGTGCTTCTGTTCGAAGCACTCGGCAAATGCAGACACCTTGCTTTCTGACCGACTCTTTCTAAAAGCAAAGCTCGATCACTTTTGTGGGAAGCGCTCTTCTTCGGCAAAGCACGTCCGCCCTTCATCACAAGTAGGTTTTCTGCACTCTCCTGGGTGTGTTTCTCCGGATCTCTATATGCACTTCATTCCGTCCGTTTTCAGAAACCAATTCGCCGACATACCTGCGGGAGGCGGCGGCACCTCCCGTAGCTACGGCGGCAAGAAGTCCAGCAGCGGACGCCGCCCTGCGAAGCCTGCGGGGCCCGTTCACACCGGCGGTTCACAGGAGAAGGGCCACTGGACAACCATCGGCGGCAAGAAGGTGGGAATACCCTCACTCCCGCAGACACTGTCATCAATCGAGGCCCTCGGTTTGCTGGATCCCTCTGACAAAGAGCGTCGGAAACGAGACAGTCTGCTTGAAAGAGTGGGGGACTGGTCATATCACCGGAGGCGCTTCCAGTTACATTCAGGCGCTGTTGGGAGTAAACGTTAGGGGTGCTAGGTTTATGACATTGACTATGGTGCTCTAAGGCCAACTTGATAATGTGATTGCCGCATGTGGGGATAAGCGACAGTTCATGCAAGAGGGTTTCAGTAGCGCGCCACGTGACTCAGTGGATATGTCGGTTGCGCCTCTTCTGCTGTCCGGTAGTTGTCGAGAGAGTGCAAACACTTCCTCCTGAACTAGCGGACATATGATTTCAGTGGTCCTTGTCTGTCTAAGGTCGATCGTTTTGATCAACGTCCTGCCTTCCGGAGCGCTTACGCAGCGAAGCTGCATTTGGAAGCGTGCAATGCTCTCGAAATCCGGAACGTGTTTCTGAAGTTCGATTGAGGGCCAGAACACTGTTATCGGCGACCACCAGAGTATGTATCCGGTGTTTTGGTCGCCATTATGAAAGCCGCTCATAACGCCGTTTTCTGTGTCGCCAGGTGTACGTCAACAAGACGGGAAAGACGCTCGAAGGTCGCGCCGCGTACCGGAGCCATCTGAAGGTGAGATTTTCTGGTTGAATCTCTTGTAAGAATCCGCTAAAAATCTGCGATGGTTCTTTGTTGGGATGTATTGGAACACTGGTATCGCGGTACTAGCCGCGAGTGAAATGTAGAAGAAATCGTGACCGCTTATTGAGAGCTGGCCAAAGGTTCGGCGTAAATTGACTCTGTCGTGCCTGACATTGGGTTTAGTGTCGGCTCTCTGTTCGAGAGGCCGGCTGATTCGCACGCTGTTGTTGTGACTAGATAGGCCTCACATGACTTGACTTTGTGTCATTGTTTTCTCACTCCCGCTTCGCTTAACCCTTGTGCATACATTGGGTGAACTCTGTTATTTAAAAGCCCGTCGAGTGCGCACTTCATCGAGATTCCGTCACTGACATCTGAGATCTGGCTTTTCATGGCTCGCATGAGAGTCTTATGGACTTCAATCCGCCTTAGTCTGCATCAGAGACCGTCCTCTCCGGTTGCTGCTGCTACCAAAAGGCTTTTTGAACGCTTGTCTTTTCGTCACCTCCTTGAAGCGTGCATAGTAAATTGGTCTGTTGCTCCTGCAGGATAGCGGTGCCCAACCCAAAAAGAAGAGGAAAAAGGCTCGACGAAAAGGAGCTAGCAAGAAGCGGTAACAGGTTGAAGTTCTTATCCTCGTAACCTGTTCTGCTGGCCCGTCCACTGCGTAAACATACTGAAGGTCGATCTGAAAGAAACGGCCAGCGAGCACCGAGCGGTAACGAGTTGAAGTTATGCTTAGTTGCGTTGCTGAAAGATGCTGTAGTTACTGCAATCGCTGGCCCCTTGTCAGTGTAACCATCTGATTCATGTATTGAGGTCTGCCTCGCACAGGGCTGCCAGGCGAATCTTTCCGTTATTGGCACTTCCTTTATGAATGGTAGCAACTTAATTGCCACTCAGGATATGTGCAACAGAGCCTTCAGAGCAGGTTCTTCTTGCGCTGTGATCGAGTGTAGTGTGAACAATCCGGCCCGAGTGCGTGCGGTGCCGTTATTTGCGTGCTTGTGAAACACACGATTATTCAAGGGTGCTCAGCGATAGTTGATGCTTGTGCGGGATATATCTGTACACATTCAGTATACCAAGCGATGTCGCGCTACATGCATGCAATTGCACAAGCTCCCATGCCTACATTTCCAGCTAGGCACACACATGTGCAGTGCGCAGGCGCACATGACATACCAAATGAGTCAGCAGAGGTATCCAGTCATTCACTTCTCATCGCATGTGTAAGGAGCTCCTTAAAAATGCATCAAATGGGCAGAGCGCGCGCAACGTACGAAGGCCAAAATCGTGTATGGGGCGGTGCGAGGCCTAGCTTGTTTCATCTTGGAACCTCGTCAGACTCAAACGCGGATGTCGCTCCTTGCAGCCAGCTTTTACACTTGTGCATATAGATGCCGACGCCGCTCCTTATTTGGTCCTAAAGTCTTAATCTCGTATGCTGTACGCCTTGACGTTGTCATGCACGTCGCGCATCGAAGTTCTGCAACCGGATGCAAAGAAACATTGTATGTACGGTGCTCAATCAAGCAGGTGGCTCCGTCAACTGCACTAGTGGCCCTGACGCGGCGTGTAGATTATGGTCATGCTTACAGATTTCGTGCCTTCTTGAAATTCCGTATGTACGTCTGTGCACCTGTCCATACCGACTGACTGGATGACCGAAATGCATAAGAGCCCGCCAATCATCTCTTCGTATTGCTCAGGTCTATGTACAAAAGTAGGGAAGAAAATGGTAAGAAAATGGCAGAAGACAGAAGGCAGAAGGCATGCTCCGTATCGAAGCTTGCACCGCACTGCTCAAAGTTAGGCTTCAGGATGAGAGCGATGCTCTGGGAGAACACTAGACTGAGCGGCACGGCTCGGGAGAATGTTGTCCGCCAATAGAACAGACGAATAGTCGGGGCCCTCGCAGCAGAGATGCCATCCTCCTTTCTGCAAAATATGCCTGGTACGCTTCACCATCCATAAAAGGTTTCTACATCGAGGCTAAGAGCATCCTACATTTCTTTTACGGAAGACCGTGAGACCAACTCATAAGTAAGAGAATTCAAACCAGGAGCGGCTGTTAAGCTCACCTGGAACCTCCTACTCTTCCACCTCTGCGCCGAGAAGCTCGCAGAACGTGTTGCACGCGTTCTTGTGCGTTGGCCAATGCAGCTTCTGGTGCTCCTTGCTGGGATGGCAAGGCATGCGAAGCGGAATTAGTCAAGTCGCCGTTTCTGCAGAGCTCTCCTCTCGCGAAATATCTTACTTGTTTGCATCTTGTTCCAGATCCTCGGGTGGCAGTGCCATATGAATTGAACGGTTGAAAAAATCGAAACAATCCAACCCACCAGAACAAAAGAGAGTCGAGCCAAAAACTGCGGTTTTCGATACCCCTTACTAATGGTCAAGGGCGGGGCAGCTGACATACAAACGGCGCGTGATGTACTCTTGGGCAGCCAAATGCAAACCTTCCTATCCGAAGTTCAATATTTTACATGACGAGAATGATCTGATCAATCTACAGTAATACGTATCCTCTTCCCAACATTTCCCTAGAAAATCTATCTGAAACTGCATTGAAGAGTCCGTCCTCTCACCAGCAATAGTAAGCAGACTTGCAGGCCCCGCACTTCTTCAGATCCTTGTAAGGGAATTGCAGCATGAGGTCGGGGTTGCACTGAGACCAGGAGCAGAGCGTTTGAAACCCCATGGCGCATTTCGCTAGGGCCCGTAAGTTTTGGAGATACTGGGAAATGTGTGGAGGCCACTCTGCGCGCGGGTTTGACAGCAGCTGCTTCAGAATGCTCCACAAACCTGGACATGGAGTCGCGAGCTGAAACTTCCCCGAGACTGGCGAAAGCACTCTAGCGCCTCCCCTTTTCTGCAACATTGATCGCGTGACTCTGTCGTCTAACAAGACGAGAAGCGCGTGCGTGCATCCTACTCTGGCAGTCACGTTCACATCCACGCTCGCAGCTTTCGAAAGCACCTTGACGATAAGCTCGCAAAACTCTAGCTTCTCAATCATCCAGATGCGGCTATCTTTGCACGATTCGGCCGTTGCCATCACTCCCAGTAAAGTGCCAACGGCGTTTGCCGGGTTGTCCTCTCCAAGCACAGGCTCAAGCGGACTCATGCGCGTTGCTTCAAGTGAAAGCATTCGCTGGATGCTTGTGAGGACTTGCATATCGCTTCGAAGCAAAGCACGGAACTTCTTTGATGCCCTGCTGAGGCCACAGAGTGCCCTAAGCGCCAGGCAATTGAGAGGCCTAGCTGCAGCAGGATTGTCTGCGAAGAGCGTTGTGCAGTGAAGGCAGGCGACCAAGCGTGCAAAGATCCTTTCTTCTGATCCCAGCCTGAGAATGATCTGAGCCATCCTTCGGGAATCAACCATCAGCGCTATCACTACGACGGACCAGAGCTCTAGGCCAGCCAATCTGCTGAATTCATGGGGGTCTAGAAGATTCTCGAGACTGATATCTTTTCGTTTCAAGAAGTCTTCGTCCCTGCCTGAAAGCATCTGCTTGAGGAGCTTGATTAAGACCGCTCCATTCTCCTGAAGAGCCGCCTCCTGCATCTCACGAGTCATCTGCACTATAGCTCTAGAGTTGATTCCAGCGAGGCCGGTGGTTGCCAGGTCGCACATGAAAACCTCTTTGAATACTGTAAAGCCTTCCATGACAGCTATGGGATCGTCCTTCTTCAAGCGCTGAGCAATTTCTTTCGCCAACGACTGCATGTCTTCCACGCTGGCCTTCTTAAAGAACTCTTCCGTCATGGCTGGCCCCGCCATCCTGTTCGGCAAGAAGCCTGCCGATTCCTTATCTTGGCCTTGGTCTCTTTTCAGATTGAGCCTTTGACCAAGCGCATGGCATCCTGATCTCTCAGAAACTCCTTCTGAGCTGTTCTCTTGCCTGTCCCTTGCGCGCCTCGAAAATTAAACATCGTGCTCTGATTCTTAAGCTACTTCAGGGCGCAGCGTTCCTTCTCTTCCTTCCCAATCATGCTCTTCTGTTATCTCTTCTGTGACCTTGGCTTGGAAGGAAGTGGATGATCTCCGACCTTAGCGGTCATTCTTAACCAGGAGACCGGATGGCGCGAAGTTCTTATCGTCCTTGATTGTGTAGTCTTACAGACTGCTACCGGGCAACTCACAAACTGTGACATGCATGGAACAACCGGGTAGTCATCACACATCATCTTCAATCACCTTCGACGGTCGATAGAGCATTCGAGCTCATCGTACGGTCCACTTCGACGTTTTCCCCTTGCTTAGGTAAATCAACCCTTGACTGCTGCGCAACCTACAGGATCCAAGTAGACATCTTCCAGAGTGTTCTGCCTGTTTCAGCCTTGATTAGAAGTGCGCGCTTCCGCCGCCATTCTGTCTGGAGTGGTCTGCCCAAACTCCATCCTGGACCTTGGACGAGAACAGCGCGCTATCTGATTCAAAGGGTGGAGCTTTCAGTAGGTCCCTTCTGAGCTTTGCGCATGAGTCGCCCTTGTGCTGTAAGGCTAACCTCTGCTCTGGTCTAAAAGGTCTCTACCGCTGTCTTCGACGCCACGATAGCACGAAGCATACATGCTTTTCCATGATGGAGGTAGTCAGCTTGGAATCAAGTTTGGCCCTTGCGCCTCCAGAAGTCTTAGATATTGCAGAGAAGGTGCGCAAAGCCTGCCCGAAGAGCTTTCAGGCGCTCGAAAATACAAGCAGAGCTTTCCGGGGCTCTGCAAGAAGGTGCACCAAGTCTCTGGTTGTGAAACCCTCAAGCGAGGCTGGAAGGCAGACAGCGCTAGAACTAGAGGAAGAAAGCAGGAACACCTTTGCGCATCCCTGTGCGCAACTCTTGGAGGAAATCAGGAAGCGACCGGGCCTCGTTAAGCTGGTCATGATGGAGCCAAGTAACTTTGAGTGGCGCCCAAGGCCTTCGATCTTGGCAGCCCTGAGCATCACTCCTTGGATGAAGTGCAAGGTCATCGGAGACAAGAAGACCCTCCACGAGCCGAATGACATTACGGGAGAGTACGCACTAGCTCCCTGGAAGGGATCCTATGGCGAGCGTGCGCTGAGCAACTCAAAAGCAACCCTCAGAAAGCTGAGTTTGACCAGCTTTGATTTTGATGTCACTGAGTCGAAGCTTTCAGAAACGATCCAAGGGTTCCCATTCCTTACTTCTTTGAAACTTGGAGGCTACGGACTGATAGGCAGCTCATTGGCGCACGAAAATCTGGTGAAGCTGGAAGTTTCTGATCTTTCGACCGGCCCGTCCGCTGTGGAACTGGTTCAGCTAATCTCCAGCACATCCGCTGTTCCTCCAAATTTAGTCTGGAGGCTGCCTAAACTGCGAAGCCTGAGGGCGCCAGCTTGTTGCTCTATGAGCGAAGCAAGCTACGAAATCCTACTGCTGAGTTCACTCTCCGCCTGCCGTTCCTTACCTTTGAATCTTCAGAATCTTGAGCTCATTTTGCAGTTATCTGTGCGAATCAGGGGTTGGCTTGGGCCCTCCGTTGATCGGTTCTTTGTTCACATGCTGGAGATCTCTGATTGCCCTCTGCTTCGGTCCATCTGCGTGCGCATGGGCGAGTCAGAGAGAGCCTCAGAGATGAGCGCGGAACGGGTCCAACTTCTGTTTGCTGCGGAAGTCGCGCGGATGTTCACTGTGTCTCCTCAACTCGAGGAGGTAAGGTTTGAACGGAGCAACGGCGAAGAGATGGTAAAATGGGAGCGGACACCCCGGGTCCTGGGAGCCGGAGTGTAGAAGCCAACGGAGCTTGGGATTGTAGAAAGGCTGTAAGATGATAGGATACAGCAGGACGGAAGCCTGACGTTTCAAGTCATGGTTTAGTTTTAGTACGTCGGACCAAAAGCACTTCAAACTTTTTCTGGAGAGCTTGGTGTGAAGTTTAGTTGCTGCACATTGTCGAACCGAGACGTACCAAGATGGATCTATGAAGGCAGAGTGGACGTAAACAAAGATACCTGTTAGGTATTGATACCGTGCATCTTGTACAAACCGAGAAACATTCAAGTTCTATACAGATAAAGTTTAGAAGGGGTAATATTCTCCAACTGCTTCGCTTTCAGTATACTGTCCATGAACATGTAAGTTGATCAGGCTGGCGTCACGCTTATACGTAGTCGGCTTCTTCAATCTGATAAGTACCGGGTACGGACAGGCTGATGGTGGCCAAAGAATCAAGTTTCATGGTTTCGAATCAGCATATGAATGCGGACGTTAAGAGCTTGCAGCAATTATGAGGCTTCCTATAAGATCTTTATGTACAAGTAAGTTGCATTCTTCGCAGATTTGAGGTTTTGGACGTTCGCAGTAACGCACTACATGGCATTCCATCAGAACTTTCTTTTTACTCGCGGCCTCGTCCACAGCATGTTTTCCACCGAATCTGGCTGAAACCAATAGATCTCGTATTCAACATTTGGGATTCTGGACTATCGTAAGAACACATTACCTCGACTGCAGCTTGCAAGCATGCAACGCAGAAGCTAGGACTAGGTTCTGAGCGGACCTTGCTACGAATCCAAAATGCCAAAATTTGGATTCTCAGTCAACCTGCGCATGCACTTCCATTCATGGATCACGTTGTTGCTCCAAAGCTGATCTGCCAAGTTTGTTTTGACCTTTGGTTTTGCGGTTCGATCGAGTTAGCAAACATCTGACTCGAAACCTCACAAAATGCATGCATAAGTCAGTCCGGGTCATTGAACCGGTCGCATCAATCGTCGACTTCGACGGCTCCGATAACAGCCTCGAGTCCATCGTACGCTCTACCTCGACGCTACCCGATAACCCCCTCGCTTACCAATCCCTTGACGTTGCAGATTCATCCTACTTGCTGTGCAATTGTGTCTCGTGCGTCATACTTGACATTCCACTACCCATCATCATTGATTTGAGATTTTGCCTCGTCACCGCAATGCCAGACTGCAGTAGTCCTTTAAGCTGGAACCTTATTCATTGAAATCTTTCGCTCCCACCTCCATGCTGGCTGAAGGCGGAATGCTTGCCCACGCAGCTACAGGGCGCTAGCTAAAACAGCTTGCGCATCTTGAGGTACTTCGTGCGCCTTTCGCATGAGCGCCCGTGTGCGCCAATTGTCCGCTCAACACTACTTTCGAACCTTTTTTCTTGGAGCTTCAAGCGCTTGTATCCACGAAGCATAACTTTCTTTTCCTTTCCTTTTTGAATATGGAGACAGTCTGCTCCGAACCAGAAATGGCCCTTCCTCCACCGGAGATCCTAGACATCATCACAGAGAAGGTGCGAAAAGACTGCCCGAAGAGCTTTCAGGCGCTCGAAAGTACCAGCAGAGCGTTCCGGGACTCGGCAAGAAGACTCACTAAGTCTCTGGTTGTGACTCCTTCCAACGAAAGGGAAACAAATACAGAGCCAGAACCAAAGGAAGGGTGCAGCACGTCCGGGCGTCCTTGTTGGCGACTCCTGGAGGAGTTCAAGAAGCGTCCGGGCCTCTCTAAGCTGGTTGTGATAGAGCCAAATACCTCGGAGTGGCGGCGCGGGTCTTCGACTTTGAGAGCTCTGTGCAGCATTTCGTGGGTGAAGTGCAAGGGTATTGGCTTCGAGACGCCTCTAGAAGAGCCGGATGTCCTTATGAGAGACTATTCAAAATCTATGTGGGCGGGATCGTCTCCGTGGGTGGGATCGTACTGCGAGCGCGCGCTGATCAATTCCCAATTCAGCCTTCGAAAGCTGACTCTGACCAGCTACGATTTCGATATCTGTGATGAGGAGCAGTTTTTAGAAACGATCCCACGGTATCTTCGCTACGAGTGGAACGGCAAAGTGCACTCTGTAAGGTGGGGCGAGGAGAGACGTCCTGCCAAATGAAGTGTAAGTGTCAGGAAGACTTTGGGTTCGCAACAATGCAAAAGCCTTGGGAACTTCGATGTTGCGCAGGAGGGATGACTTCTCAAGTCACGCTAGCACTAGCTCAGTACATGCAAAAGTTCAACAGTTTCTCTACTTAGAACGATTTGGTGTAAAAATGAATGCTCTAAGGAGTAAATGTGAGACATACCAATCTGTCAAGCCAGAGCGAAGGAAGCAGATATGACTTTCACGGGTCCTGGTGTGCATCTTGTGGAAGCCGAGAAAGACTGGGCGTTCCAACCTCTTTGCACTTAGTTCTCAGGTGTAATGATCCGGCCAACAGTTTCGCGCTATCTAGGAATACAATCACGGCTTGTATGTCACGTGATCGACAGATGTGTGTAGATACTTGAGTACAAGACCCGGACATGGTGCTTGAGACTAATTTCCAAAGCTCGTCAGAGAAAATGAGTGCTATAGCTCAAGATGACGCTTTCCGTGAGTCGGGTCTTGGTACAACCGACACGAATGTGTCACAATGTGTTTGCAAATATGCAGGACAATTGGAAGACGATTTGCGTCTTTTTATGCAAATCATTTGTCACCTATAATCATGCGAGCTTGCATCATGCATCACCAGCACCATGCATCGATCATGGCCGGGCATTACCTGCACTTTCGAGTTTGTACATATATTTTTGAGTCAATTGTACTATAATAATGTCAAGAAGGCAACGGGTCCTGCACACTCTCATACGTGGCCGCGCGAGATGCTCTCTGATCAATATCGTCATTTCAACATTCATTCATACTTCAATCAGAAGGCCGTAGCTTTCGCCATGGACCTAACGGGGGCCGGTACAGACATGTCACGAGTTCGATCCCTGAATTCGAGAAGCTACTCTACCACTATACTACCAACGTAGGGTAGTCATGCATCTGCGCCATTCCGATGTACGTGAGCAGAACGGTCGATCTCTGCGCGTGCAATTTCATACGTCCGTCGGGATGCTTCTGAAGACGCCGCAACACGGCTGTCGCCCGGCCGCGCCGCGTGGCCGGGCCAGCTTTATGACTTGGAGTACAATACTGTGTTGTTGACTGATCGCTCGTCTGGCATGCTTGCTTGTTCCGCCATGCGGTCATGTTGCTAAGTACATTCACACAGGATGGGTCAACGTATCAAGATTTGTCTGTGCATCTGCTTAAGTCATTGTCCCAATCGTAAGTTGTAATGAACGTGTTAGAGCGCAGTGCATCGTTTGTCACTCACCAGAGCTCCCCGCCCGCACCCATATGCATGTATGTCCCATCGTATCCAACAGAGAGCAAGGCTGACTTGAGGTAACCGTGCTTGATCACATTCTTCGCAGCACATCTTGCTGACCTTGACCTGGCCGGTTATACACAAGAGGCCAAAATCCCTGCGTTGGTTCTCTCTGAACAGGTGTCCTACTATCTTACAATGAACAAACTCTGAAACAATCCGTGGAACTTACGGAGTATAAGCTATAGGAAAAAGGCACGCGCGCTCTCAAAGTTGAGGCTCTGCAGCTCGAACTCCCGCATGAACAGCTCGAGCCGCTTCCTGACCAGTTCCAAATTGTGCGCTTCCGCTTCCGTCGTTCCGCCCACTCGCTTGCTCCAGCTCTGGAGGCCCTGCATTCCGCTCCCGATGTTGACCAAGGAAGTGTAGGCTGCGTCGCAGGTCGTCTTCTCTTCGGCGAGGTGAGCCTGCGAAGAGTTGACTTATCTCTGTTAAAAGGACGCCAATTTGTTGTGTCTCTCTCGTCATGTATATCCACACTGTCCCACCTTGAGAGGAGTTTTCCATTTCGGCAGGAAGCGACAGTGAAACGAAGCGAGTATCAAGTCTTCTCCAATCGACTATCCTTGCGACTTTTTGATTCAAGAGCACAGAAAAGCTGCGCGGATATACATCGACGTGAAACTTATTGCAATCGAAAGGAGAAAAAAGCAAAATCCCGTCCTAGGATCTTTCTCTTCCGCGAACTTATGACCGCTCTGAATGTTTGCGAGCCGCCTTTGCCGTCGACGTTTAGGAAGACCACAAGGGTCTGTGTTGAACAATCTGGTAACAAGCCTTCAGGTATCGGACTTACGTCAGCGGACGTCAACAATTGCACCCTCTCGCTCAAAAGAAATCTGCGTATGTACGTCCCCCACCTGAGCTGACGTCAGCCATCCGAGGCTGTCGAATGCCCGGCCCTGGCCCAGAACCTCTAGAAGGTACGCCAGCCCCAGCGCAAAGCCGTCGTCCGTGACAAGCGGTTGGGTTCCCGTGCCACGGGTCTCCCTCGCGCCCTTCTTGGCGAGCTGCTCCTTGGCCGCGAGCATCGCCTCGGTTGATGACGTCATCAGCGCGGGGGCGAGCAGGAAGAAGGTGCCGAGGTGGCGGTTCTGATCGGTTTGGAGTTCCCGAGAGAAGACTGTGGCCTGGAAGAAGCAGAGGTTCCAAGGTTGTCAAAGGAAAACACAGTCCCAAAAAGACCCCGGATACAAAAAATGTCACACTAAAAAGAAGCAAAGAAACAAAGCCCAAAAACGTCAAACCGCCTAAGAAGAGGTTCCAAGGTTGTCAGGTTTGGTGGAGAAAGGGAGGGGCAAAGCGACGGATGGCGCATGACTAGACGGCAGGTCTGGTCGGTTTGAAGCTCTTGGGAGAGAAGTGAGGCCTGGAATAAGCCATAGATTTACGAGGATCCATGTCGGGGAAATAAAGCGAGCGGGTAAGTGACAACTAGAGACATGCTCAGATGGCAATTATGGTTCGGTTCTTCTCCAGGAGAGACCGAGGCTTGTAAGGAAAAGACACCGATCCAGTTGCTGGGTCGAGAGAAAGAGCCGAGAGCAGAAAGCGACCACTAGCGAGCTGCACGGAGGGCTGTTCTGGTCAAATGAAAATAAATGAAAGAAGACCAAGGCCTCAAAGGCATAGCCAACCTTAGTTTCTAAGGCCACAGACATGACCTGGGGGAAGGAGCAGAGGCAAAGAGATGCTCGACTTGGGGTTCTGGTCGCTTCGGGTTCTTTGGGCAAATGGCTTCATGAAACGAGAGGGGGAAATAACTTTGATGGGTCGGACGGACCCGAGGGGAGAAATGGAGGTCAGAACTGGTGCCTAGATGGTGGTTCAGGTTGATCTGGACGATTCGAAAGGAAGCAGGGACCCGAGAGGAAGAGTGTAGAGGTGTTCGCTCCAGGTGATTCAGCAAGGAACAACGTGCTAGATCGGCTGATACACGGAACTCCCATGGGACATACCCCGTTTTCTCAGACTTGTGCGAATGGCAAACGATGGCGCTCGAAGGACGACTCGAGATTTCAACCTCTACGACAAAGAGGGGACAATGGAAAATGTCCAGATTAGTCAAAGATCGAGGAAAAGCACGGAGGGAACAGGGGAAAAGAAGGAGCGGTAAAGATTGGGAGAGAACGGAGAAAGGGAAAGGGCCTAGAGTAAAGCCATACCAGCATCCGCAGGTAATGAGCGCTGTCCTTGGCCCCCCTCTCGGTCAACGTTCGAAGCGTCTCGTCCAATCCCCTGGCCGCTCTCACAGCCGAGGGCGCATCCACACCGGCCGCCAAAGTGACTGCCTCAAAAGGCCGCGCTTCTAGTTCCCGCCCGGACGTCGACGCTTCTTCCTCGCTCGCTGGTGTGAACGCGCTCTCTCCCGGCGCTGCCAATACGCTATGCTCCGGCGGCGTGGCTGCTCCAATTTCTCGCGCTGTTGCCAAGCCATGCTCCGACGGCGTCGATAAGCTTTGCTCTGACGATCTTGATACGCTATGCTCTGGTGGAAGGGTTACGCTATGCTCCGGAAGATTTGACGAGCTATTTTCAGACGGTGTGAATAGGCTCGCGGGTGTGAAGGCGGCGCCGGCGCAGTGCTGGGAGGCCCCGTTGGCGACCATTCTCACAAAGCCCAGCGCGTTACCGATCTCGCCGACGAGGCCTCGCAGGACGTCCAAAGCGCTCTGGTCCGATTCTGCGTCCGGAAACGGAATAATCCTCAGTTTCGTTATATGTATTCAGCGTATTGCAATGGATGGTAATCACGAACAATAATGGATGTATGTCTATTATGTGGCTGAGGTTGACCCAAGGTGTTGGGACTTAATCGACGACAATCTCCTCGGCAACGCCTTCAGAACGTTAAGACTGCACAATTCAACCCAGCGGGACCCAGGGGTCTGTCGATCTTGATCTTTAGCAGAAGCTGCATTGGTAAGGTCTCCAAGCGAGATACTGTCTGCTGAAAACAGGTCATGAGAGAACGAATCAAATCATCCACACGGAGTCTCAGGCCGTTCACAGCACATGGGCTATAAGAATGGTTCGTGCCGGTTTCACGACGAGCTGTTGTTGGTGACAAGAGATGGCTTTGTGGTGAGGCAGAATTTCACGTGAACAATTTGCGATCACAATATCAAAGTATCTGGATGCAACGTCTGAAAACAAAGCTCCAAGGGCATTCATATTCCGGTTTTTTGAGAGGTACGAAGCAAGGGTCGGGGAATCCAGAGTCGATGTCCAAAAGTTGGACGTTCGAGGTTTGAGATTTGATTCGCGGCGTTTGCGGCCCAGAGCTACAGGTGATTCCAATGCTAGATACGATTGTGAAAAGCAGCACAGAACAAACGAAACTTGATTGATTCGGGTAAGGCGCTGACCTGCTTTCCGCAGCTTTTTGATGTCTTTGATGAGTTTCTGTGCCCGTGCAACCGGGTACTCCCCAGGCAGATCCCCCTTGCCTCCGTGCCTGTTCACATCGGCCTTCTGGTCCATCATCTCCCGGTAGTACTTTCGCTCCTGCAGAATATTATGTGAATAAGTTCTTTTAGCAACGCCGCTGGTATCTGTGCAGAATATGTGCAGGGAGAAATGAGAGATCGTTAGTCGGTCCCCATCTAAAAAGAAGACCCGGAAGAAGGGCGATCGATCCGCCAGACACCAACCAAAGCCACCAGGGCTGACGTCAGCTTAACCTCCCAAAAGATACCTTTGTCATTGAGCAGCGCACGCAAGAGGGGTCTAAACTCCCACTGCATTGCAATGGAAATGCAGGAAAACATAACACACTCAATATTCGAAGTAAGAAGAGAGAGGCGGAAGAGAAGAGGCGCTAACCCCACCTTGACCATCCGCGACTTGATTCCGTCATCGTACAGCGCCTGCGAGAGCGCCACGAGGCGCTTGGCCAGAAACTGGTACACAAAGTTGACCGCTGTTGTCACGATGCCCAGGCCGTGCGTGTTGATCCCATTGGCGATGTTGCGGACTTGAACCGTGTGTAAGTACTTGCGCCGGCGGGCGGCAGACGGCCGTTCTATGAATACCTGCAACATAACTCCGCATGCTTAATAACAATGAGTAAGGTGTTTCCTCTTCCGCTTCTCCATTCCCTGTTGAGAATCGTTGCTTGGATCTTTCAACGGGATCCTGCAAACAATCACTAGGCCGTGCGTGTTGATCCCGTTAAGGACGTTGCGGACTTGGACCGTGTGCAGGTACTTGCGCCAACGAGCTGCGGACGGCCGCTCTATGAAAACCTGCAAAGTAATTAACTTTTCTGTTTGAAAGATTCAGAGTGATACCGGTGTCTTACTTCCAATTTCCGCTGTCAGGGATTGCTGATACCCTTTTTCAAGCTGATCATGTGAGAACGATGTTGCAAACGCCGGCGGGCAGCCGCCGGCCGTTCTATGTACACCCGCAAAGAAAAGTAAGCATGCTTTATAAATCATAACAGTAATTGGGATTGTTTCCCCTCCTCGCCTTCCCCTTTTCTCCTTTCCCCTGCTAAGAATCGTTGCTTGAAATTTTCAACGGGATCCTGCAAACAATCTCTAATGCGTATTCACGCCTTTGGCGATACTGCGGACTTGGACCCTGTGCAGGTACTGGCGCCGGCGGGCTGCGGACGTCCGCTCTACAAAAACCTGCGAAGCGGCTCGAAGTCGGATTAGAAAACTGTGTGCGTTGAGGCAGAAGCTGGTCTTCTTTTATTATCGTGTATACTTCGTTTCCAATGTTGCCCGCTCTACGTGTGCATATGATATGGGACTCTGCGGCAATCGGGCGGGAGGAGAAGACTTGCAAGAAGAGCTACGCTCTTCTTCTATGTCGCCTTGCATTTTCCTGTCCTCTTACTCTTCGAACGATGCGCGCCCCGCCGTTTCTTTGTTCTCGTTTTCTTTCACCTGTATCACTCCTCCTTCCTTATGGTCCTTTTTCCAAGTCATCTCGTCTTTCCTCTTGTCCTCGTCGATTGGTAACCGCCGTTTCCACAGGTTTCAAGCTTGAAATCCTTTTCATTGGTTCCCTTGATTGTTCTTCTATCCCTCCGCTCTTATTTTTCTGTGCTCCGCCCTTCTCAACATTTTTCTCTCTCCCAATTATCTGCGCCGACCCTACTCACCATCACTGTCAAGTGCGACAACGCTTTTGGCCTCCGTTTTATTGCTCGTCTTGCAAAGGGTGGACCTGGCCAGCACATCCCGAGGTTCATACAAAGCAGTACTTGAAGTTCCGCCTATTTTCTGCAAAGATGAGGGTCAGGGGTATTCTCACCTGGCCATTCAGGTCGTACGTGTACTGCTGCGCGAGGGTGTGAATATTCCGCATGAGGAACAAGACGTCCTGTCCGTGCTCCAAGTTCTGAGGGGGCAGGTGGATGTCGTCTAAACGGAGGCCGTATTTGTCCTGGAAAACAGCAAATGAGAAGCGATAAGAGGGCTTGTCTTGCGATGCTAAGCAAGTTGGCAAAAGAAGCCAAGCTGTGATGAAGAGGAGACAATGGCTGCCGAAATGAAATGAGCACCAGCGGTACTAGTATTGATGGCCCGATTCCCGAGGAGGACAGAATCAGGAAGAGACCAAGAAAGGAGCGGCAGGGATAAGACAAGAGCGCTTGTTGAAAAGTGGGACGTCCTGACGTCAGGTTGTAGATTGGACGTAATGAGAATTCTTTTTGAAGAGCACGACCGAGACAATAAAGAACCGTTCATGAAACAGATCAGTGCAAGCGTCGACGGGAGGACGAGAAAGCGATGAACAAGGCACCTATGAATGGGAGAAGGGCGGGTAGAGAAACAGGGGTGAATAGAGAAGCCTGTCAATTGCAAAAGAGGTGTGAGAAGTAAATGACAAGAAGAATACGTCACTGAAGCAGCGTCTCACCTGTGCCAGCTGTCGCATGTCGCTGTAAGCTTTCCAGTTGTGCAGCGCAACCGCGGTGTGATCGTAAAACGCGGCGTTCAAATACGCCTCTAACCGCTCCTTAACCACGATGGTTTGCGACCCTAACCGGATGGGGCGCATGCTCAGGAAGCAGGACAGGTCCCTAACCCCGGTCCGGGTTGGGTCAAGCGTGACCGCGCCGGTTAGGGTGTGGGAATGGTTGTGGAGGCGGAGGTCGGTCTCGATTGCGTGACACAGTGGAGCGATCACTTCCTGCAGAAAGAAGCTCTCGACAGTTCGGGCTTTTTCCGTTGGAGATTGACAATCTTTTGACGAAGCAAGAGAGTTTGCGTGGCTCGAGAGTAACCAACGCTGGTAGGGCGTGCGAATGGTTGTAACGGCAGGGCTCAAGCTCGATCGAGTGAGACCGGAGCGACCGTTGCTGCAAAAGGAGGTACCTTGGTAAGTGGGAAACAAGGCTAGTCGCACCTGACTTGTGCTTGAACGGAAGGTTGAGGGTCGTTGTGGCAGTCAAACGTGCCAAGAAAAGGCAAGTCAAAGATCGGTCTCGAGTGCGTGACACAACGAAGCAACCAAACCCCTCTCCCGATCAAAAGGTTGAGACGCTAAGGAACGCTGAGATTAAGGATCCAAAAAGAGAGAAACCTTCCAAGCAATCGTCGCTGTAGAAGCAAATCAGGGCCCTTGAGTTGTAATCATGAGCTTTGAGCTTCAGCTTGCTAGCGAGGAACTGGGCGCACGGCTTGAGTAAAGGGAATATACTTTACTACAATTTCGCATCATCTCCCTCCGGACGATACCTTCTACTTCATGGAGGCGGTTTGCAATCATCCGGTACCTTTCTAACTTGTGCTGCTTTCTGCCGATAATAAACCTCTGCTATTCTCAGTGACGTAAGCAAGCGCTGTTCTCAAAAGAGAAGAGCCACTGACGGTGGTCACATGAGACAGGAACGCCGCAAACGTTGCATCAATCCATCCCAACAGGCATCAACAAACGATAGTACACCTGTTGTGACAACCAGAAGACCTCTTGCTATTCCAAAGAGCATCACAAGATTGGACAAAGTCGCTCCAGAGGAGCACGCGCTCGATCATTTTTGTCCGATTGCAGACTTGCCTGGGTCACAATCTCCTCAATCTCCCCTTCGACCGACGCGATGACGTCATCGTCCGCGCCCGCCCGCCGCAGGAGCCGCAGACCGTCGACGAAGGCGGCAACTAGGTCGGGGATGAGGTGCGGGCGGGAGGGGGGCTGGCATGCCACCTGGCAAAAAGCGATTGGCCCATCTTGGAGTCTCCATGATTGTAAATGGCCGTTTGACTTTCACTTTCTTGAAAGCAACCGCTGTGACTCGCTTACTAACTGAGTGGGTGCTTCAAAGAATGGTCTCTGGCGAAGCTGTCGGAAACGGCCCACTTGGAGGAAACGCTTTGCGTATTAACCAACTCTATCCATTTCCAATTGTTGGGTAAGACAAAGACGTGCCACGTGCTTTCATCTGATTCTGCCACGTTCCAAACGATTGTCCCCACCAAGACGGGTGGCGGCACTCCCTGGTAAGGCCGAGTGGTACAAAATGACCTTCAACCGCATTTTAAGGGTGTAACGTTTACCTTTATCAGCAATAGTACGTCATATTTGTTACTAATTATTACTTCTGGCGGAACATTCTCACCCTGAGGGCCACTGGCAGGAGCGCCTTGCGGCTCCAATGAAGGAAGGAGCAGTCACACGTGTCGCGAATCTGTTGGTCCACGTCAGCGCCGAGGGACAGGAGCATGAGGACGTCGTCCAGTTCGGACGTGAGCTGCGGACGGATAAAGTTAAAAGATCTGTGAAAAGCAAAATGGGTAGTCGCAGATCAGGGGCCTAGGTCAAGAAGCTCGTAAAGTGAGCAGAAATGATAGCCAAAGCTTTCGGCGGTTCTGCACCATCGCAAAATGCACGGAAAGAGGGCAACACAAAATTCTCTCTTTCTCATTCTCTACGGAAGATGAAGAGCACGGTAGCGACAGTCAGTTCTGGACGCCTATCCCGATTCTGCTTCCGTTTTCTAACCCTTTCGCCCTTACTCTGAGTTGTACGTTTCCTTTCAGATGCTTTCGCCCGGCCTTATTCCAGTTACAGTCAAAATATTTGCGACGGTGGGCATGGGGGATTCGTTTTTTTGATTCAAGCTGCTCGAAAGAAGACAGATCCCAAAAACATCATCAACTGACTGCTTAAAGCGAACAAATGAGAGCGAACACGATTTGCCCAGCTAATTTTAAACGCTTGAAAACAAGTTCTTTCCCGGTTCGTACCAAGGGACTGGGGTAACAGGAACAAGGAAAACCGGCAAAACAAAGCCACAACGCCATCAGTGAAATCACGAAGGGCTATTAAGGTGACCAAAGAGCGGCTCACCTCTGGCGGAAGTCGCCCCGCGAGGTTCGACTTGACGACGTCGAGGGAGAGGCTGAGCACGATCCGTCGCTGCACGCTTGGCGGGCCCTGCATAGGAAAGAAGTGAGCATGTAGACTCTTCTCCTTGGTTTCAAAAGCCTTCAGGTGGCGTCAATGTCAGAGCACTTTGGGATCGAGATCCTGCGACCTTCGCATGTCGAATGCACCATTTTGGACTCTGCCTCGGGCACCCAATCCGGCCATTTCACCTCCAAACCGTGGCGTCTCAAGTCTCAGAACGCTCGTTCAGAAGGAAACAGATTCAACGCGCTTGGAGATTGAAGTTTACCTTGAAACTTACGCAAAAGTTTCTCTCAAGCGTCAATTCTGCTATTAGAGGTGCTTTAGGGTATGACGCCCAGGCTTGAGTTTTCGCTTCAAGTTGTCGACTTCGAACGGTCTTAGTAATGGATTTTCGCAGAGATTTTGACAGAGCACGCTGCTGCAGGGCAGGCGTAAGGTGCAACAAAAACAGGGCCACTCGTCTCGTTTCGAATTCGGTTATCTTGTTTGTGTATCAAATTATCTATTGACAATCTTTACTACTTGGATACTGCAACCCGAAAAGCAAAGAGTGATCTATCCGTAAGTTGCATAAGAAGAACAGCATCTTGTATACTCAGGAGTCAGCAACCGATCCCGGTGGGCTCCTGAGTCCTGACCTCTCTAAGTGCATTATGCAATCAATTTGCAGACTGCAACGCTAACTCCGAGCTTCCGGTGATTTCTGAGCCCTTCCGCGTGTTCCTCCGCTGCCCAGACGTCATGCTGAGTCGCTACCCGTCGGATGACTTCACAGCCCCTCTGATACCTACCCAAAGAAGCTGCATTGAAAGCTCCGAGGTCAAGAATCCAGGGAATGCACAGTGCACACTGCACACTGCACACTGCAGTCTGCACGGCTCTTGCCACCTATGCCTATTTAGGACTTGTAAGTTGTAATACCTAATACCCTGGGGCCTGGTCCCTAATCCTCTTTGGAAGTTCGCCCTACGAACTTCCAACAAGTCAGGAACTCTCCTCGACCAGATGACATCATCTCTGACGTGTGATGTCACTCCGTGATATTAATTCCGCTCAGCTTGCGGCCCTGGCTGAGGGTGGCGGCCTGCAGGCCGCAGCAGTGGCCGCCCGCCCGTGACTGCCACAAGTCCACTGGGTATAAATTTGACTGTCCTGGCGTTTTGATGCAGCTTTAAATATTAACCGGTAATCTCCTGCAAAGTTGGAATGCCAGGCAGACATTCCTGAATCCTTGGCCAGGCAGACATTCCTTGGCTGACTTCATCCCACCTCTGATGACTTCACTGCCTCCTGACCCGTCGCCGGAGCCCTATTTTCGATCGGACGGTGACCGCCGGCGTACAGTCCGCCAAGTTCGACGAACTTTTCAAGTAGAATTCAAACGCGTACAAGTTACTAGATGACGTCAATCCCGATGTCCGAAGATACTCATGTAACGTCATCCTCGGCAGAGGGATCCACTGCCAGCTCCGAGTCACCGGCATCCGATCCGACTCAGCGGGAAACGGTTTGTCCGATCATCTCACCGTATGGTACCCAGGGCAACCATAAGAACTCGCTGCAGGGGCGTCCGCAAGTTTGAGTGCGTCCTCGTCCGAACGTCCGAAGACATTATCGTGATCAACATAGTACAATGTGTCAATCGTCAAAAGCAGTCAAAAGCAGTCAAATGGCGTCAGCTTTTCAAGTCACCTCGGTCATCCGAAGCGCGAGGTCCGTCGCCGCGAGGGCGTCCGCAAGTTTGACGTCCTCGTCCGAAGGCCCGCGCGTGAACGTCCGGAGCTTGGCGGCCAGGCTGTTGCTCTGAGCAATCAGCACTTCCAAATCCGCCTGTCAAAAATTCACAAACTTCATTTCATTATCAAAACCAAAACGTCTGACTTCGCCTGTTAAAAATCAAAAAGTTCATTCCAGATTCGAAGTCTGGTTCCAGAGTGACAAAATCCTAGAACGACCGAGTCTTTTCCAAATGGTTCAAAATTAGCCTCGAGAATGGAACGGATGGCAGGAATAGAACTGAGAATCGAAAAGAGTGACACGAGGATGCTGAACAAAAGCACGCGCTCTGTATGAGAGATAGGATCAGAAATTCTTCATGAGAGATAGAATCAGAAACAGAATCGCAGAAAGTTGAAGCTAGGAACGTCCAGGCTGTTGATCCACGAAATCAGAATCTCCAAAGCCTTCTTGCACAACAATTTGCAGATCCACGTGCTTTTGATCCTCATACCTCAACAGCGTCTTGCAGCGGGGCCAAGGACTTCCGGACCCGCTCCTGGGCCGTCCGAATCAAGAGCTCCGCCAAAATCCGTCCAAGAACCTGCCAAAAGCTGTCCAAATGCCCAGACCTTCTGCGCGTTTATAAAACGTCAAGCCGTCTTCTGAAACCCATCTTCCGGAAAAGACAAGTTTCTCAACGGATTCGTGTCTGGACTTCGTACCTCGACAGCGTCTCGCAGCGGTTCCAAGATTCTCCGGACCCGCTCCTGGGCCGTCCGTATCATATGTCCGATCGCGAGCGCAGTGTCGCCCCCGCGGCGGAAGAACATCCCCTCGATCGCCTTCAGTAGGCCGGCGAGGCGACCCAGGTAGGCGATCTGCGGGCAGAGGGTCGCCAGATTTCTTTGTCAGAAAAAAACGTGAAGGTTCGTAAGCCTTGGCATGATGCGAGGAAGGGTGCTGGCTTAGATAAAGACGCCCAGAGCGGCACGAGTAAGTGATAGGGTGCCCAGTCGTGAATACCGTAAGAGTTATGAAAGAATAGGAGCTGGGGCGCGCTACCGGCTTATGTAAGACGACTCAGACAGTGGGTGAGTTTTCGCCTGACGCTTGCAAATTGTCAATCAGCGCACGTGAGAGACGCCGCAGACGCCGATTGAAGTTGCATGAGTAATCATCGGTGTTTTGGGCGTCTTGAGGAGCAAAAGAGAGGTCTGGTAAGCCGGGGGAGAGGCTTCGAACGTGGTGAGACATGCACGCGTAAGGGCCACGCTTGCCACTAGGCAAGAGACTCAGTCGCTAAAAACGAAGCATCAGCCTAGTTTAAGGGGGCATGGCCGGATGCATACGCACCGGCGAACGACCCATCAAGGTTTACTTCAGCCGGTCACCCCGCAGGACCAGCTTGTACGTAAATCCTGGCGGCCAAGAACCGCATCCACAATTCTGGTACGTCGCCAAAACTACAGCTTCGAGCGTTGTGTTGGTTGCCACATTCCGATGAACATGCTCACGGAGTCGAACAACACACCCCCGGCTATAAAGATCACAAACAATCTAGAGAACAGGAATGGTCTTTGCCTTGACGGAAGGGGCAACTGCACGGCGAACCCGACGAGTGGCACACAACCACCGGCCAAAACCCTGCGTCTTGTTGTCGGAAACCTTAAAAGAGAACCCCCTCGAAAGCGAGACATCTAATAGAAAGAACATCAACTTTTAAGTTTCCCCACCTGCTCCTTAGAGATGGGCACCTCCAACGACGTGTGCAAGTCGACCGACGTCCGCACGAGGGTTTTCACACGGCTCGCCAGCAACAGTCCTTGCACCAGCAGCTTGAGTCTGCCCGACAGGAGGGTGTGAATAGGCCCCTGGATCGCTGCTGCTGAGTCCGTTCTCACCAGCCACGCGCTGGCAGCGCGGAGAAGGGCCGCCGTCTCTCGGCCCAGATCGTCGTCTAACCTGCAGGGTTAGGACAGCTTGGTTACCTTAATTGGGCGGAAACCCAGAACCAACCTTTCGCTTGGCCCGGTTTTAGAGGCTATTTTGAAAAGTCGTTTCGAGCAGGTATGCACTCGCTTGGGAAGGCCTGTTCCTGTCAAATTGCGCGGAATTATGGAGGGTCGTTGGCGTCAATGACGGGTGAATTACGAAAGTTGGATCACTTTCCAGGAGTCAAACGCTGTCCCAGGTGGAAAGGGCGCGTGTCCACGGGCTGTTGTGCTGCCACTTCTAGTCGGACATCCAGCATAGAGTATTCACTTTTGCCACTAGAAAACCATAGATAAGACGATCCCCTGTCAGGTTGCTCAGAAGGCTGTTAGAGCAACCGCAAACAAATCAAAGGACCCGTCTGGTTCAAGAGGAAAAGAGCACCAGTGACGTGGCAGATGACAGACCAGAAGATACCGAATCGGTTACCAAGGCAAGTGCCGGACACACAATTCAGCAGAAGCTCTTTGCGAAGCTGAGGCGCTACTTGCCTTTGTGCCAGGACCGCGATTCCACTTCAAATCTCCCGTTAAGCCTTCTTCTGAGGGACGCAAACGACTACCCACAATCTTAGCCTCGCAGTGCGAAAGGCTCCTCACTTCTCAAACCCTCACCTCGCCAGATACTCCGCTCGCGCGGTCGCCGCCTCTCTGAGGGGCTCCTTCACCAGCTGGCCGAGCCCCCCCTTTGCGAAACCGGGGGGAAGGTGCGCCATCAAAAACGTATTGGGCTGTACTCGGATGGCGCTGACGAGCGGAATGAGGGGCACCCGCCGGTGGAGCTCCCACACCGGACGGCCAAGTTTGCGGTCCGGAGCTTTGCCTTCGCCTGGCAACATGGTTTCGAGGTTTAAATTTTCACCACTTTTGGAGACCTCAGAAGGTGAGATGGTCACAATCCTCGAATCTTTGCCCTGAATCGGGGTTCTTAGTTGGCGAAGTCCCCAGTGCAGAGGGCTTTGGCGCACTTGCTGGCGAGATATTAAACCGGGCTGCCCAGCTTGCGGTCCAAAGCTTCGCCTTCGCAAGAGAGTTTCAAGCTCAAAAATTCTGCTCAGCGGTTTTAACGGTTTTTAAACGTCAGAACCAGGGGAAAGAGGAAGCAGAAAGTTCCACGCCCCAGGCGGCCCAGCTTCCGATTCAGGGCCTTGCCTTCGCCTCGTGAAGTTCCAACCCCCATTCCTGCAGTCCCGGATCTCTACGTGTTGACACTTCAGAAAGAGGGCATTTAGGCGGGACGAAAAGAGAACGACTGAAGAAGTTTCTACGGCAGACGGCCCATTGTTCAGAGCCCTTGCTTGTGTCTGGCGAGATGGTTCAGGTTTTAAAACTTGGCAATTTTGGATCGTCCATCGGGTGGAAGTTTACGGAAGAGAGCTGTTAGGAGGGATGAAAAGAAAGGGAGCATACACTGGGTGCCAGACGCCCCAGCCCGCAGTCCGGAGCCTTGCAACTGCATGGGACACAAACCAATGCAATTCACGACTCTGTAGATTTGAAGACTGAATGAATCAGGGGCCGCCGCTGATGGAATCCTTTGGTAATTGCATTCCGCCCCCAAATTTCTCTACCAATTGGACACAAGTCCTGACACTATGCCTTCAATAGCCTTCGGCAAGAAGTAGACTGGAGCGAAGTGTGTCAAAGCTCACCACTGAGCCACAGGCAGAGCAAGTAGTTGCACAGCGCCCCTAAGAGACTCCCCCGATCATTCGGACGCTCGTTCGGACCGCCGACTCTGGCGGTGACTTGTCCGAGAGTGTCCTTCACGTGACGCCCAACCTCCTCCAGAAACTGACCCGGTTTGGAACGCAAGGTTTGCATTTCGCCCAGCGGAGCGTAGAAGTCGGCTGCAAAGAGGCGTTGTTTTGGGATCCGGTTAAAGTAATTATCTGAGTCGACGTGGTGTCTTGGGGTTTCTATACGACCAACTTGGAGTACAAGCTGGCTGTAAAAGAAAACGGGGCTTAAAGTAAGAGCTTGGAGTTGTCTCTTTACGTATGTGCAGTAGCTCACTAACATACCTATGCCCACTTTGTGTTGTGAAATTTCTATCAGGGACCCGAATGGTGATGGGTTTCTTTTGCTGGCTGATCCTTCACAGGCTTGCCACTTTCAGCAACATTTATACTGCAGGTTAAAGAGTACACACTCTTGAGCGTCGCAAGACTGTGGGCCTTGCACGCGAAGGCAAGGTAATCTCCATGAATTAAACACTTCTCCGTGACAAATCTCAGGAGTGTAAAGAGGGGAACAGTGATGCCAACGGAGACCACCATTGCACCAGGTCTACTAGTACTTGTGAATCAGTTCAGACATGCCTATCGATAAAGACGAGGACATGAGCCAATTCTCTGAGCGGCTTTCCTATGCCCGTGTGAGCTGCTCGTCTTAGCGCCCACTTTTACCCCCAGAATCAAGCCATTGACATAGACTCGTTTCGTAGCGCACTCTCTATCCCCCCAGCATCAAGACAGGAACAGAAACTAACTTTCTTGGCGCTTTCTCTTACCCCCCAAAGTAACAGGGACAGTATCGCCTACCTGCGAAGCAGTCCCGGAGCGTGCCCCCCCCCAGGATCCCCACCCCCGCTTTGATTTCCTCCAGTGTGTGATCCAGCTCCGCCACATTCTCCCCCTCAAATCCAAAGTTTTCCGGGTCACTACGCACCGTCTCCAGCATTCTCTTGAACATCGAAAACGCCTGCGCCAGCGCTCCGTTCCATGCAATGATCTCATCTAGCGTCGCCAGAACGCCAAACCCCGTGCCCAAGCTCTCGAGCGCCGTCCCTAGTTGGACGTCTCGGAACGACGCGAAGACTTGCCGGCTGGGGGGGGTCTTTTTGGGGGGCTCTAGTGGGGGGTAGAGCGAAGCAAGTTGCAGGACGAGGTTCTGGAGAATCTGGCGGAGGCGCCGGAAGAGCGCGGCGGCTTCCATAAGCAGGGGGAGCTTATGAGCTAGGAGAAGCTGCAGCTCGCCCTCCTGGGGGATCTCCTCCGGGCGCTCTCCGAAGGCAATAAGGGCCGGGAAAATATGCGTATGCGCCCGTGCCCTTATGTGCTCGATCTCTGCGCACAGATACCCTGCGACTGTCATCAGCTTTGCAAAGGGCGTGTTGTCGACTGACGTGTGTATCAGTGATTGAATGGAAGCGTGTTCAATTGGGGTGGTAGTAAGAGCAATTGGATCGGTGCTGATATCCGACACCTCTGGAACGGGGGGTGCATCGGTTGGGGCCAACCTGCCCAGAATGCCCCCCCTTTCTGAGGCCCATTCATCCACAAAGCGCCGGAGCTGCTCGTGCTGTTCCTCTGCAGCGACAGAAGGGACAGTCGCCATTGAAAGAGTGGTGGTAGAAACCAACTAGCTTGTTAGGCTGCTTCTGTACCTAGAATTCTTCAACAGCTCTCACAAAGGGGCAGGGCTTTCGGAGCTGCTACCTTCGATGCGAGTGGTTTGGATAGAAAGAACTACATCAAAGCCGCATTTCGCAAGGCCCATTGTGACTTCAGGCAGGGGCCTCAGAGACTCTTGCCACCGCCCCACATGACGAGATTCAAGGGTACCGCACATGCAGCTGGAACAACTTCAAGCTGGTGAAAGTGGGTGACACTTCGAAGGCACTCCCTGGTTAAAAGTGTCAACCAGGGAAATTTGCCCTCACTTGAAGTTGAACTTGAACACCCTCCTGGTCCAGAGTGAACAGTAGTACCTAGCTACTATTTATAATTATTTATTCCTACTATTTATTTAACTACGTTTAACCTACGAGCTGGCTGGGCTGGCTGCTTGAATATTGTCAAAAGCCCTGGGCTAGCATTGACACTAGCCGTTCGATGGCACGTTCTTCAAAAACTGGCACCGTTTAAAGTCAATCCTCAATGCTAGCCGTCGACACTCATATCGGACGGACAGTATCAGCCTAGCTGCAAAATTGGAAACGTAGAGTCTTGCATTGAGTGGCGCACTTCCCTCCGGATCTGGATTCTGGACAGAGAAGGACCCCAGCTGGAAAAGGGAAAGGCGCACGTATTTTCAACAAAACCAGGTGGAGCTGCGTACTGAGGAGCTTGGGCAGACATCTGTTCATGCTGTTTATCCTGGAAGCGCCTGTTTCTGAACAGCCGTGGCTTCAAGGAGCCACAGACGAGACGGATCTAGCAGAAAAAGGCACACCCTTGGCAGATTACGCTTTAGACTGGCTTTCAAGGAGAATGACGGGCAGAGCTCTCACTGAAACATTGTCACATCAAAGTGCACTTTAAGGATTTGATGGTGTCTCCAGTTCTGAACACAGGGGGCTGACAAAAAGAAGAGAGTTGGCCAAAGCTGCATGAGCTCGCTACTAACACCCGCCGCACTGTTACAGCCCACCGTTTCTGCTCGTGCTAAGCTTCATTTCTGAGGGGAGAGTAGAGGGACGCATATTGAAGTTGCACTGACATCTACGTTGCTGCATACATTTGCATGCACGCCCAATGCCGTTCATATAGTTTAGCCCACATTCAACCAAGGCTATTCAACTGCTAACCAAAAGCATGGCGAAGCAGTGGAGCGGCAACACTAACCACTTGAGAACCAACGGCTTCACCAGCGAAGCTCCATATGCAACTGAGAGCACTTACCCCGCCGCAGAGACGTCCCCGCAGACCGTTCTGAAGCCAATGGCTGAGCGACAGCTCGCACCCTGGGAGAAGCACGACGTGCCAAAGCCGCGGGGAAAGGCGCCGTACTCGCCTGGACAAACTCCAAGGACACCAAGCAAGGCAAAGGCCCCGTTTGCAACTGCAGAGGAGGACCAAGAAGACTTGGAACAAGAAAAGGTGGGGCTTTGTTGAGGGATCTCCTCTAGACATTTCTCTAGAAAGGAAGGGTAGTCTAATGCAAAGTTCAGGGTTAGCGAAGGCGTGAGTCCTCGCATTCCTCAGACTGGAGGTTGGCATTCGAGGCCTTCAGTAGATTTGCTTTTAGACAGAGGGTGTGGGGATGTGGTCATATCCAGCCAGCGTCTGTCTTTGCTACATGAACTTGCAGGCTGTGGACAAAAGCAAAAAACCGTCAAACCAAGCACTTGGAGTTGACAAACTTCGGAGGGCAGGTTGCTCATCTCACCTTCTTAGGCAAACCCTTGTTCACTCACTGCTTACACGGCAGTTTCAGTCGGCGATCTCTTGAGTTGCAACTGTTCCGTCTGGAGAATATGTGTTGTTAGTGTCATGTAACTTGGAGCACCAAGTTTTTTTGTTTGGCCATGTCCTGATAGCAAAGGGTGTTATCAACTTGGTAGGATTTCTTAGAGCCGGCAAGAAGGACTAGTGGACATCTGTAATCTGAGGTGGGTTGAACCTCCGGATCTGGTAATGGTCGATCTGGGGTTTGCTGTCTTAGACAACAAGCAGACTATCTATGATTGATTACGCTAGGGTTTGCCACCGTGATTCTAGATTGTTTAGGAATTGTCCAAATGGCCAGCTGTTATTTGCTCCTTTTGGCGCCCTTCTAATTGGACGACTTGTCTGCTGAATGGACCATGATGGAAAATGGCGCTTGTGCTTGGAAAGGGATGTCAACCGCAAAAGTTATACGAATGCAATCTCTGAATTTGGATTTCGTTTTGACAGGCGTGAGCAGTGTGCCGCCGTTTGAAGCATGTTTTTTGAAATTGAAGCGACTGTTTGCAGAAACATCTAGTACATTCTGAACGTTGCTGGATGCATATTTTGACATCACGAAGCTAATATCTTTCAAACAAGTAACCAAATTTCAGCTGAGGGAGTGACGAAGATCTTTCGGCAAGGATACAATTCTGCAAGAATACAATTCTTCAGTGCCCCATTTCTGCATCGCTGGAAGCGGTCCAGAGCATATGCACACTCAAAGCCCTTTTCAAATCCAAAATTTGCTGCCGCAGGGAAGCTTCCAACGAACTCCAGTTTCTCGTTAGTTCTGCTCTTGCTTTCGTCCCTTCTTCGATTCGTCTAGCCTAAGAGCGTTTGTTGGAATCTGTCGGTTTCAGCAGAGACGACAAGAGAATAAGAGAGACGCAGCACATTTGGCGTGAGTGTGATGTGACAGAGAAGAGACAGTTTGCAAGAGATAGCGGAAAAGAGGAAGATGCAGTAAGTGGCAGTGAATCATTCGCTCCGTTCAATTTCTTCCTTGTACTCACACCAGAGATCATGTTTTGCAGACGCCACCCCGGCAAATAAAGGCTCCATGGGATCGAGATGAGACAGTCTTCCTAGGAAAGGTAAGTTGCACTGTCGGTGCCAATCACACTCCAATCCCGGCATCGGGGCCGAACAGTGGCTCCTTTTTTGTGAGCCTGGAAGGGGACAAGTGGCCTGAAGTTGGCCAGTTGATTCAGCAGGCCTTCAAATCAATGATCTAAGTTGATAGGCTCAATCCTCGCGTGAGTAGTCATGAAGGCACTGTCGGTAAGAAAGTAAAAAAGCATTAGCAGGCTATGGCCAATGACGCCGAACGCGTCGTTCGGCTGAAAGGGGAGGTCAGCCTTGCTTCATGAGTCCAAGCGGTAAACTAGAAAGAACTTTATCATTCCTGATAAGTCGTCTTCCATACTAGAAACTTTCACATACAATGATATAAAGCCTGCATGTGGCGTTGTCACCCTTACCTCCACTTTGCATAGAACACCGCTTTTGCATTGGGGTTAAATTGTTGACATGCTTGTTATATCTTCTTCTGCAACTATTGGTCACTGAGGTTGACAGCAAAAGACGAAGTTTTAGGCCTGGTGCAGAGATAGGAGAGCCCTGCGCTCAGCCCTTGTACTGGACACATCTATGCAAAATTGCAATTCTTCGGGCTAGTCCTCAACAAAAATTCCCGGTTGTGCAGACATGGGGCACATCACTCCCCTTCCTTACACCCTTGTAGAAGTTTGATTCCTCTGATATTTGGTGCTGTCATGGTAGCTTTCTCTCTTTGATTCTTGGTGATGCAGCTTGTGCTGGCCTTGCAACCAGAAAACGGCCTTTCAAAACAGCAAAACCTGCTGCTGGTTCTACTCGTTCTCATGGTGTTGCTACGCTTCATCGCCCTGAAGGAGTTTCACACGAAGGGATCGGCTGATAACCAGGCTCGTTGACCTGTTTTTAATCCTGTTATCCAATGAATGGACAGGTTGTCTAAAGTTATTACTTCTGAAGTCTGGTCAATGGACTTATAACCATCTTCTAACCAGCCGTACTCGACCATGCTTAACCGCTAAAAACCCCGTGTTATTTCATATATGCAGGGCGGGCCACGAAAGTTGGGGTCGTCGTTGGCCCCATATGCTGTGGAGTGATCTGGGCTGAGGCCCTCTGGTAAGCTCGGCCACTTATCCCTTAGCGCTTATTTTACCTGGTCCTATACTTCAGCATTTTCCTGTATCAGGTTCCTCGTTGCTTGCGGTTGAGGTGCTCCTGATCACGTCTGTGTTGATGCTGCAAGCGTGCCGTTAGGAACGGACGAGTGTCATTTGCCACTCCAGAAACGAGCAGCGTCTGGTGTGTTTGGAGAGCCAGAAGCAGAGCGCTCTACCTGGTCTTATCCAGATAGATCGTTCTTGTCGGTCTCATTGACAGCCACCAGGGAAAGTTTTGGGTCAGGCTTTGGGACTTGGGCCTTTTCTACAACAGAGATACCAAAACCCCTTCTCTATCATCATCCACTTAACGGAGGTTTGGCGTGAGGCAGCTATGTCATTCTCTCGTTCTTCAGACTCTATGAGTACAAGCAGCGGGTGTTTACTTCCAACATTCCCTGCTGTCTACACGAGTCTTGTCAATGCGGGGGGCACCCTGTCGATTGCCATTGATACCCCACGTCTGGCACACCTTTCCCCCGTTCTATTGATTTGTGCTCTGGCTTGCATCCATTTTTAGAGTTCGGCTTTACCTTGGAGCGGCGTTCATGTTGCTGCTTCATCTTAATCTCAATATTTGCCTGTTATCATCGTCATGTTGCACCGTTGCGTCTCTTGAGGTTGCGTCGCCTGCTGCGCTTTCTTGCTAGTTCAAGATCAGACGCGCTTTTCTGTCTCTGCAGTTCTGCTGAGAAGCTTCCTTCCAACTGGACGAGTCTCGGCCCTCTCATCGTGCCCCGGCTCACTGGACCCTTTTCGCATAGTAGGAAGTACTGCATAGATACTGGTCGCATTTCGAGTGTACCATTCCTAGGCACATTTGGGGAGGGGCTCCCCCAGTCATTTCGTCAAGGCCTGGCCGAAGTGGATCTTACGAACGGGACATGAGCGGTCGGCTGATGCAGAGAGCTGCATCACTGAGTGCACACAATTGGTCGCCTATAGTACGGTGGATCGAACGCCCTAGAGTAGACTTGCCTCCATAGATGCGTAGATCACAGTCTCGACTGCCTCACTTTGTAGACCACCGTTTGATCAGCTTCTGGCGCTCAGGATGATGCAACTCTAACCCACTGGCCCTCGGCAGATGTAGGGTAGCTGGACGTGAGATCGGATTGTTTTTTATGCGGATAACTTAGCGGGCGTTAAATAACGTGAGTCGTGTCCATTTTTGTTGTCTTCCAGGCTATCATGTGACATATGCAGCCCTGGCATTTGTTGGCATCCTCGTGGATTTGAGTCAGTTTATTTCGATTAAGTTTGTTTCAATTGTCATATCAGCAGCCGGCTCAGTGGCGGCTCGTTGCAGCAGGATCGACGTACGCCGGAGCATGCTCATTCAACAGTTTGCAAATATCCTTAATCGTACAGAAGAGACTGAGCGGGTTGCAATCTCAATCTTGGAAAATTATTTGGATGAGGCGGATGTGTCTAAATGTCTACAACTAAATATCTGTGACGCTAGAAATGAGCGCAACTACCCTATAGGTCGTCGATCTTGGTCCTCTGAGGTACTTGGACGATCTTGGACGTTTGGCGGGCGCGCGAGTTCCACACTTTGGGGAGATGGTTTGTCAATGCGTAGATGGATCATGGCGATCCGGTGGCACTGAAGGCCGGGCAGCAATCTGGCATGAGCTGGCAATGATGAGCTTTTGCACTTCTATGCATCATACTAAAAGCCGCGATTGATTGGAAGTTACCATTGGCACAAGGGCGGCCGTCGGATTATTAATCGCATATAATGTGCACATGGGGCCATGCAGCTGGCATGGCTCATGCTGATGCAGCTCTACAGCTATCTTAGTAGCACAGTGATGTGCCGGCCCGGCGACCTCCTCGGATAGCACATGGCGCGCACTTAATGTGCAAATCGCCATGTGCATGGCTGGCTATAGGCGCAGTACATGCACTGAGTTGGCATATACTGCAACAATAGTGGACGCAGTACACGTGCCATGAACTGTGTCGGATACTGATGGACAATAGTCGAACTTCGCCTCTTAGCAACTCAATTGCGCACAAAATTGACAAGCATGCACTGTATGCCATTAAAAGCCTATGGCGTCTATTCCGAAGAAGCAAACAGGTAACTACTGTCGTTCTGGCTTTGAGAGAACTGATTACAACAGCATGTCATCAGCATGTGAGGGCAAGGGGACGGCAACATTTGAGTAGCAACTAAAGCATGCTCGTATTCCATGCTCGAGCATGAGGACCCGTTGATTTGAATACAAGACCTCGACATCATAAGCCCACAATGCCTTCTTGAAACGGTCACACTGTCTGCAGCGTACAAGGTGCACAAGCTTAAGCCTTGAAACCGCGGGAGTTTCTCCGACCACGAGCCTTCTCGAACTTCCTGCCCTTGGCGCGGACGAACGGCTTGGTGTGGCTGTGGGGCTGGCCGGGAGCGATGCCGAAATGCCGCACGGACTCGCGGGCGTTCTTGGGGCCGCGGAGAAGGATCTGCAAAATCCAAGATCGCGGTGAGCAAAGAGACCAACGGACGGCTCGTACAACTGACGATCGGAAATTCTCGACACCCCTCCCTAATAGAAGCTCAGTTTGAACGAAACAATGTCCAACAAGACAGCAATCACCCTCATTCTCCTTGGAGCGTAGGTTCCAATGAGACACCAGATATATTCTCCAGAAAAAGTGGTTATCTGCAAGGTTTTCAAAAGGAGGGCAGTCAATCATCTCAGTTCAACACCATTGGCACAAGGGTGGTCCACACAACAACGAGTCAACAGCATAATTTGACGGATGCATATTGATCTGGAGTCAATCTCTTTTTCACGTTCCAATAAAAAGTCAGCGACAACAGTCTGCAAATAGCCTAGACAGTAATACACCATCGAGAGGCGATATATGAACATTTCGAAGCATGATTGCGCAGAAGTACGGAGAGTGCAAGTTTTCGCCAGAACATACAAGTAGCCAGCTAAGGAGGACTTGCGCTGCCTCCCTTTCTCAGAGATGATAACTTGACTTACAAAGACTCAGACAAAGGCCAAGCGACCTCAATACTCGTTGATTCACACTGAATGAGAAGCTTTCAATCTTGTCATGGGACAAATCCTCGAACACCCAGATGATAGAGACAACTTTGTGCGACTCTGATGTGATAAATTCTTGTTCAATTTGCACAATACGAAGGTGGATCGACTCCTTGGAATTGACAGCCTTGTTCGGTCAATCTGCATCTTCCAACCAATCAACTTTGTCTAAGATGCGAGATCCAGCACCTGAAACAGAAGCAAACACGAAAAGCCCTCAGAAGAGTCTTGCAGAAATGCTCACAGTGCCTGCACCAGTGGGGGCCCTCAGGGCGAGCTGATCGAAGGTGAGGACCTCGCCCCCCGCTTGCAGGATGCGGGCGCGGGCCGTCTCAGTGGCCTTGAGGCACGCGACCTTGAGCTTGGGGACCTCGTAGAAGCGCACGTCGTCCGTGATGGTGCCAACCACGACCGCAATCTTGTCCTCCTGAGGAAGGGAGAAAGAGTGTTTGTGTTTGTGGATGTCCGAAAAAACGATTCTGCTTGGTGAAGATCCGAGAGGTGCCGCTTTCTTGTTTTCTGGTCACTCAGCAAAGTGCCTTCTGCATGTCGGGGACTACTCTAGAAGCGGTGGTGCTGACCACTACAGCGACGAACACCGCAGCCATCTTGTCCTCATGGAGGGAAAGAAAAAGGAAAGGTGATTACATATAGCCAATTTACCAAGGTTACGTCTCAATACAATCAAGTCATTTAATCAGTAGCTGAGATCTTGAGCAAGTGTCCTCCACAATATGGCATCGCTCACGACGAAACCTTATCCTCCCTCAAAAGAAAGCGGGAGGTCGAACAGACCACACACTTTCCAACGTCCTTCTCAGAACCTCGTTAAGCTACTACTCATGGCACATATCAGAGTAGGCATGTGGGTCCAATCTAACAGCACTGACGCTTGAGCCGCTTGACTCCCAAATATAGGTTGTTTGTATCTTCTTTTAAAAGCTGCTCTATGAGCAACAAAAGAATTCACGCACAGCTGCGGCACAGGATTGGCCCAGAGCCTTGAATGATTGACGTTGCCTCTGGCTAACGTGAAGACTTTGCAAGCATGCATGCTCACTAATCTACCCAACAAATGGTCACTTGGCTGCTTTGTACGCGTTGAAACTACCCATGATGAGGACAGCCAACCATTGGTACAAGTTAGAGTACCTAAGACCAGGGCAAGACAACTGGCATATTGAATCCTTCATAGAAAAATGGGAGAATGGCGGCCTATTGTTGCTGCTACTGAACAGAGCTTATTAGGCTTACTATAGCAAGATTTCAAAAAGCTTCTAAGATAAGGTCCCCGTTGTGACAAATTTTACTGCCTAGTTGAACCTGAAAGTGAAGCACATTCTGATGCTTTCCAGGTTTGAGATTCAACTGGATTTGTAACAGTCCTCACCTTCCCCTTCATGAACTTTGAGAGGCGGGAGATGGAGAGGGGCGGCCTGTTGATTCTGCTCATAAACAGCCTCTTCAGGACCACTGCATTGAACTTGCTGTCGGTTCTGCGCACCAAGAACCTGTACAGCTGCAGAGACACAACGAAAGATGGGCTTAAGACCGAAACTACAACACCGTCCTCATGGCTCGCTTCCAGCAGTTCACTCCCTCTCTTTGCAAGTGACAAAAGTCTACAACTGCTTGTTGGCCATAACTTTGGCGACGCAGCTCAAGAAGAGCTAGCTAAGTAAGTGATAAACCGGTGCTCCCGGTCAATTGTAGATCACCGTTGCACTACACAATCAGTGCCCCGCCAACTCAGGAAGCTTCGGTCAACTCTGCTAAGTGTCTTTGCTTCCTAAGCCAATTGAAGATGGTAGAAAGTTGCTTCAACCAGACTCAGCTGTTTGTGATGTTGCCGAGGCCGATCATTACCAATCTTTGTGGTCACAATGACAGTGGTCCTGTGAGTGAATCAACTGCGGCAAAGTGCTGTCCTGCTCTTATGCGCCAGCTCGTCCCAGAAATGTTTGGCAATGCACAACCTGGCAGGTTGCTCTCTACTTTGAAGAGCCACATGCTTGCTATCGTCGGACCACCTCCGAGCAGGTCAAAACTTCCCAGAAATACGTTCTGCGCATTTACTTGCATCTCTCTTGCCCCATGAGCAGCAGCAAACTTCTACTGTTAGGCCTCCACGCCCCAGAACTTCTGTTTCGATGGTGCGAAGAAAGATCATTGCTCCTTATTTCCTCCCATTCAGAACTTTGCTTGCCATGTACCCCGACCTACTACGAACGATGTTGGACGATCTCCTCCTTGATGAAGAGACTAAAAGGGCTGCAACCTTTGATCACTGATTGCCCCACGATGAGCCATACTGCAAGTCTCCAGAACGAAACGATCGCTCTTGCTTGATCGCTCCCGCCGCAACAAACAGGCTCCTACCAGCTCACACACTGGTGTCCATGTTGGAAGACGTAACCTCTATCCCCTTACCTTGACCAGCAACTTCAGGTACACATTGTCACTCTTGGGAGCGAGCCTGGCAGTCTTCTTGTTGCGGCCCCCGGCCTTCAAGTCGATACCCTGCAACCAACCACAACTACCATTACCAACCGTTCTGATGAATGTACACAATTCCCGGAGAGAGGCCACAAGCAAAATCTGTCGATTGTAAGAGCTTAGTGCACATGCCCCGTAATCAAGAGAGAAGGAAGCAAAGCAATCTAAAGCTGTCGCTGACAGCTTGCCCATGCAAACAATCTGGTAACGGTTTCTTTCGGAGCACAGAGAAACGCAGCCGTCGAGCACAGGAACATGTCATTGACCAAAGAAGGATGCACTGCGCTCGCTCGGATGCGGCAATCTCCTCCATGCGGGCACAGCAGGGCTCACCATGGCTGCGAGAAGCCGCGCCCTTCCCCAGCGACTTCCGAAAGCGTGCTTGAAAGAGGAAGAAGCAAGGGCGGCGAACGCGAACTTGTTCAAGCACTTGGGAGGCCTCGTTTCAGTTGGACGCTTAGCCCGGTTTATATCGACGTCGAAATCCACGGCCCCTGAGAGCCTGCGGCGCTTTCGATGTCGGTATCTCTGTTTCCAAGAACAGGGCCCTGTCTCCAAATGCTCCTTGGAAATTCTGGTGCCAGAGCTTGTATCTTCGGTACTGGTGTCAAGCAGGGTTGTTAGGTCTCCCCTGCCGCGCCCTGTAAAAATGGTCTAGGCGTTGACACCATCTTGGAAACTCTGAGCACAACTTCGCTCTCTGACCAGTTCTTGTGTTCTTCGATCCTCCTCCAATTTCGGAGTCCACTGCATGACGTTGAAAAGCTAGCCTAGCCAGGCTTGAGCATCGACTCAAATGTTCACAGTCACCTAATCTTAGCGGCGGCCTGATCACATGCTAGCACAAGTCGCAAGCGATTCAGGAGTGCATTTGAAGAGTTTCTTTCAGGTTCTGCTGTCGTTCAGATCTGGATCCTGCGCCGATTGCTGCTGCCTGCTGAAGATCGGATGAGGCACCCTCATTTGCTGCTCAGAATGCATTTGTGGTAGAGTAGAGTGCCAGTGCAATCAAAAAGTTAAGATGGCGGACGCTAAGGGAGCGTTTGTTACGCGGGCCTTGGAGAAGCTTCTCAAGGACTCAGCAGGAAGGAAGTATACAAGTCTTCAGAAGGCTTGCAAAGGGTACCTAGGTAAGACTCCCAGCTTGTTTGAGCAAAGTGCACCCATCCAACAAGTTTCATAGCTTCATAATCTGGGAGTCTATTGATCTCAGCTGTTCATTGCTGGTATAAGCACTATCTTTTTAGGGTTTTTGTTGAACATATGCTGTAGAAATGTAGGGGCGCTTCCTTGGCACCAATTGGGTGCATTGTGAAGTTCATTATGTGAGGTTGTAAGGGAGATCATCAGCCGGCAGCGGAACTTTCAGAATCTTTATACATAGCCTGCCGCTGATTGAATGAGACCTTCATGAGGTCTGAAGGAGCTCGGATTGGGGCTAACCAAATGTTCGATGGATGCAGAGCGGCCCCGACCCAAAGCAGCGCCTGCAAGTCCTGCAGCTACGTCAGGAGCACCACCGCCTGACTCCCAGTGAGTTGAAAGCTCTAGAAACTTTTTTTAGTGTTGACAAGCTTCTGTTCAATCCTCGATTCGGTAGGGTCTGATTGTGGTGTCTAATGATTTGAGTGTTTTGCGTGAGAGCGCTTTCTGAGTTCCTCGAATTCTGTTCACTGGTCCGTCAAAAATACCTGTGTAGATCTGCTTTGTAATAAGCAACCCAGCTTGTGTTTATGATAAAACAGGTTGGATATTAGTGAGAGCACGCTTGGTCATTGCACTATTCCTGGAAACCATCCGTTCAAGCTCGGCTTGTGGGCTCACTGGCAGACAACCGCGAGATGTTGGATTGAGCGCACGTCTTGCCTCAACACATTCTTGATGTCAACATCTGATGCTCCAGTAAGGATAGGAGGAGGAGCACTTAGGTGAAACATGTAGCTGCGGTCACTACGGAACAGGATCACAGCGCATTTGCAACTCTGGCTAGGGTGCCCAGAGACGTGTCCAGTTGCAAGTGAGTCAATCAAGCGGTCACAAGGACGAGGCAACCAAGCCACAAGCGTTGATATAAGCTCAAGTAATGTTATTGTCCGTACCACTCTGACTGGTAAAGCGGAGACTCTACCAGGGAACTTAGAAAAAGCCACTGATCGCCCAGAACTACAAAAGGAGTCCAGCAAAAGATTCTACAAGCATCGCTTTGATCTGCAGAAAGGAGCCCCCAGCAGAAGCCCCCCCCCAAATCCCTGAGGAGCTGCACGATGTGTCCCTTGCCAGCCCCCGAACGCCAGTGGCCGGCACACCGGGGACCAAGACACCGAGCGCCCCAGCCAGTCCTGCTGCCACCTCACCCCCCGGGTCTCCTGGCCCAGCAGCGGGGGCCGCTCGAACCATGGCGGAGGCAGGGATGCAGCTCACGGAGAAAGACGCCGAGCTCGTCCTGCTGCCGCTGAAGCTGGCGTGCGAGTCAAAGCAGCCGAAGCTGGTTGAGACGGCGCTGGATTGCTTGCACGTGAGTTTCTTGAGTACTGAGATGATGTAGTTTGCGAATGCGGCTTGATAGCAGGAGCTTGAGCTGGTTCATGGCTGATTCTGCTGATCTCATAAGCATGATAAGACCGAGATCTCAGTGTAGTGCCTATCATTGATTCAGGCAGACTCGTCAGCGCATTTCCCTTTCGAGATTGGTATTGGAACATCTGGGTCGCTCAGGACCAAAAGAGATGGAAGCCAAGTACTGTTCTGTAGATGGCCACCTGGAAATAACGTCTTTCCTCAGGCTGTTGCCTGGGTTGCATCAGTATTTCCGTCTCCTTGAAAATGATAAGGGTAATGACCGATGCTGCTATTGTTACATGCTGCGGCGAAATAGAAGTTGTGCACGGGAGGATGACGGAGGTGGTTTGCATCTGGTTCTTACAAACTGCACATAATATTGCAGAAACTGATTGCTTACGGACACCTGGAGGGCGAGGCTGGCTTGGAGGCGGGGGGCAACAGCAAGATGAACACGGAATTGTTCCAGATGGTCTGCGCATCGGCAGACGTCCCGAATGACAGGTGAGCGGTGGGCTTAGTGCATCGCATGAGCATGATACCATCGCACCAGAGGGTTTCTGAGCTTTGTGCTTCCGGAAGAACCGTTCTGTGCAAAGGCGAGAGAGCCGAGAATTTCAGATGGTCAAAAAAATCGACTGCTATCCACTACAACTTTCGAGGCGTCAAAAAGGCTGGTCCTAGGTACATGAGAGCAACAACGAAGTACCTTCACGGTGACACAAGTTTGCTCATCCAAATATATGAAGAGTATGTTATCTACAACTTTGTTGACATGGCAGGTTGAGTTCAAGTCAACAACAAGGGCACGTGTGCTAGAGAAAACCCGTTTCTATGTTCTCAAAGTTGTGCTTTCTTCTTGCAGTGTGGTTTTGCAAGTCATCAAAGTCCTCCTGACTGCCGTAGCCTCTTCGACCTTCAAAGGTAAGCACTACTCGCCTTGTGAGTTGTTTTGTGGACTACAGAAAATGCGAATTTGGTCAAAATGTCTGCTTTGGCCTGAATTTCATTTCTAAGCAAAGCGCCAGAGTCAGCTCTTGCCGACACCAAGTCCTTGAGAAATGCTGCAATACTACCATGCCATGCAGCTAAGCCACACAGTACAGACTTAAACATCGTTTCATGGAAGTTCTTTGACGGTAAAAAGGACTCCAGAATGACAAGCAGACTCTTATTATTCTGCAGTACACGGAGAGTGCCTCCTCTTGGCGATCCGCACCTGCTACAACATCGCGCTAGGCAGCAAGAGCCCTATCAACCAGGCCACTGCAAAGGCGACCCTGACGCAAATGATCAACCTCGTCTTTCAGCGGATGGACCCGGAGTACAAAGAGGTAAATACCTCCGTGTTCCCCCTCATCCCCTTCCGTTCCGAGAATTAGCAGATTAACAACCGACCTCCTCTTCTCTACGTACTTTCTGTCCTTCCTAAGTTGCCACGTTGCGGAAGTCGAGTGTATTCATGCGCGAGCAGGGCTCGCTGTTAGAATCAGTAGTCATTAAGGGCATCCCTCAGGAGTCAACCCTCTCGAGCGTCGCAAAGTATGAAGCAGGGTTTAGCATGTAATATATCTTCTTAGTTTCACCTGCGTTTTGCCAAGGTCTGGCGCCACGTGGCTTCCTGCACGACCCTTAAATGGGACCCCATGAGTCGCTTTGTGTGACACTTTCGACACGCCCAATTCTTGTCGTTGCAGGCTGGCCCCCCGTCTCGCCACATGTCGCCGGTGCCTTCCCCCCGTCCGCCTTCGTCCCCTCGAGGCGCCCACCCGCACCCCCCAACTCTGCACTTAGACGAAAAGAAGCATTTGCCACATGAGAAGACAGCCGAGGGAGACTCGGTTGCAAAGGAAACACAGAACGGGGGGCTCGAGAAGGAAGCAGCGAGCCCCCCGCCGACTCCAGGGCCGGCGCCCGTGCAGGTAAAGAAAGTCAAGCGCTCGTGTGAGGGTCTCAGAAGAAGAGAGTTTGGAGTTGTTCCGTGGGCAATTGAACGACATGATGAAGCTTTTACTTTGATTTGGTTTGGCGAGAGTCGCATGGCAAGCTACGTCGAGGACTTCGTTTACTTGTCTGATTAGAGATTGATGCAATTTCACTTCGCTTGCGCGTGGATCATCACATCTCAACTCAACGAGACTTCATCGTCTGCTCAGTGTTGCTGCCACCTTTATTTGTTCAGTCGAGAGACCGATTAAGGCACTTCTTGAGCCGGTCGAAGCAATCCCAGTTGCCCCTTTGCCCCTTTTTGGAGAGTTTTGGCTGTACTTCCGCATGGTCAGCGAAGCGCCCGAATTCCCGCACGTCAGCATTCGAAGATTCAGAGGCTCCTGATTCTTTGAATGACGGTTCTCCGGGCAAAGTTGCAATTCCTGCAGGCGAAACCAGTCGAGGAGGTCATTGATTAGCACGGACAGACGGGCATCCAAGCCGGAGGGAGATGAGCGTCAATCTGAATGGCTGAAGTTTGGGTTGCACTTTTTCCCAGGTCGCCTCCTCCGAAGCCTCTCCCAGCGACGCCGCCCCCTCCTCTCCCGCCGCTCCTGCCTCCCCCTCTGCGGCCGTCTCAATCGAGGAGCTCGCGCACCTGGCTGGAGACGCCGACATCAAGGGCCTCGAAGCGGCGCTCGACAAGGCGGTGCATCCGGACGGGGTTCCCGCAGGGCAGCACGGGCCGGAGGGCGCGGGGCCCCTTGACCAGCACAGCCTGACGCAGGCGGAGCGCAATGCGCTGATGGTGTTCCGGACGCTCTGCAAGTGAGTCATATTCGGACGTTAGGGGCCTGCTCTTGGCGAAGGGAGCGTCTGCTTTCCTTGCTGCTAGACTCATCTCGACAAGTGAAATTCGAAGAAGCTCAAAATATCACAGGAGAAGTTCAAATTCGTCTGTTCGACAGGTACAGAGCCCCTCAGAAACTGTGACGTAGGACCGTCCTAAATTTACTCCTGTCGGTTGGCCGCAGGCTTTCCATGGCTGAGCCCAAGTCCCCCAGCGAAGCTGACATCATCACGCGCGGGCGCCTCCTCTCGCTCGAGCTCCTGCAAGCGCTGCTCGAGAACGCCGGCAAGGGCTTCGCCATCGTGCCCTGTTTCCTGGAGGCCCTCCAGAGCTACCTGCCTTACGCATTGCTGCGCGCCTCAGTCACGCCGCTGGCGGCCGTCTTTGAGCGGGCTGCGAGCTTGTTTGCGGGTGAGGGGGTGCACAGGGCTTGGCGTAAGAGGCAGACGGCGTTTCTTTGGCTCGGGCTCTCAGGTCGCGTCGCCAGCGAGTTCTTCTTGGAACGTGCTGCAAATTTGTATTGCGGGGGAGACTTTCTAAGAATTCCTGCTCTCAAAAGCGGAGTCGTCCGTATGGAGCTAACATTGCATACGGTTTGATAGACCCTCCCTTCATTCCTAGTTGTCTCGTCTTCATGCTGAGGTGCGAGGCGATTGGACCCCACCCTCTGTTGTACCTCCGGTTTCTATACAAAGATGGAAAGTGGTCGTCAAAGGTTGCGCTCTTCCGTCTAGTGTTGATGCAGATTTCCGTAACTCTCCTTTGTGCTCGACTTTGTGCCACGCTCATTTTCAGTCTCATCTTGATTCCCGTTTTTTTCTACTGTCAATGATCCCAGCAAGGCTGCCAAAGCGTATTCTTCCCTTTCAACCGGCAGGTGATTCCTTCTCGATTGATACAGATTTGAACCAGTGTTTCCCCTTCTCTGTGCAGTACTGCTGCTCAATTTCCGGCACCACCTGAAGGCCGAGATTGGCATCTTCTTTCCGCTCATCGTTCTCCGCTCGCTCGACCTGCCCGACTCTCCCCTCCATCAGCGCGTGGCCGTCCTTAAGTCTCTGCAGGCAAGTTGCCGGATATGTGACGTTGGGTTGCTCATACCTCGCCACGTGTCGACCTGCTCATATTTGCGCACTGCAAAGCACATGCCGCCATCATCGTGGCTCATCCGTACGATGTTCGCCAACGTGTGTGTGCAAAATGACCGTCCGCGTGGGCTCTTCGGATCATCGTACCTGGACGATAGCACTAGCATGCGTCTTGGTTTTGGTGTTTTAGTGTTTCAGGGCATTGGCCACTTGAAAAGCTCAACTTTTTCATCTTCGGTCGCGCTTTCCAACTTCTTAATGCAGACCCTTTTGGGCGACCCCAGAGGCTTTGGACTTCTTCATCGACCAAGCCTTCCTAATCCTAGAATTTCATCGTCCACTGTGTCTCATCATCGATCCTACACGGTTGCAGACCGCCTTTGCGGACCCCCAGACGGTGCTCGACTTCTTCGTCAACTACGACTGCGACCTGGACAGCACCAACCTCTTTGAGCGGGCCGTTAAGTCGCTCAGCCGGATCGCCCAGGTACGTATCTCGCGCCATGTCGATTGGCCGGCGGTCGCCCTGATGTTGCCAACATTTACAGATTGGTCGATGGCGAATTAGGAAGGTCGAAGCCACTCGCTTGAGCTGGAAGAAACTACACTTCGCACGGGCTTCTCGTGTCTCAAAAGCTGAAGCTCTTTTCAGACTGGTTTGTGTATTACAGGACGGCTGCCTCTCCGTTATATTTCGATAGTGCGTTCTGCTTGCACGGGGGGCCCAACTAATTACCCCCGGTACTGAGGACCTGTCGTTCTCTCTGGTCCCGCCGTGTCCTTAATGGGTGGTTTTCTCTCTTTTCCGTTCCCTCGATTGCAGGGGCCTCAGCACACTTTTCCAACCCTGTTTTTATTCCCGTTTGGTTGCCTCCATTTCCGTTCTAAGGTGCACGCTCATTTGCGGTGGGCCTCAGGCGACTTCGGGAGCATTGCTGGCGCAGAAACACGGGCCCCATAGCGAGCAGTTCCGTTTTGTTGCTTCCGTTTCCGGTTCGAAAGGCGTGCATTCCGTTCCGTTCGCAGGGCGCCCCCAAGAGCGACCCCGGGAGCAAGGCGCTCGCACAAGGAGCAGTTCCGTTTTGTTGCTTCCGTTTCCGTCCCGAAAGACGTGCCGTTCCTTTCCGTTCGCAGGGCGCCCCTAAGAGCGAACCCGGCAGCAGGCGCTCGCACAACGAGCAGTTTCGTTTTGTTGCTTCCGTTTCCGTCCTGAAAGACGTGCCGTTTTGTTCCGTTCGCAGGGCGCCCCTGGGAGCGACCCTGGCAGCATCGCGCTCGCGCAGAACACGGGCCTCAAGGCGAGCAGCCTGCAGGTGCTGGCGAACATCCTGCAGTCCCTGCTGACGTGGACAAAGCGGGGGCAGGCAGCCTCGGTTGCGGTGGCGGCCGCAGCTGCGGAGGATTCGGAAAGGGCGGAGGGTAAGCCTCAGGCCTTTTGAGGGAGGTTTCTCCTGTTCCACTTTGCTTGCCCTGGTTGGTGGGTCTGGGCTTGAGTGTTCTTTTTTTCCAGGGTTGTCAATAGCAAAGACACCCTTTTGAAGCCTCTCTGACTCCTTGATCTTCTATGTCGTCCTCTAGAAGCGAGACCAAACGTTTAAGAGGAGTCGGCTCTGTCATAGTCGCCGCCCAGCTTGTCATGATGAAAAGTTCTAAGAGTCGCTCAACTGACAAGCTGGTTGTTCAAGCGTCCTTTTTACGTTTCATCAATGCAGAAAGCGGCTCAGTACGCAAGGATACATCTGTCCCCTCCTCTGTATCTCCTGAAGACAACAAACACGACTTCTTGGTACTTCGCAGATGGTTAGGGAACGGGTGCCAGAAGCCACTAGGCAGATTGCCGAGCTTCGTTCTCTTCTCCTCACCTGCGTCCTGATCTTAACAGCACTTTACAGCACTTTCCTCATTGCTTTTTTCCCCTCGTTCTCCAGGTGAAGACAACGACGACTCCTCGGTTGCCGCCCAGCTGGTCAAAGACAAGACCCAAAAGTCGCTCATCGAAGCTGCCGTGGTGGAGTTCAACCTGAAGCCCGAGAAGGGCATCAAGCAGCTCGAGAAGCAGGGCATCCTGGCGCACGAACCGGTCGCGATTGCGAAGTTTCTGCACGGAACGCCGGGGCTGAACAAGACGCTGATTGGGGAGTACCTGGGGCATCATGAAGAGTTCCATATCAAGGTGCGTGTTGGGTAAAAGAAGCCACAGATTGTGGATTCTGAAGGCAGCGTTTGCGAGTCTGATCAACCTGTTGAGTTTTTCTCAACAGGAAAAGCCGTTCGGAATCTTTTTTGGAAGAAAACGGCAGCTAGAAGTCAGTCTATCTAGAAGCATCCGCGATCACAGAAAAGAGAGCGTAATCTGATTTGTGTACTTCGTCAATAGTGATTCAGAAGTGCTCCGCGCAACATGGTCTTGATTCAGAGGTGCTGCTCGGTGTCGACGGCTTGTGATAATCTGAAGATATTTTACGAGTCTTACAATCGATACCGCTCGATTGCATCCGATGACGAACTTCCCACCTCTTATTTCCAGGTAATGCACGCATACGTTGACGAGCTGAGCTTTACGGGCCTCATCTTCGACGACGCGATCCGGCGCTTCCTCTCGGGCTTCCGCCTCCCGGGCGAGGCGCAAAAAATCGACCGCCTCATGGAGAAGTTCGCCGAGCGCTACTGCAAGGACAACCCGGGCACCTTCAAGAACGCGGACACTGCGTACGTCCTCGCGTACGCGGTCATCATGCTCAACACGGACGCGCACAACCCGATGGTCTGGCCTAAGGTGTGAATTGTCTCATTGAACTCAGTCGAGGTTGAGAGATGCTGGATTCCAAAAGTGAAAAGAATCTGCTGATTCGTCTTCAAAACGCTGAGATTCCTGGGCCCCCAAGTGACCGTTCTAGCCAATTGTCTGCTAGAGCATCTGCTTCAGAACCTCCAGAATACAATACGAAAGCTAAGAAAGCAAGAACGCTGCAGCGTCTACTCCTCCTTCGTATTGCTTTTAGCCACGTGCGGACTCAATGGTCTCAGTCAAAGGAAAACCTGTGCTACGCATGATATTGCAGAAAGATTGTCAACGTCTGCATACATAGTTGAACTGGTCGTTTCTGAGCCAAATTGTTCCTCATTTGCTAACCCTGGCCGCATCAATCGAAGCAAGTTCAGAAGCCAGCGCAATTCATAGTATTATTTCCCTTGATATCCCCGGTCCTCTCTTCTCACATATCCCCAACCCTCGACTTCTCTCCTCAGATGTCCAAGACCGACTTCGTCCGGATCAACTCGAACACCGGCCAACCCGGAGCAGAGGACACGTCAGCACCCGTGGCGCTCCTCGAGGACCTATACGACCGCATCGTAAACAACGAGATCAAGCTCAAGGACGAATCGGCTGCGCCGGGGGCCGCCAGCAAGTCCCCCGTAAGCGCAGGCCCGCTCGGGGTGCTCAATCTCGCGCTGCCACGTGGCAGGGCCGCGAGCGCCGAGGCGACGGGGGAGGGCGACGAGATCGTGCGGCGTACTCAAGCGCTGTTCAAGACGCAGCAGCACGGGAAGGTGTTCCAGAAGGTGAGGCGGCAGGAAGGGTCTGCGTATTGGAATGGGCAGGGATGTGAGGAGTGAGAATGATTGTGTGGATCGAAGCAAAGTCGGACTTCGTCATCTGACATCCCTGTGGATCGTCTTCCTACGAAGGCGCCGAATCCAAGCTATAGGCGCCCCCGATCAGAAGTGCAGCTTTCAGGCGATGCTTTCAGTTAAAAGCAACTCAAACTTGTCTCTGTGTGGGCTGAGAAGGGCTGAGAAGGTTCTTGTTCGATGTGAACCTTCGAAACCCGCGAGCAGCGCTCCAGATTCTTATCCGGAAACCGGGCTCAGGCTCAACCCTAAAGCTTGCCGTTTCAACTCGCAGGCAACCGAGGTGGGCCTGGCGCGCCCTATCTTAGAAGCCGTCGGGTGGCCCCTCCTCGCCGCCTTCAGCGTAATCATGGAGGACAGCGATTACAAGCCCCACGTGGCGCTCTGCATGGAGGGCTTCCGGTTGGGAGTCCAGCTGACGCGAGTCCTCCGTATGGAGACCATGCGCAACGCGTTCCTGACGTCGATGGTCCGGCTGACGTCACTCCACGCGCCACGCGAGATGCGCACCAAAAACGTGGAGGCGCTGCGCGTGCTGCTACAGATGGCGCAGCAGGAGCCGGATGTGCTGCAGGTACAGTTCCGCCGCTTCCAACGGTTCGCTTTTGTACTTTTCTGGGACACGTTCGTCCGGACGATTGACGTACACTGCTGGGGTCCTTATTTTGCAACTTAGCACCGAGTGCCGAGCTTGATCGTTGGGACCCTCCATTTCCTGTCCCTCTGACTTTCGTTCGCTGTACCCCTTGTACGCCACTGGTATCGGCGAAACGGCTCTCAAGCATCCTACCGAGACGGACTGCTTGGTCTACGCATTTGCATCTTTCAGCCGTCAAGAAAGGGTCACCACCACATTGACTGTCCGCCCCGCTCTCCTAGCAGCCCTACGTCCGATCTAAGCGCAGTCGCCCCCTTCCAATGAACGATCGTTGTTTCCTTATCTGACAAGATGTCTTGTATGCGACCCTCGACTGCATCAGCCGCTGGAGAAGAACCGCCAGCAGGCTGCGACGCACGCCGGATTGCTGCCAGCAACGCATTTCCTTATCAGATTTTTAGGACGATTTCACACTACGATCACCACCTGACTGGTTTTTCCAAACAGGATGCCTAGTATTCGACCCTCGAGTCCATCAGCCGCCTGGAAGAGATCGGCAACTTGTCACGGCACAGGCTGCTTTGCTGGCAGCAAGGCTTCCTCCAACAGCAGCCCTAATCACTCCTCACTATCACAATCTGACCTAGTTCTGTACCCTTGAGTGCATCAGCCGGTTGCCAGCAACGCTTTATATCAGCTTTGATCACTCATACTGCAAGAGTCTGACCTAAGTCTCTTTTAACAGGATGCGTGGTGCTCAGCCCTCGAGTGCATCAGCCGTTCGGAGGAGACCGCCAGCACGCCAGCGGCGCTTGCCTTTAGAATATCTGTCATCACCTACTGCAATTCCTCTCTGACTCAGCTTTTGCGCTCACAGGATGCCTGGTACTCAGCCCTCGAGTGCATTAGCCGCTTGGAAGAGATCGCCAACACGCCAGCGGCACAGGCCGCGCTCCTGCCTGGAGGAAACCAACCGTCCCGGGAGGCCCTGGTTCACGGGATCCAAGAGCTGGCGGGGATGCCTACCGAGGGCGTGTTCGTCAACAGCAACCGTCTGCCGAGCGACGCCGTCGTCGAGTTCTTCACGGCGCTGTGCAGAGTGAGCGGAGCACTCCAAACAGCTTCGCGTCTGATTCCTGGGGTGATAATGTATCTAAGCAATTTGTGAAGGCTTTGACGGCCGTTTTCGCTCCTGTACCAAGAGGAGTAAGCTACGGACTCGAGGTGTTGTGCGGGCAGTCGTTTAGTCTGGTCGTTCGACTGCAAGCTGTCCATTCTAATCTGATCCAGGATCGCAATTGCCGAGCCCGGCGCATGGCTGTGTTATTGGGCTGATACATGATTGCGGTGTTCTGGCTCGTTAGCTCTTCTTGATTGTCCGATTAGCAAGGGTTGACCTGCAGAAGTTTGGGTCGATTAGGGCAGGTTGCCAAGCCAACTCGCTTAGGTACGTTCAACTTTGACACTAGGTACCTTCCAATCCTCAACGGTAAGGATTGCATTGTCGGGGGGGCTCTTCGTCCCAGGTTTCAGGGCCCCGCGGCATCCGCTTTTCTGCTGACGCATCTTCACTTCTATGCGGCGACATTCTTTTGCTAAGCTCAAGCGTACTTGCTGGTGATTAAAAGTTTGGTTCCTCCGCTTGCGCAGGTCTCAGAGGGCGAGCTGGGCATCACCCCGCCCCGCGTGTTCAGCCTGCAGAAGCTCGTCGAGATCAGCTACTACAACATCACGCGCATTCGCCTTGTCTGGGCGCGCATCTGGGCCGTCCTCAGTGTGCACTTCATTGCCGCAGGAGAACACGCAGACGAACAGGTCAGTTTTGCAAAAGTTTAGTAGCGGAAAAGCTGGTTGATCAGACGAATGATGTCTTAAAAATTGGTGTATGACTGAAAGATATTTCCAAATCTCTACCCGGAAACCGCATAATCATGCTCGAAAGATGAAGACCGCTCGTGCTCAAGCAAAACTGCATACTCCGCGATGCATCAAACTATATCGCATTGAGAACCTCCACCACGACAAAACCGGCCAGAATAGGAGCACAGCAATCTGGAGAAGCGTCCTTTTCAGCACTTCTATCGATTTCTGTTGAGGTACTCAAGACCGTTGATGCAGGTCGCAATGTACGCAATCGACAGCCTGCGCCAGCTGGCGATGAAGTACTTGGAGCGTGCAGAGCTGGCTAACTTCACGTTCCAGAACGACATCATGAAGCCGTTCGTGGTGATCATGCGCGGGAGCCGCAGCGAGCGCATCCGCGAGCTCATTACACAGTGCGTCGTACAGATGATCAAATCCAAGGTGGGCAGTTCCCCATCATGAAGAATTGCCAAGGAGCGACTAAAAGGCGTCTCAGTTCTCCGAGCAAAGTCTACTTGTCGTCGTCTCGAGCGGTATCCAAAGGGTGACCCAACCACGAGTTGCTCTTCAAGAACTCGGAACTGTAGTGACAGCCTTGCAAGAAGAATGTCGTATCATTGTCTGCTGGCGAGTGACCAAGAAGGGACTCAATACCCAAGCAGGGTCGCCTTGTCTTTCATAGGGCTCACAGGTCAACATAATCATATGTCGCTGTTGAAGACCTGAGTATCGTCAGGTCTACGTCAGCAAGAACAGTGTACGACCCTCCATTTTTCAGATCTTCTCAAACGACCAAGCCTGCAGCCTGGGTATCTTGAAGTTCATTCCTGAACAAATGTAGTTCAAACTTCTCCAGGTCAGCGGCATCAAGAGCGGCTGGAAGAGCGTCTTCATGGTGTTCACAACAGCTGCTCAGGACACGTCCGAATCCATCGTCGACTCGGCGTTCTTAAATGTGGAGCAGGTAAGCTTCTGCGCATGTACTCCTACAATATCTAAGAATGCGCTCCGGCTAGCGGTTGAGCTTTTAGCACCTTGTATCTCGCGTCTTGGCCTGTTCTGTATCGAGATGGTACATCTAGGAACGGCCTCAAAAGCTTTCCTATCTCACTAAGCCAGCTGATTTGCATATGCGAGCAGAGTTGAGAGTTTCTCGTTGTCTTCGCAGGTGGTGCTGGAGCACTTCGACCAGGTCGTGGGCGACTGCTTCATGGACTGCGTTAACTGCCTCATCGCCTTCGCCAACAACAAGCTCAGTGCAGGCATCAGCCTCAAGGTGGGCTCTCAAAAGGGCTGTCCGCCATCTCAATCACACAAGCTGTAGAGGAGAAGTTTCTTGAGCATATTTTCAAGAAAATGCTTGTGTACAGGAAGTTTGATGATGGTTGACAATCTCTCTTTGGCATCAATCAGAAGAGATCGACTGTATCCGGACATGTTGACTGCTACGGTCCACATTTGAAGTCCAACATTCAGCGTCAAAAGCAGGCAACCAACATGGCTGTTCCCAAACAGTGTACATCTGTAGGATGCAAGCTATTGCCCAAAACGTGCTGGGCTTTTGCTACGGCCGGTCCGCTGCTTTGACGAGCCTCCATTACGTTGATGCACTTACCGTTCCGAATTTTCTGCCAGGCCATCGCTTTGCTGCGCATCTGCGAGGACCGCCTGGCAGAGGGCCACATTCCGGGGGGGTCCCATCGCCCCGTGGAGGACACCCCCAAGAAGAGCGACAAGGAGGTGGCGGAGTTCTACTGGTTCCCCATGCTGGCCGGCCTGTCCGAACTCACCTCAGACCCGCGGCCGGACGTCCGCAGCTGCGCGCTTGAGGTGAAATATACATATCCACCTAGCTCTAGGTTTTGGGAGGGGCTTTTGAGATTTCGTTCAGTTGTAGGGCGTGTGAATCTCGAAGCCGCGCCTAAACGTTTGCAGCTCTCGGGCTCGAACAGTTTCTGTTATTCATCCACCTGAGCCTCCTTTGCAAGTCGCTGTATCAAGCATAAGATTACCGAGGGCTTGGGAATGGCGGCCGGCCAGTTCCTAGACTGCCGCTTCCACTGCGCAGGCGTCATTCTGGAAAACCGCCGAGTTACTCTGACGTCTTGCAGAGAATCTTCGAAATGTGCAGTTTTTTGGTAAGAACGGGTGGTTGACCCCCCTGACACCGTCTTCAAGGGTTTGCGCAGATCCTGTTCGACCTGCTGAAATTAGTGCGGCGCGGCCTTTTGAGGTCCCAAACTCCCAGAAGTCATGAATGTTATGCTTCTGAGACTTTTCAAAACCCCCAACTGTAAAGGTCTGACAACCTGAAACCCTGAAACCCGTCTCCTCTTGCGCAGGTCCTGTTCGACCTGCTGAACGAGCGCGGCGCGTCCTTCTCCCCCACCTTCTGGGAGAGCGTGTTCCAGCGCGTGCTCTTCCCCATCTTCGACTACGTGCGCCACGCGGGCGCGGCCGGGCACAAGCGGCTCTCGGCCAACGAATGGCTGCGCGACACGTGTATACACTGCCTCCAGCTGCTGTGCGACCTCTTCTCCAAGTTCTATGCTGACGTCAGCTTCCTGCTGCCCAGCCTGCTGGGGCTGCTGCTGGACTGCGCCACGCGGCCGGACCAGGTACGATGATTGCGCTTTAACTCGGCCACCCTCGCTTGATCTCGTCCTGGTTATGCTGACCCAGGTTTGCTTGGACATTGGAAGGACTTGTTCAATGTTTAGGAACCCGCTGACTGCAGACCTGCAGGCTGTTGTGAATGAAATGGGGGGGCACGCCCTCAGCAATCGCCATTTGTACCGCCTTCTTATTCCGTACAGAACATGGTCGATGCGCCCGGCTTGATGATCAACTCTAAACCCCAGATCCCTGAACTCAGTCTACAAGCACTTGTGGCAATCAGAGTGGCCGCACTTACGCGCCTGATGGACATCGGCGGATTTGCCCTGATCGAGAGCAGCTTTCTCCTCTCGCTATAACAAAAGTCACACAGTAAGCTATGCATTTGGCCTGATTTCAAACTCTGAACCTCAAAATACCCTGATCTCATTCTATAGGCACTGGCGGCAATCAGCGTGGCCGCACTCGTGCGCCTGATGGACATTGGCGGGCACGCCCTGAGCGAGAGCGACTGGGGCCGCCTTTTAAACTCCGGTGCACAAGCAACGCCACCCGTTGTCCTCATCTCAAAGCCCAAACCCTAAAGTCGTGGCCTCAATTTACAGGCACTGGCGGCAATCAGTGTAGCTGCCCTGGTGCGCCTGATGGACATCGGCGGGCACGCCCCGAGTGAAAGTGATCGGGGGCCGCCGTCTTAAACCCTGCACGGGACAGAAGCGACGCCACCCGTCCTAACCGAAAGCCCAAACCGTAAACCGTTGACCTTGTTCTACAGGCACTGGCGGCAATCAGCGTGGCTGCACTTGTGCGTCTGATGGACATCGGCGGGCACGCCCTGAGCGAAAGCGACTGGGGTCGTCTGCTAAACACCATCCGGGACATGAGCGACGCAACCCGGCCCGTCGAACTGCTGAACCCGGAGAGCCTGGGCGTGTTCGGGACGTCGCCTGCCGCTTTAGGTCCGTGTCACATCAGTCTCGATTTGATTTCTCGATAGTCTGGTGTGATGCTGCCTTTGTTCGTGGTCGTGTTGTTGATTACTCCAAGACCTTTGGTCGGACCAGCAGAAATGGATTTATGAGCGTTGCCGTTCGTTCAAGGAGTCAGATTGTCCAGTCTGTCACTCGCTTTGTCAGCTCGTTATGCGCAGATTCTGTCAACAAACGTCAGATTTTGCGACAAACAAACCAAGAGGAGTGCATCTTGGATCCTGTTGCCTCTGCGATCCTTTGTTGCCAGCAATTTTTTACAATACGCAGTCTGCTTTTGTGCGCCTCCTTTGTAAAGGCTCGCTGGATGGCGGATCCCAACTTCTTGCAAACTCTTAAAAGTGCCCGGACGAAACCAAAGCGCAGGCCTGAGGATTGGGAGATCCTCGCAACCCGCGGAAGGAAGCGCCTCGCGCCCGCAGAGCATTGGCAACGGCCAAGTCACTTTGGTGCGCTTCTTTACATGAAGAAAAAAAATTGCCAAGCGGGTTGGAGGCCCAGGTATCTGAAGAGAGAACGCATTTCTGGGAGGTCTAAAGAGTCCAAATAGTCAAGTTTCTAAAGGTCTGACATCGTATGACATTGCAGAGGGAAGCGCCTCACGTCGGCAGAGCATCGGCGATGGCCAAGTCACGCCCGTGCGCCTGTCCACCGTCGAGGAGCCCCGCAGGGGGCCCAGATTAGAACGGGTCGCGGAAAACGGGTCGTTCAAGGGCGAGCAGGGCACCGTTTCTCTCCCGGGCGAGCCCAGTGCCGGGCCACCGCCGAGCGCGGACGGCGGGGCGGGGACGTCGGAGGACGGGGCGCAGAGTGCGGCGCAGACGATGGTCGGGCGCATGATGAGCACGCTGCTGATGAGGTTAGTTTCTGCAGGAGGATCGCCCCGATTTCACTGTGGGCGTTGCAAGGTGCTGAACAACTCGACTGGACGGCTCAGGTCGCCCCCGATTAAGGATCGTTAAGTGCAGGAGATTGTTCCGAATTTAGCGTAGGCGTTGCAAAGCGCTAATGTATTTGTTGGACGGCTCTTGGTGCCCCGTCGATGATTGCCAAAAGCGTCCGAAATGAGTGTTGGCCACGAGAGGGACGCCGCCCGGTTCTGGTGATGCTGTCCGGTTTTGGTGACACCGTCCCTTTCTCGTGATGCCGTCTGTCAAGCCTTTTTGAATAGGCCCCGTTTCGCAGCCAATGCATCCTCAATCGGTCAGTTTCGAGAACGTATTCCTGAAGAAACAGAAATCACTGGTCTCGAGTCTCGATTTATAGGCCGCTGTCTGAATCGGCTGCCTTTAGGAACCTGTCGTTTACCACGTAAAGGCCCGGCTGATCCTCGGTGTGGTCGCCCTCCTTTTAGTATGCGCATAATCTGCATCGAATGCATTCTTCACTGTTGTTTCCGGAAACCCAATTCAGAGGATAGATTGTTATTAGCCCTGAAGTCACAATCTAGAGCTTTTCTCTGAAATCGCTGCTTTTCCAGGAACATGTCTTTCACCCGGAAAGGCAGGGCCGATCCCCAGGTGGTTGCCCCACGGGCCCCGCCCGACGAGGGGGGTACGTACCTTGACACGCTGGGTCCTGAGGATGCGATCGAGTTCACGAACGAAACGCTAGACGCCGTGAGATGCAAGTGAGTGCTCTCGCCTAGGCTTCGTTGACGTGAGTGTCTTTGAGAACTCATGCTTAGTTGGTGGCTTTAGGCTGGGTTTCCGTAGAGGTGTTCCTTGCGTTGAGTTTCGAGAGCAGAAGAGGAGGAGAGGCGCCAGAAGCGAGGCTTAGCGACGAGTGCGACTCTTTTCACGAGTTCACTCTCAGCGTCTGCCTCTCATACCCAGGAAGAGCAAATGGCAGAGGGGTTTGAGCTGGTTTGTCGATCACAGAAAAGCTGGTCACCAACCTGCTTTCAACCTGTTCTCACCTAACCATTTTCTAATCAAAATGTGGTCCTACAAGACCCGCAATCGCTGGACTTCAAAGTCTCTTCTTTGGAGAGACTTTGACCCTCTTTGATCATTCAAGTGTTCAAATAAGAACGTCAACAACGGACCCCTATCTCCTGAAGTTCTCAATGTTCTCAATAACCACTATACTAACAACCACTACTTACCAAACCCTGTTTTTTTAACCTTTACTTGTTTGTACGTCATCAGGTGCGTCATCCAGCTGCTCCTGCTGGATGCCCTGAGCAAGGCACAGTCGGAGCACTGGGCGAACCTGAGCCCCACGAACAAGCGCGCACTGCTGGAGACCATGCAAGGCCTTGTTGATTTCGCGGCAAAATACAACTGTGAGTGCTTACCAGTCCATGTGATCGCAAGCTTTATTCTGATTGATCCTCGCTTCTCTCTCAGTCCTCTTCCAGTCCGTAAAAAGAGGCCAGTGATTCTCAGTCCTCTTCCATTCCTCAAAAAGAGGCAGATTCTCCTCTCAGTCCTCTTTCAGTCCGTAAGTAGGCTTTGTCTTTCTCATTGGCGAGCCTGTATCCAGGTTCTGAAACCAATACGTCATTCGCATGTGCAGCTGACGTGTCGTTGCGCCAGAGGCTGCAGTCCGTTGGCTCGGAGAACCCACCCCCAAGCTTGCTGCGTCAGGTAAGGAGCACGCCACATTTGACATACTTTTCGGGTTCGGGGAGCTTGATTTTCTACGGCTTCGAGGTCTGCCTATCGTGCCGTATGAACGAGAGGCCGATCCAAGTTCGATCAGAAACTTACGCATGCAACTCGTCGACTGTTGCTGGATGGACCGCCAGGTACAGCCCGGTGCCGTCGACCTCCTGCAACTAGATAGTACTAGTGGATGAGTACTTATGATTGAAAAAATCAGTTATCCTTAGAAGGGGTGTTTGCAGCGAGTTGGGAACATGATGCGCCTTGGTAAGCAAATAAGAGGAGTTTCGAAGGACCCTTACATTGCCCGAAGCTTGGCCGTTTGGCGTTTTGGACGATAAAGATTCGGACAGTCTCATGGTCCTTCGAAACCCTCTATCTTGCTCGAGAAGGCACGTCAAGCTTCAATTCACCGCCGATTCCCTTTCAATTTTCTTCGTCTGACGTCTTTGTAGGAGGTCGACGGCACCGGACTGTACTTAGCGGTCCTGTTCAGCGTTTTGGACGACAAAGATTCGGACGCACCGCTCCTGGCCGACGCGGAGGCCCGCTTCGTGGGCGTCGCCGAGCGGGTGCTGGGTGAGGCGTCGGCGCTGCAGAGCGACCGGGCGGACTCCACCAGGAGCCACCAGGCGCTGGGGCTCAAGGCGCCAGTAACTGTCAAGGTGAGTTTGAGGGTTTGGTGTCTTTGAATCTTCTCTAAGATCTAGATAGTGCAGATTCTGAATCGGGGGTCGAGATTTCGTTCAGATCACTGTAGCGATCCTCATATCATGGTCATCTACAACCCCGCTCCTTTTCAATCACGTCCCAGCTGTTGTCGATTAGAGCCAGACGGTAATCCGTGAGAAGCACATCAGGTCTCAGGGTGGTCTTAGAGCGTGTCGTGAAGAGCCTCAACGCCCCGTGATTGCTGACGTCACAGCGTTCTGTCACGACAGGTGTTGGACGCCCTTCAGACGGTTTCGGAGCCGGTGTTCAAGCGGCACTTTGAGCAGCTGTACCCGCACTTGACCACGCTGATTGGCAGCGACCAGGTGAGAGGACGACACGTGTCGTATCCTCAGACCTCCATTATTGGCATGCATGGCCGTGGCGACGAAGTTTTGTTGGCAGTATCTGCATTTGGAGAGTGGTTTGGGTTCGTTATCTGCAACGGCAATAGAAAAGCAGCGCTGTGACCATAATAAGCATTTTCAAGCACTTCCAATGTCTGGCAAACTTTGCTCCTAATCAGCGTCAAACGGCAAATTGTTTGAAAAGGCGAAGTTGAGCGGGGAAACAGCGCTTGACGAGAAGTATCTCTTGCAGTTGGAGGTCCGAAGAGCATTGGCGAACCTGTTCTCAGCACGTCTTGGCGCTCTTCTGCCTGCTACGAAATAGGCTGATAGAGGGACTGCTATAAAGGCGGCATCACCTGAGTATGTAGCTACCTGAGACTGTGCCCGTCTTGATCCATACAGACCAGGGGAATTTCTACCCGCTCTTCACACTCAATGGAACGGCATCGTTTGGGGGTTTGCAACAATTTGTTCGTGCAAACTTTAACGGAGGCTGGTCCCATTTTGATGGTTCGGCACACACTGATGTGAGCAGCAAAGTATTATGCTTTGTATCGAGCTTACTCATCGTCTCCCGACGGGCTGCCATCTGCACTTCATCGCGGCTACATACGGTTTCGATTATTGAGCGTACATCACGCATTGATTGGATCTCAACGTTGGATCTGCATGAATTAGGTATTCCAACAACTGTAACCGGCTCATCGAAGCAAAGCCGGCGCTGCCGACAAGGGTCATGCAAAGCTGGCCCATCAAAAGGCCTGCCAGTTAGTAGTGCCAGCATGAGTCAGATGAGAGTCAGCCGACTGTTGCGCACAATCTTCATGTGATGTGTGCATGACTCGACAACTATTCCAAAATCTGTTCGCCAAATCCACATATGCCAGCATGGTGTATTTGTGCAATCAACAATGCTGACTTCTGGGCCCGGGCGCGGGCTTCCGGCACCGGTTCTACCGATATGCCGATGATGAGTTTTAAGATTAATTCATCAATCACAATTGTGCCCAGCCCGAAGGTTAAGCTCTAGCTAGCCCAAGTGGCATCACGGCCAGCCCGTGAGCAGCGACAGTGCAGTGATCGACAGATGCAGCAAATCACTAAGATGATGTGGGGATGAAACAACCATACCCATGTGATTAATCCAGTTTTGCAACGGCGACCCGTGAGTTTGTTCCGGCCTCACAGACGGTTGAAGCGCATTACAAAGTGTATGCCTAACAAACTCAAGCATCAGTACGTTGACCATGAAATGCCCATTGAAGGGGCGGCAGTGCAGTCAGCGCTAGCATGCTCTCGGCTGCACGGTAACCAGACTCATCTTACCAAAGTAAGCTCCTGAGACCCACTTTCTTCTTGCGCTGATCAGCAAGAGCCTGATTGGTAGCTGCATATGCCTGGAGGAATCAGATGAGAGGTCTACTGTCTAAAGTTTGTTGATTTATAGGAACGTATCTTGCCGCCTGCAACACAGTTCCTGATAAAGGAATTGACGCCTTAACTAATAGTGCATGTGGAGAGCATCATGCCGCTTCTATCTGATGACCTAGCTTTAAGATCCGCCTAATTTTCCTAATTCTAAGGTGGAAGAGTCAAATGTGCCGCGCGCCTAACTATCCAATCAGACCCAAGCACCTTTCTTCTTTCCTTTCTTAGCAAGCCGCCCCTTCTTCCCCTTTCTGACTCTAATGCCGCTGCTCTTCTTTTTTATTCCACCTTTTGACTTCAGTGCCTTCTTCGTCTTCGAAGCCCCGTCCACGGCCATGTCTTCTGTCGCCTCATCTGGCGCTCCTTCCCTGCCTCGAGACGGCTCCGCTTCTGAAAAAAAGTTGGTCAAATCTTAGGGGCATGCAGTCTTCTGTGTGAATATTGTCATCAAGCTTTACTATCCCAACTTCTGGCAACGACGTTCCTGATAAAGCTGACCAGATTCAAAAGTGGTGGCGCCAACTTGGCCACAATGACCTGCTAGAACAAAAGAAATGCTAACAAAAGTAGGACCAAAAAGCCTTCGGCCCGGAGCTCAGAATCTACAATGGAGGCGTAAAGCGGCTCAGGACAGTGCACATACAACAGGGTGTACAAACAAAACATGATGGTGGTAGCGCGCTACCGCTCGGAAAGACTTTCAGAGTAAGTCGAAAGTAGCGCACGTGTTCTAGCAACTACCTTACAACACTGCAAACTAAGCCAGCATCAATTTTGAATGTTAGCTGCGGGTGCCAAACATACTGACTGCGACATGCTGAGCAGGGAACTGCTTTCATAAGATACAGAGGTGGTGCATAATGCTGCCACTAAGAAACTACACTTCACTGGCCCAACTCTTTTTAAGTCAAGTTCTGCACTAAAAAACAATTTTTGCAGCATCGCCCCAATAAAACACCAGTCTTGAGTCTGCAGTTGCTGGTGCGGTGACCATTACCAGATGCAAACCCTAAAATCAGCAACTACCATTGCCAACTTTTTTACCGGGTTCATTCCTGTATCCTCTTCTGGCTCCTGCAAAACCACCGCCTTTAAATCCCAACAACCACCGCTCTGGAAAACAAAAGCTGAGCAAGACAAGAAGGATTTGGAAACATATTCTTGAAGAAGGACAGAGAACACCCAGACCTCACCCATTCGCTCCTCTCTGACTGCTGCTTCGTCCCCAGCCTGTTCTGTCAAGATCGCCGCAAGCTTTGCTTGCACTTCCGCATCCTTCTTGTCATAAAAGTTCGCTTGCGCCAGCTCCCTCCGCTGCGTCCGCAACCGCTTCTCCCGCTTTGAGCGGATGGACTTGCCCATGGTGGACCGGATGCGTGTATTCGGCGCTGTCACCTTGCCTCGCAGTATCGCTTGGACAACAGACAGGATGGATACGCCTCTTGTCCTGGCGCCCCCTTGATCTCCAAGTTTCTGCCACCTTTCCTATATCGCGGCAATGGTGTTATTACACGATCCGACCGTTTTACCGGTACGGATAGGGGTTGTGTCGATGGTTCTCATCTTATGCTCCTACAGGTCCCCAAAAGAGCATAGGACTACCATTAAAGCAACTCGAGGCGTATACGCCGAATTCTATCTCTAGAGGCAAGTTATCTCAAGTCTTATATATTAGAGCTCTTTATAGGCAACGCTTATATATGTATCGTATATGTAGTGTCGAAACCCCCCTCCCCCGACGTAACGCCAAGCAAATAACAGATAGTATGCATACTCGACTGGCACGTTCAGACTGCGTACTACGTCCTAGGGCGACCCGAAACCAGTCTGCGGCCCTTCAACAGACTGCCGAAGATAACGCGATAGAGTGACTTCTGTTACACAGTGTACACAAGAAGAGCGTACATGGTGTACTCTTGACACGTGGCCTGACTCCAGGAAAAATGCGGAATGCTCTCTAACGGGACTCGAACCGTCGACCCTTCGCTCTCAAATCCAACGCTCCTACCATTTCGGCCAATAACAGACCAACTCACAAGAGGTCAATCACAAATTGTACACACAATACAAGAAGCCACGAGAGCAGATTGAAACCGTCGATTGACATCGACGGTTCACGCCGCTCGAGGGTTCACCTAATGCATTCTCCGACTGCAAAACGTACGCGTATTCCGTGTACATGTGCGGTACTCCATTATCTTGCGAAATGTACAGACTTGATGTGCAAATGCGCCCTTTGCAGCCAAATCTCTCCCTCCTTTCAGTCAGCCCCGCCTCTTATCTTAGTCTGCCCTCTTATTTTCCCTTATTTGCCTATTCCCACTTTTCTCGCCTCTCCGTTCTCCCGGCGTTTGGAGTGTTTCCTTAGGCTTATACAATAGCATTAGCCTCACTCAAATGGCAATTGCGAGCGCTGCGCAGTCTAATCTTGCTGCTAAGCGCAGCTAGACCCTAGAGGCGGAGGCGGAACTTGAACGGAACGGAACTTACCGACTGGATGGGACTCGAAACCCCGCGGGTAAACCCGCGCACGCGATCATCCGGCGGCGTCGGGTGCGCGCGAATTAACGTCAAGGCTGAAGGCTGTGCTGCCATTGATCTATAATCTTGTTGACGAAGAAAGAACGAGGGCGAGGGCAGGGCGAGGGCGACGGCGAGGGCGCCACCATATCATTTCGTCTGCGTAGACGGAAATACGGTAAGTCACCCATCCGCCGCCCAACATCTTGTCCATAGTCCTGAACACTCTGAACTTTCTGTAATGAGACGGCCTCACATTATCGTAAGGTGACGGGATGGTGACATACTTCTGGAGGAGCAAGTCTGAGAATCCTTGTACAGCATCTACCATAGGCCCTAGGGAGGATTGAGGGACAGCTCAGCATCCTGCCTAACAACAGCCCTGACGCGCCTTGTAGGACGGTACGTGCTTGACCACAGTGTCGAGCCTGGGCCTCATGCCCGCTTCCTCCGTCGTGAGCAGCCATCCAGCAATTCAACAGGCGGCCTAAAGAAGGAGGCCTCAGAACCAAAGAACCAGTCAGCGGCATACAAAGTCATGGGCAGGAACTTAGAGGAATCTGCTATGGAACAGCCGCTTCTTCCGTAGGTGTTCGTGTCTTCCTTGTCTCCTTGTCATTTGTCAGCCTGCTAAGCTCTTCGGTCCCCTTTTCAAGCCCAGTCTTTAAGTCTTACCAGCCTGCTAAACTGGATCGTTATAGTGCCTGTCTGCCTGCAAAAATGGTAAAGCTGTAAAGATGGACAGCACATCACTTGACTGCCTTGACGCCTTCCATCAGGTGTTGCTCGTACATGTCTTCAATTGAGCTCACAAGCCCGTGCCTTATATCATGGTGTCAACGAACCTGGCAAATCCAGGGTTATGCATCCAGGGCTATGCATCCAAGAGAAGCGCACTTGCTAATGCAATTTATCGGGCCTGATTCACTTTTCTATCCCCTAGACTCTGAAGTCTCTGCTTGATTAGTTCTTCTCGTTTCCAGGTGTGATTCACCTATCACAAAACGTATCAAGCAGAAAAGCATGCTCGTGTACACGAAATGTAGTTGCATACAAGTATGGTTGTGATGGCTGCAGGGCACAAGAAAGCAAGAACCAGCTAGAAGGAATCTTCAAGTACAAGAGCATCTGTTATCTGGACCGCACCCGCTACGAGAAGTTCAAACTATACCAAGATGCGCTCTTGGAGTTGGAAGCAGCTGAGCGGGCTGAGCGGAATGATCAGAATGATGGAGCTTTTTTGAGTCCAACAAAAAGTCAGTGAGATCAGTGACCTGCTGTCGTTCTTCTGAAATACTGCGGGTATCAAAAGTGAAGACCTGCTATTCCGTCACTATCACATTTCTGTTGCTTGCAGTTTGTTAATCTTATAATGTGATTTCCTTCGTTTGACAGCCGGGAAGGTCTCTGATGCTGTCTGGGAGAAGGCTGCTGATGCTCATAAAGTATGGCGGACGGCTGCAAAGAAGTGCCGGGACACAATGGGCAAAAGCCCCATCCGTAAGTTTGTCCGTCCGCAAGAGACGTTGAAAAAGGTTACCTTGTTCACATTCTGATTTTCTGTTGATAAGCAACTTTGCATGAAGCAGATGAAGTGGACAACTGAGCTGCTTGAAATCTAATTGTTGAATGTTTCGCAGCTCAATTCCGGGACAGGTCTTGATTTGCTTGAATTCTTCAGGCTTCAGGATTGCTGCTTCAAAGTTGATGTTTTTGCTTCGCTACCTGATCCTGCTCTATATCTTCGTGCAGCGAACTTTCTGCTCGATGCGCTCCTCGTCGTGACGTTTCTGCGGGCCTTGCTACGGCAGGAAGCTTGGACCAAAGGGAAAGGGTTTTATGGACCGTCAAATATCAAAAGAGATTTCTCTGTCAAGTGTCAAGAACCATCTAATATGAAAATCACATCTTTCTTAGAATGAGGACATCTCTCGTGGGTAACCTGGGCGTGACGGATGATCGCTGAGACATTTTCGGCTCCGAATCGCGTGCAGATTGAGATCTTGAGACGGATTTGTCTCGGTCATTACTCAAGTTAAGCTGTGGATGGGCATCGATTCTACGCTGAGGAATTTTGATCATTAGATGTTATTGTGTGGAGATGCGGAACAGCCTCTCTATTCCCGCAGTACGTTAGCTAGCGCCTGAGGTGCGCCTGAGTTGCTGCAATACGTCAGAGCGCGCCAACTGAAACAAGGCGAATTTTCAATTATTGATCGGTCTCAACTACAAAACATCGTCATGCATTTCACATTCCTTGACGGCAGGCTCGGTCATGTGATGAGATCATTTCTGTCATGGATTTCTTCGAGCGGAACATGAATGATGGCAAGAACGATCAAAATTTGGGCAGCCGGATGCTGCGCACTTTTCAGCTGCCTGGGGCTTAATGTCCACCGATCTATATTGGCCTAAGGTACACATCCATGATGACTGGACCATGGGCCGCCATGTGCCATGCAGACCCCAAACATGCTTCAGGGCCGTGACTCACTGCACATCTCAGCATTGCAGCGCGCATGCATAAACGACTGGAGTATAACACTAATACATGCGGCTTTAACTAGCCGTTGGGGTGTCGACATGGACAGTACATTGCAGTACTTGTAATTTTTGAAGATGCATTGGAGGTCCGACAGATTGGCTTAATGGCAACCATCCCGTGTCGGACTTAGGCGCGTGTGTGCACATATGCATATGATCATTGTTGGATGCTGCGGCCCAAAGTGTCAAGTGTGCAATACCCACAGCGTAATGGCTTGCATGTGCATGCCATCAGGAACTGTATACTGAGAGAGTCTTGCACATAGAAGCCTGCCGCTTTTGTAGTGAGCAACCGCCACATGTTGGACGAGATCCTGCTCCAGTGCATATATTTGAGCAGTTCATGATAAAAACCTGAAAGAAATCAACATGCACCCCTTGAAGCCTTGAAAACATCACAAAAAGGGATTGGCAGGAAGGAGACTGGCATGGCTCCGAAATGTAGTTGTTCATTCAAAAAGTATCGAGAATCTGTCCAGATTTCTCCCATGCTCATGTTGTCCCGAAAAGTGCAACTTCGGCAGGATTGCTCCACAATTCTGGCAACGCACTGAACCAAAGTACCCAAACATTCGATGTCTGAGAACACAATCGCTGTATACCCAGAACGAGAAAAGCAAGTGGACAAAGCCGTGACCACCTTCGCGAAATCTCCAAACGGTGAACTATCTGAACGGCTTTGCAACCGTCAGACCAGACTCACAACCTAAGCGCCCGATAACATAGCAAACAGACATTTTGTCCGACTTGCGTCCCAGCAATTTGTACAGTAGACGGCTGGCAGCTGCAGAGAGTCGAGAGGGCGGTTCCAGTTAGAAGCGAGCAGAATGTATTTGGCAGATTATCCTTGTCAAGCCTTTTGCTATCAACAAGGTTCCGCTGACTGCTATGCTCAAATACCAATACTTGAAACCCAACTATGACAGACAGCCAAAAGGCTGCAAACGTGAGAGCGGATAGGGCGCCAACTTCCTTTGAGGCCTTTGGAGAAACCGCCAAGGAAGGCGCTTTCTGTCTTCCACCGTTCTCCTATCCTCTTGTCATACTGACGTGCAGAAACGGAAGCATGCAGGATCGGGGGACGGACGAGATCTTGCGACCAGCTCACCTCAAGCCTCACTCAAGTGTGGGCAGATCACCACTTCTTGCCCCACTTCTTGTGCTTGCCCCACTTCTTGCCGCCAAACTTGAACATATACGCCTTCTTGCTCTTGTGCTTCTTGTGCTTCCCGTACTTCCCATGGCCGCCATAGCCGCCGTGCTTGCCGTGCTTCACAGTCTGGTAGCCGGGCACTGCGTAAGGCATCGGGTAGCCCCCAGCTGTAGATAACAACAGTTCTGTCAGAAACGTTCACTCTGGAACGGATTACGGTAGTTCTGGATAGGTTGGAAGCGGGAGCCGTGCTTGCTGTACTTCGCCTGTTTTGATGAAAGCGGAAAACCGAATTGCGAGCAATCGGTGCCAACCTTCCCTGCTTTATGATTTGGCCGGCCAGCGTAAGGCATCAGGCAGCCCCCAGCTGTAGAGCAAACAACAACAGACAATCAGAACAGTCCAATCCAGATCTAATTACGTGACCCTGGATAGACTGGACTTTGGTGCCATGCTTCCGTGCTCTAGGCATTGGGCATCGCCAAGCCCCCATTGGCAGCCAGCGCATCAATGTTCTGCGTTTACTGGACGTCAGCTTTTATGACATCTGTAACAAATTGGGACGATATGATTGAAGTGTGTTCGTAGTCGGATTTCGATGCAATAGTAGACACTCTTCTTTTGCAGACACACCAGCCCTTTCAATCAGCTCACAAACATCATAAGAACCAATCCAATCAGGGTATTTTGGTAGTTGAGCAGTAGGACAGAGCTCGTCCTCGAAGATGGTTAGGTTGCATCCGCAATGATCGCAAAAGCATAACAAGTCTGCAATTGCAAAGTTAGATGCGTAGTTGCAAGCACCATCCAGCTCTGCAAAAAGCCGTCAGCTTCTGAGGTCAGAAGAGCTCAGAATGGTCAAGGTCAGCAAAGTCCAAGGCAAAAGGAGCAGTAAAGCAGAACGGGAAGAGTCTTGGGACGAGGAAGGATCGCGTCAGCTCAAACTCAGGAAAGCAGATTCATCAATAGCATTTCGTTTTAGTAGGCTTGGAGCACTATGGACGTGCGGCTTTCCTAATCTCCGTTAGCTTGCTCGGATTGCCCTGGAAGTAGCCTGACTCGCAATTCCAGACAAGGAGGAGGGCTCTAAGCAACCAATGCACTATCTGATGCTTTAAGGGACGCGCAGGAGTCTGCCCTGTTAAACTGGAAAGGGAATCAAAACACATACTAACTGAGCGAAAACAAGTAGGAGGGGCAGGTGGCAACAGGACGGAAATGTCAGCAAGGCCAAGGGGAATAGATTTCGGGAGTTGGCAACAACTCACGTGCCGGGGCTGGGTAGCCGGATGGTGGATACGCTCCGCCCTGCGGGGGGTATGCCTGAGGGGGATATCCGCCAGTGGGGGGATAACCAGGGGCTCCATAACCGGGGGCGCCATACCCAGGCTGAGGATACCCCCCAGGAGCAGGGTATCCCCCAGGAGCGGGATAACCGCCAGGGGCCGGGTATGCTGGGGCGCCGTAACCCTGAGGAGGTGGGTACGGATAGGCCTGAGGAGGGTAGCCGTACCCACCCCCATGACCCCTCTCTTCGATGCCCCCCCTCGACTCAATGCCTCCTTTGTCTTGAGTGCCTCCTTCCTCTCCTGTTGGGGGAGGTTGATCGGGGTACCCCGCCGGTGGCCCCTGGGGGGGGACTTGAGGAGGGTATCCTTCAGGGTACCCTTCTGGAGGACCACCCGGGTTACCCCCTACAAGATTGTGAAGAAAAACTAGGGTTGAGAAACAAGTTGCCATTCTGTTGCTCTCATTCAAGAGAAATGAAACGAGTGAAAAGCTTTTCACTTGTGAAAGAGTGCAAGTCTTAAGAGTCCTGATCAGAGATACCTGCATTGATCTGACATTAAAAGATGCTGTCCAGTACTGAGCTGGAAGACAGAATAAGTGGAACCTTTAGGTAGAAGTTGGCTTTCTCAGATGTTGGTTGATATTGGAGCAATACGGCACCACTTGACTTGCCTGTGCTGAGTAGGAACATCTAACTGGAGGAATGTATGTTTTTTGGAACTTGTTTCATTCTGCACCTCCAAACCAAGAACAAAACATGAAGGACCATGAAGTCAGTTGAGCCCCCTGCTTTCCCCGCAGCTCCAAAAAACTACTCCTGCTGCATATTGCAGCTCCCCCAGTGCAGTGTAAGAAGGAGACACACCAGACAGCATGAAGGGAGTGCTCATTGATGCTGACATGTAAGAAGCTCTGCACTGCCAACATGTCCACATACATGCAGGGCAAAGTTCTCTGCTTATGTGAGTAGCAAGGAGGTCTGCAATTTTCAGATAGGACTATGAAGCAAGCAATGGAGACAGGATCAATTGCAAAAAACTGGCCATGAAAAGCTTGTCTTAACAATGAGGACGCAATTTGCAAACTACGACTTCTCTAAAGCCAATTGATTTCATGATCAACATAGAGGTGAAACGTGTACAGCAAAATGAATCTGACAAAAACCGGACTGCTGGCAGGCAGACAGACTGCCAACAGGCAGACACGACAAATCAATGTGAATTGCCTCAAAACTCTGAGCATCAGCAGCTTAGACCTCACCTGGAGGTGGATTACCCGCCATGGCCTCTCGCAGGTGGCGTGTCCTTCCACTACCTTAGAAGTAGAATTTCCTACCCTAACTACCTACAACCTGAGCAATCCAGCAACGCCTCCTTGGAATGGTCGGAAGCTCCCTTTGACTTTGACTTTGCCAAAAGATACACAAACATTGACAAGACTGTGACAGGGAGTGCTGGACGGAGTGCACGAAGGAGAACTAGAGCTGGACGAGTCAACGATTCCCCGAGCGTCTAAAGAGTACTAGGTGCTGAGTGCTTTTAATCTGACGGTCCGAAGTTTTTGTTTTATGTTTTGGACGGCCGAGAGTTGCACCATAGTGCAGCTACAGATGATGTCACGCATTGGCCGCGCACAGAGCTGAGGGAAACCCTAGAATCCAACCATGCTGCATGTCATTGTTGAGCGGCCTCTGTTGGGATTCAGGAAGGTGGTGTGGCGGAGGGTGGCGTGCTGCAGGCTTAGAAGCCAGGTGGTCTTTGCAGGTAGGAGCAAAGGTGTTGTTGCAAATGCCAAGGGTGAGAATTCTGTTCTGAGCCCCTGGCGCCGTCACTGATGAAGTCGCTAAGTCAGATCTTACCCCCCATGAGTCAATACGCAGTTGCAGACAACTAGCACGGAGGTAGTAGAAAACGTTGATCCTGTTCCTCTGGTGAAAAAGGGTCAAACTTTGCCCATAAGAGAGGAGAGTCCACGAGCATGGGCGAGGAGGAAAAATATCCATCGGATTGACGAAAGATGCCTCCACCTTCTGGAAGCAGTATACCGTCAGTAGCAATGAATGCTGACGCAGGCGGTTCAGTGGGGCACAACGCTCAGGCGCCAGAGGAAGCGCAGCGACCTCTGGACTTCGAGCGTTGGTCTCTTGATAGCGAAACAGCACAGTTTGAGGGAGGTAGCAAACACGACGGCAATTCCTGTAGGAGCAGCTTAGATATTGATGGGGTGGCAGTGGAGTCAGAGCGTCAAGGAAAAAGCCAAACAAAGCGTCCGTCTCAAAGCAGAAAGGAACAACAGCATCAAAAAGCGGTCCAGAAGAAGTACGGGCCGGTGGGATCATTGAGCAAGATCAAGCGTTTGCTGTCGTCCAGTGGGGGAGACTTTTCAGACGAAGAGGAACAACTAGGTGGGGAGAGAGATACGCTGCTTGCGCCGGCCCCATCATCGTGTTATGTGGACGCTGACGATCAGAGTGAGGGGAAGGAGTCCGAGTACTGGAAGGAGGCCAAGCGACTATGGAACCTCGCCGTGCCCATCGCATTTATGCAGGTAAAATCGTTTTGCTTTTGCAGCTTCATGTTGTGCGAAAGCGCTCTCAGTTTCGTCAATAGAACATTTGCGCTTCTTGTTGGGATCTTCAAGTTCCACAAACTGCGTGCTGATTACGGTGGGGCTTTATATCGGGTGCAGCAGATGTAGTTGCTCCACCAGGCTTGTGTCCTTCAAAGATGAGTTGGCAGGTTCAAAGACATCCAAAAGGGTCTGCATGCACACTTAGTGGAGCCTCGAAATGGGGATGCTACTACGCAGCCTCTGATCTCCAGCCAACCCGCCAGGTTCTGCTTTCTCTGCGCACCTTTTATAAGTGTCCCGGGTAGTGGTTCAAACTCCTACACAGCTGATAATCCTATACTGACTTCTGGACTCAGTGGGGCACTCCTGAGACTTTGCAAATTGCAGAAGTAGCCCTTTGCCAGTGCAGAATACTGGCATAAAGCTTAAGGCGCCGCTTGCCTCCCTGTAGGTTCTCTGGTACGCGCGCACGGTCGCCAGCCTCATCTTCGTAGGCCACCTCGGGGGGGTGCAGCTCGCTGGCATCGCGTTGGCCAGTACTTTTGCGAGCGTGTCCGGGTAAGCTTTTATTTTAGTCATCAACATGTGCCCTCTCATGCGTTGCTTCCAGTATGTCCGTTGGCTCTTCGTAGAGCCTCAGCCCATACTGCTTTCCATATCCGCAGTTAAGGTTTGAACGGATTCTCTGCTCCAAATATCCAGACGGTGAAAAGCAGCGCCAATTCTTAGACGAAAGCTTGGCGGTGACCCCCTAAGAATCAGACACAACGACGTCTTAGAGAGGAAACGATTGAATCACTCAGCACTTGTGGATTTTTTGGAACCTTCAATGTGAGGATCTGATTCTTCTGCTGAAGTACGTATATGATCGGCCTCTTGAGCAGGGATGAAGTTCTGGGTTGTTACCTCGCTGATGGATCACTTTGACAACTTTTTGAACGGCGCCGTTCATATCCTTTTTAACCGGTTCTTTTCATTGTTTCTTATGTGCCATTCATTCGGATCTGGTCCTATTCATACTGTCCTTACTTGTTGTTTACGTTGCTTCTACCTTCTCAGGTATGCTATCATGTTCGGCCTGGCTAGCGGAATGGACCCCCTCTGCTCCCAAGCGGTCGGCGCCAAAGAGTACGCCGCAGTTGGGTTGACGCTGCAACGAGGGTGGGCCGTTTTACTGTGCGTGTGCGTCCCGACGTTTGCCACGTGGTGGAACGTGGAGCCCTTCTTTCGGTTTGCCAGGCAGGACCCGGTTCTGACGGGGTTTGCCAGCGAGTACTTGAGAATCCTGACCCTGGACCTGCTGTTCATGGGACTGGCGCAGCCGCTGCGGGTGTTTTTGCGGTCACAGGTGCGTTCTCCGCCCACCGTTTCGAAAGTTCACCTTTGAACTGTTGGTGTCTCTGTGTTGCAAAATGGCCCCCCCTCGCCCAAGGGCTTGTAGGTGCGTTTTCGCTGTCGTGGTACGATTCTGATCATGTCTTGGATGCTTCTGTCGCTGAAGTTCTGCTCAATTGGCGCCTAGAAATAGCCTTGGGGAACGTTAGCAAAGAACGGTCCGGTCGCTGGTCCAGGGATTTGCGTGGATCAACTTAGATTTAAATCCGGTTTGTTGTTGCCACTATTGATGTTCTGCATCAATCTGTTCAGAGTTCCGGTCAGGAGTGAACTAACCGCTCAACCTACAGCATGAATGTAAACTCCTGAACAAGGGTGCCATAACAACCAAGTAGCGCAACCTTTTACAATGCTCAAACTCCTCACTTCCGAGTCAGCGTATCTCCGAATCTGCAGGGAATCGCCAAGCCCATGGCCTGCTTCGTTGGGATCGCCTTCGCTGGCGAACGTCTTCTTGCTCCAAGTGTTCAGAAACTGCTGAACCTCGACAGACCTCATCCAAAGCTGGGAAAGTCACAAACGTCAAGAAGGTTAAAGTTTCACACACTGCGCAGGGCATTACCAAGCCCATGGCTTGCTTCGCCGGCATCGCCTTCGCGGGCCACGTCTTCTTCCTCCACGTGTTCATAAACCTGCTGAACCTCGGCGCGCGCGGGGCCGCGATCGCGCAGTGCTGCACGTCGTTCAACTTCTTCATGATGCTACTGCTCTACGTGCGTTGCTACCCGGGGCCTCACCGCCAGTGCTGGGACGGGCGGTTCGACGCAAAGGCACTGAATCCGGCGGGATGGAAGCCGCTTTTGAAGCAGGTAGGGGGCTGGATATTCTTCTTTAACAGGCGCTTAATGTTTTCTTTTGCGGTTATTTTGAAGTTATCTAAGTTGGGAGATGCTTGAAAGCGGATTGTATACTGGTGGGGCTTCCTTTACGGATGTTGATTACGCTGCTGCTACCCGAGGCCTCACCGCCAGTGCTGGGACGGGCGGTTCGATGCGAAGCCGCTGAATCCGGCGGGATGGAAGCCGCTTCTGAAGCAGCTGAGGAAAAGCGAGCTTTGAAAGAAGCTCCGTGTTGTGCTTGGATGCTTGAGCTGTTCGGTTGCATCTGGAGTTCGACTGGTCAGGGATCACGTTGCTTGGAAGCCCACGGGCTTTGGGAGGTGCAGATCCTGCGAAGAGGCAAGAAGCTGCTTTCGCGAGCGAAAGGAGTCGAAGTCGTCGAATTGGACCTTTCGAGCTGTGAGACTGTTTGAAGCATCGACGTTTCTTCTTTGAAGGGATACCGTCGGAAGCGGCTGAATGTGCTGAAGTCATCTTGCAGCCGTCAGCGATCGTTTATGAGGGCCTGGCGCGAACGGTTGAGCGCACAGTATCGAATTTTTCCCGGTTCTGACTTTCTCCGGCGACCATGGTGCAGGCCATCCCGTCGCTCGTGTCGCTCTACCTGCAGCGCTGGTCCTACGAGTGCATGGTTTGCCACCAAGTACACAGGACCGAAATGTCAGCTGCCCGGTTTCGACCATTTCCGGCGACCATTTTGCAGGCTATCCCGTTATTCGTGTCGCTCTACCTGCAGCGCTGATTCTATGAGGTCAAGGCTTTCGACCAGGCTATACATCGACCCTTTAGCTGCCCGGTTCTGACTATTTTCGGCGACCATTTTGCAGGCCATCCCGTCGTTCGTGTCGCTCTACCTGCAGCGCTGGTTCTACGAGGGCATGGTCATCATGGCCGGTTGGCTGCCAGACCCGCACGTGCCAGTTGGTGCGATGGCGGTCGCTATGAACGTGTTTTCACTGGTCACCATGTTACCAATGGCGTTCAACATTGCGGGGGCGACACGTGTGGGGAACGAGCTTGGTGAGGAAATTGTCACCAAACCTTAGTGAGTGGTCTTGATTATAGAGAAAGGAATGCTTCTCTCGAGGAAGTGAATTGCGGCTGCCATGAACGTGTTTTTACTGGTCACCATGTTTCCCATGGCGTTCGACAGCGCGGGGGCGACATGTGTTGGCAACGAGCTAGGTGAGACTAGGTGAGACCAGAGTTTACTATTAACGTTTCGAGTCTTCTGTTCTTTTTGTTCTTTTGTGAGATAACAACGCGTGTAATATTGGAAGGTCAGACTTGGGATTGGCTCGGCATGTTCATTGGGGCGAGACTGTCCGGCAACGAAGCTCAGTCAGAAGTGTTTTGGACCTCTCTTCTCCGTTGTTCTTTTCGCCAGGAGGAAGCTTGTGTGACTTCGTTCCTTTTCTTTTGTTCATTTTGGCAAGGAGGAAGTTTGTATAGCTTCGTTTCCTTCTTTGTTGCTTAAGCTTACCTCATCTTCATGTGTCCACACGCAAACAGGTGGTCAGACCGCTTATTTTACAAGGGTGCGTCGCCTTTCTCTAAGCCGTCTGCATTGGCATCTTGGCTTCGAAAGTCCCGGTTTCCACTTAGTGCTTCATCACCGTCGCCTCTTCTTTTCCAAAACCCAAACCCTAAGATCATTCTCCAAAAGGTGTACTGTCAGGCGCGAACGCCGCCCGGGGCTAGCCGCGTAGCATTACTTTACGCTGCCTGCGTTGGCATCCTAGGGGTAGAGTAGCAGTCCCCATCTGACTCGATACCCTTTGCGGGCTCAAAATCTTCTCAAGTTGAGCCCGCCTTAACTGGTTCTTATTCTCCTTTTCCAGGCGCGAACGCTCCTCGGGGCGCACAAGTCGCGAGCCGCGTCGCGTTCCTCTACGCCGTTTGCATCGGCGTCATGTGGTGCGTCATCATCACGTCATCCCGTGAGGTCATCCCCCGGGTTTTCACCACTGATGGCGACGTCCGGGCGCTGTGCTCCACGTTGCTGGTCGCCCTCGGCGTCTGCCAGCTGTTCAACTGCCCCATGTCGGTGCTCGGGGGACTGCTCCGAGGGGTGGGCAAGCCGTCGACAGTAGTGGTGAGTAGCCGTCTTTGATCTGTACATAAGTCTCGTCTTATGTTGACTTAGGTTTATGTTGAGTTAGATCAGTTCCCCGGGCTCAGACATAGTAAAAGTCTAAACCCAAAGTTAACATGCTCCGCACCTGTACCCACCCTAAACCTCCATACCAGCCCCACCCGTCCCCCAAGCTTGACATAACTCAACGTAGCCGTAAGTCAATATAAGATCGAGACTACTGATCTGTACTTGATCCATAACCGAGCAAACATCAGATGATTTGATTGGAATTCACGGCTGCGCTCGAGAGGTTCTCACTGGTTGACAAAAGTCGTGGCAACGCGCAGTTCTTGGTAGGCTTCGTTTTCCATTTAGACAAAGCCGCGATGCATGTGGAGTTGTGCGGAGAACAGCCTCATGGTCTTACTTTGCCATCAAGGAGCACCTTGCGAAGGAGGAACGTGTAACCTATCTCCAAGGCCCTTTCGCATGTTGTGTTCGTTAACAGATATATGCAGCCTTCGTTCAAAGATCAGAGTTTGTGGTTAACCTGCCCACTAACTCATCCGTTTTTGGCCGCTATACGTCTTTATTTGCGGGAGCTTCTTTATACGTGCAGGAGCTTACTCCCCTTCCTCTTTTCTGCCAGGTACTGAGCCTTAGTTCCTACTACGTCATCGGGTTGCCCACTTCGGTTACGCTCACCTTCTACAAGGGTTGGGGCGCCCTCGGCCTCTGGTGGGGCCTAACAATCGCTCAGAGCGTTATGGTAACCCTGATGGTTATCGTCGTAACCCGGTTATCGTGGCAGGAGTTGGCGGATAAAGCGCGGAGCCGGGCGAAAGAGGGGGGCCGGGACGCGGAGAAAGTGCCTCGGAAAGGGGGGTGGAAAACTGGAAACGATAAAGCGGGGGCAGAGGTTGAGAAGTTGCTCCGAAACGGGGGGGCAGAGAAAGCTGATGTTGAGGCGGGGGTGAGTGGGGTCGGAAGCTCGAGGGAAAGATAGCGACTGGCGAGACGCACGCGGTTACAAATAGGAACATTGAAGAGCTGGTCTCTGGAGCAGATGAGACCGCCACGAAAGCATAGGACGAGTTGATACCCATACAAGGCCGATTTATGGAGCATGATATAAGTTGGTTGGGAGAGGTGGGCAGTCGCAGCAGAGATTTGAGTAGGGATGGCACTACGTGAATTGCTCGCAATGATTCGAGATCAATTGATGGTCACACACAACGGGAACACACTGGCTGCACGCAAGAAATAATGATTCCTGGGACTCAAATAGGCCCGCATTTTGCCTGATTGCTTGCGCCTTGACAAAAATAGGCCCTGTACTTCAAACATTTTCAGAAGCTCGCGCAGGCACATGAGTTGGTACTTGACAATTGAGTTGTTGGCCTCAAGAGAAACCTGCTGAGCCAACCGTAGCACTCATTGTCATGTATTCATTGGAAGTGAATTTGAACGTATCATATGTATCCAAGTTCAATTTTAACAGGTCAAAGCTCCGAGACACGACTGCATTGGATAAGGCAAATTCGAAAGAGTGGACCATGGTCAAGTTTTTTAAAGTCCTGTATATGTGACTGGTTCTCAAGTTCCGAAGCTAATGCCATGATCTGGCCAAGTCAGGTCATGTGCTTTTGGACGCGCTCAGTACCGTACGTCGCTTATAATTATGCAGCTTGCATGCTACAGGCCAGTCGACGAGCGCCTGTGCGATGCATACTAAGGCTCCTTAATTGAACTGAGTGCTGCCGGGCTTCAAAATAACTCATATATGATGTCCGGTCAAATGTTTACCAACTTTCTGGTGAATTGGCGGCCGTATAAGAATTCCACAATCACACATGCGGCACTGAGGCATGAAACTTAGTGGCATGCATGCAGCTCTATGCGGCGCTTACAAATATTCTGGCGGCAAATTCGACACTTCCATCATGATCCAGAAAGGTAACCTTGTCACACTAGCTTACAGACTGCGTCCAATCTTGTAGACCGGCAACTGTCCAATCAAATGATCCTATGAGAAGCTCTCAACCTAAGTACTGGCACGCGTCAAACGTACATGTACACGTGACTCTAGGGCGGGCTGACATGGATAGCGGGTACACGCGCGGCGCAGATGCTTCCGGCCAAAACTATCCCTTCGATACGAAACGAAGTGTAGTGCCCATCTGTACTAGCTTACTAATTTACTAGGCGGTTGCTTCATTGGGAAGGAATCTAGACTACGTGCCTGTATATGCACGCCCGACAATGATGCCACTCGTTTGTTTTCTACCAGCTTCCCCGTATGGTACAGGTGACAACCCACGGCCGCCAGCACACACTCAGGCCCCGAAAGCGGCACCTGTTTCAAAGACATTGCAGTTTGAAGACGATGTCAGAAGCAGCTCTGCTTCGCGCCTCACCATTCGCAGCAATGCTTTGCAGTACCAATGAGTGTATTCGGAACTCTCGCACCGAGGCAGGGGAGCCGTTTAGGTTGCTCCATTTTCTTGACGTTATTGGCAGTCACGACGTGGATGATCCTTATCAGAATGAGTCCAATGTGAGCTGATGCGTGCGCTTGATTTATGCTGGTGCTTTGTTTGATATTCTTGTGCCCGTTAATGCAGGGAAAGTCCACGAAAGCCGTATCCCCTGGAAAAGCTGGCTGCAGCACTTATAAAAAGTGTCTTACTCGAGAGGAGTCTGTTCATGAGCGGCTGCACAATATTACCTTGAGAAACAGAAAAAGAAGTAGTATCATTTTCCTTCATAGCTACATGAAGAAGAATGCAACTCAGGGGGATTGAAACCCATTTCAGACACAAGGACATGCGTGGAACGGCCGCAAAAGAGGTACAAAAGAAAACCTGAGCGAGCAGTGAAAGTTGTTTTCGTTCTGGCCTGAAACATCAAACAGGATAACCACTGCGGTCCATGACACGGACTGCAAAATCCATCGCTTTTGGGGCTTGGTTCCAATCGAAGAAGTTGCTTGTTTTGGATCATGATTGTACAGAAACCGACTCGTAGTAGAACAGTTGAGAATCAGCAAGAGCTCGGATCTCCTGTGCGTGTTCGGACACTTACCAGAAGCCGGAGCAGGGGCGGGCGCGGGAGCCTGCAGCAGCCGGCGTCCGTTGGCGCACGGCGTCGAAGCTGGAAAACACAACCAGACAGATCATGCGAAAGCGCAACTTATCGTAGAATTAGCGAGGCCAGGCGGAAGCGCAAAGATCGTAGACACTAAGGGATCAGGCGAAAGCGCAGAAGTTGGAGACACTGAGGGATCAGGCGAAAACGCAGAAATTGGAGACACTGAGGGATCAGGCGAAAGCACACAGTTACAAACACTTCGTGAATCAAGCGTAAGCCTACGGGAAAGCAAGAAATGGCGTGGAGGCCGATGTTTCCAGAACCGTTAAGAGGGTAACCTTCCCCGAGCAACATGAGCTATTTTGCCTTTGTATCAGATTGTGTCAAAAGAAAAGGAATTTGGTATGGACTACTGACTCGCAGGAACGCAGGCTCCCAGCCTGGCAATGTCCGGGTTCAGCGGAACAGGGCCTCGCAGCTCGCACACCAGCCCGGGGGGGCAGTCGATGGGGAGAATGCTACCCCCCTGACGGCAGGCTGCGCACTCAACAAGAAGAACTTGTCAGGGTAAAAACCGCAAGTGGGCAGATCGGTATTTGAGCTCGATTGCAGTATCCCAAAGCGATTGGTGTGAATACAGAAGCTACAGCAGACAGATTAGTCGTTTCTCGAGGACTGAGGGGATCCCTTCGTGTAAGAATATCCACTCCGAGAGGTTCGCCGCATCTGAGAACCGCATATCAGTTAAGGCAGAGCGTTCAAAATTCTGCTGCTCACTTGCAGGAACGCAGACTCCCATCCTGACATTAGAAATAAGAAAGTTAGAGCACTCAAATCTAGTCTTAATGACTAAAGGCCGAGGGATCCCTTAGGGTGACCAAGAGCTTTGCCGCATCCGATAGCGGCGTATCGTTCAAGGCAGAGCGTTCAAATCTTTGCTGCTCACTTGCAGGAACGCAGACTCCCATCCTAGCGATGTCGGGGTTCGACGGAACGGGGCCTTCCGGCTCGCAGACGAGGCCTGAGGGGCAGTCGATGGGGGCGATGTTACCCCCCTGACGGCAGACTGGAGGACGCAGCAGAATAAGAGTGTCAAAAAGGACGGTGGATAGACTTGAGCATGCTAGATACTAGGGATCTGGTGGCCCTTTAACGGTAAGATGAGACACTTATGGGTCCGGTCCAAAGAGAAAGGCTAACGGGAATGATGATAAGGAAGCAAGCTAGAATTCCACGGTACATACTAGACTATTGATCGAAAGTGCTTCTGACCGTTCGTTGGCAGCACAAAGGTGCAGGAAACGAGATGGACTTCGAGGGCATAGGTATTGATAGCTTCTACCGGCGTGCATGAAGACCTGTGGATCTTTTTACTTCTTTTGAGGCCAACGGATGTTGGCAGAAGATCCCTTGAAGGCAAATTTATAAGATAAGAAAGGAGGACAGGAGAGGAGGGTGTGAAGGAAGTGGGCGACCCTTACTAGGCTGCGTGACCGTCTTGGTCGCCTCCCCGAGCAGCTTCCGTGCTCCGAGGCCCAAGAGAGAAGCTGCACCAGAGAAAGATGGCGGCGTCGGCTCACAGGACGACGTCAGCTCGCAGGGCAAAGTTACCAACCCCTTGCAATTCATCCAATGCTAAACTATGTTGGTTCTCTCTCAAACCCAAGAAAACAAACCTTTTTTTCTTATTGAAAACCCTCATAAAATACTGGAAGAGATCCTGAATACTTCGTGGTAAGAGTGGGAGTGATTCTGCATCTTTCCCGACCTTTTTCCCTCAGCTCCGACACCCTCGAAGGCCCCGTCCGAAACTAACTGTTCGTAAGTAAAGCAACACGCTTCATTCGTGTGTCATTCGGGCGCCGGACCAGAAGGAGCTCTAAAAACAGAACCGGGGGAGCTTACCGAGCAGTCCCCCCGGCGCGGGCGCGGGCGCGCCCAGAAGCGAGGGGATTGAGGGAAGGGCCTGGTGCACTTTGCGCGCGCGCGCCTTCGCAGCTGCACTTCCTGTTACAGTGGGTGTGAGATTTCAAAGGGCACTAGTGGCTTCTTAGTTCCGACAGTCATCGGACAGACTACAATGCACCTTGAATTTCTGCCTCGGCGACCATTTTGCCCATTACTGCGGTAGCTGGTCGCCAAGGCGTTACGGTCACAGGACTCCCTGTTCGAAGGAAAGGCAGCATCAGAGAAGAGAAGTTGCAGGAAGAACCTTCTGATGTTTCAACGAGTGAAGGAAAGCAGAAGATGTCGAAGGAAAGGCGAACGAACATACGAGGTAGATCGAGTTGGTGTTTTTTCGACAGGAATCAAAGATGCAAGACTCAGCACAAACACACCGTTGAGGCGTTTCTCAATCAATAGCTTGCGTACTGTTCTTCATCGGCCATGTCATACTATGTGTATGAATCCAGAAGTTCTTTGAATATTGAAGCAATATCACGACCGTGTCTCAAGAGGACTTTATCGAACATGACCTCCTCACAGGGTTAGGACGACCTTGCGATTTCATTGGGCTGTGCCAAATACCAGCGGATTTGAAGGATGAAGATTGATTGGAATCGAAACTTACCCAGCAGCGTAACAGGTTCGTTCTCATCTTCCTTCTCAAGGATCCTTCGTCCCCCGGTCAGCGACCCTGAATAAGAACACAGAGGCAGGAAAGCGTTCAAAACTTGTTGTACCTTGTATGGCACCTAGCAATGGCTCTCGCAAGGAGCGGAACACGAGATTGAGGGCTGTATTCGTCAAACTCATTAGTCCAATCACACTTTCTGTAAAGTGGGCTCCTGTTTATGGGGCTGTCTAAGGATTTTCGTGCGTCACGTCCAGGTGATTCAAAGCAACTCCGCTCAAGGATTCATTGGCTTCACCTGGTTGACTCCAACTCAGAAAGTTGCACTACTCTCGAATGAAAGGATCTAAGGGTTCTCGGCAACGTAGAACAGACAAAGTCCACCTTTCAAGGACGTGAACCCGATGCTTTGGAATCTCTTCATACTTCGTCGCAAAAAGTTGCTAAGCCGCTCCAGCCCATCACTGATGGTGATGGCCCTAAACTCTAGATTTTAAGATTCTTTTCCGAAACCCGTGCAAACAAAGCGCGTGCATTTGCGTGCAGGATGTTGACATTCTCACCGATCATTCCGAGGATTCCGCCCGGCGCGGGCGCCGGCGCCGGAACGGGGCTGATCTGGTGGAGCTTACGCGCGCCCGGGGAGGCGACTCCTGAGCAACGGAGAAGTTTGAGATAGTCTTTCAGTCCTCTGTCAGATTGAAGAAGAGCAGAGTTTGTCTGGTTAGAGGTTAGACGTTTTTGGTCAGAGGTTTGAACGTATTCGACGCCAGTACACCCATCCGTAATGGATAGGGACCTGCCGGGGGAGGAGAATATGGAAACGGGAATTCGTTTCTCAAGCATTGCTTTCGAGTTAGACAAGGCGCAACGAAGGCTTAGTGAGGGCAGCTAGTGACGTGGGTACTCGTGAAGCTGACGTGAGCAACCGTGCGGGGCATGAAGTTCCAGTGAACTTATCGTAAGTTTCCGCCGTGAAGACTGCAACCAAGTCCGGAAAGTCTGAAAGGAAGCCCTAGTCATAGTCACGAGTTTCTGAATTGTGAATGCTGGCGCAGGCGCCCGGGACTTAAGCTCTTGCAATAGCTGTCAGAACGTTTCTGGTAGAATTCTACGTCCAACATACAAGTGTATATATTCGGTTCGTTGATTTTTGCCCAGTAGTCTGCCTAACGACTTCTTAATGCTCGGGTATTATTTATGGTACGTGTACTCGGCAGTAAAGTCGATTAGAAGTCTTGTTAGAGAACCACAAGTGTGCGGCCCATGACAAGAATTATGTCTGCTGTTAGTTTATCTTCTCAAGGTCGCCTCTCCCTGTAGTAAGAGGCGCATCCCGCCATTCCCTTTCTCCCGGTGCTTTGCCCCGGTCGCGACAGTGGTGCTCGCGCCTTGGACGGTGATAGTTGTGCTTGTGCCCGGTAGAAGTGAAACTGTGCCCGGTTGAAGTGAAGTGGCGCCAGTTAAACCGGGGCTGCTGACCAGGCTGGTTTCGGAGGGGGTTAAGCTAAACGTAGACGCCGTACCCGGTGCCGTAACCACCGGGTTAGAGGGAATGGTTACGCTAGCCGGAGGAACGACCACGACAGGGGCGGAGGTGGCAATTGACACCGGGGCGGCCGTGCCCAGAGGCTCCAGTGTGAAAGAGCCCGAGATCGCCCCGGTTGTGTCTTGCGTCCCGGTTAATGTCCCGCTTGGGCTACGAACCCCGTTTTGGGTTACAGGCGACACTCCTACAACGGCCGGGTTAGTGACCCCGGTTATCGAAGAAGCGACAGGTGAAACGGACACGACTGTGGAGGGGGAAATGAGTGACGTACCGGCGGCGGTAACTAGGGGCGGGGACAGCGCGCCGAGCGTTTCGGCGGGCGTACCTACGACTGAAACCGTCGGGGGGGAAGCGGCTGACGTCGTGATGACGGCAGTCGTCGAAGTCCCCGGGGGAGCGCAGTCGATGTTTATGTTGACGACGCCGTTTGGGGTCATCGACTTAACCGTTGCGCAGTCTGTGCGGAGCTGCCTCTGGGAGCGTTGGGACTCTTGCGGGAGAACTAGGTTGGGCTCGTCGCGTGTTTGGGGTTTCGTGCGGTGAAGGGTTGTGGCGGGGCGTGAGAGGGATTCGTCGTGTCCTGCGTGCAGGAATCGAGTCTTGGCTGAACACTCGTGTTAATGACGTGTTGTCTGACGTGTTGTTTTGCAGGACTTATCATCAGAGTGACGCGTGTTGGAAGTCCGACTGTATGCCCAGGAGCTGATAGTGGGTACTGGGTGATTTTAAAGGGAGCGATAGGGGCGTTGGGCATATACGATTCGAAGTCGAGTCGGGCGGAACAGGCGTGCACATGTGGGGGCTTAGGCGGACGTGAAGTCATAATCAAGCTTCGTTCGACCCGTGCATTCTGGCTCAGACAAGGTGAACACCCGAGACAAACACTTTAGAAACGAAAGGATACATGTTTCGGCGAATGAGAAGGCAGAGGGTTTGACTACACTCTATATTTCTCGGGGAATGCAAGAGGCAATAGCGCCTAAGACCAAGGGGCAATGAGGACATTCTAAGTGAATGGGTCGGATCAAGACGACGATGGTAAGAAAGGGACGGAACACATACAAGTTACGCGACATACATTCGCGTAAAAGAAAACAGAAAAGTCCTTCAAACCAAAGTTAAGCAGACGCCAGTAGAAAACTAGGAAAATGTATTGGTAGGAAAGTACGTCTGGCGAAGTGACCCTCTAGATTCAGGTTCCTCTTCGGCGGCTATAAGACTATTCCAACCGCTTACCGTTTTAAATCTGCTGTACAAAGACGGAGCACGAGACGAGTCACGGCGACTTCTAAGACGATGGACCGAACAATCAATTTAGCTTCACAATCAATATGGGCTCAGTAATTCTTTTCAACCCGTTTACCTGGTGCGGGTGCCGGTGCAGGGCTAGGCGCCTGGTGCAGCCTGCGCGCG